CCTGCCCCTGCCCCTGTCCCTGTCCCTGTCCCTGTCCCTGTCCCTGTCCCTGTCCCTGTCCCTGTCCCTGTCCCTGTCCCTGTCCCTGTCCCTGTCCCTGTCCCTGTCCCTGTCCCTGTCCCTGTCCCTGTCCCTGTCCCTGTCCCTGTCCCTGTCCCTGTCCCTGTCCCTGTCCCGAAACCTCATTCTTCCTTCTACCGACTGGACCACTCCATGCCGTACAATGGGTACATTGTCTTTTAACTATATTCTAAAAAGGTTTTCTTTCATCTGACAACATTGACTTTCCAGGGTATTTTTTCTAAGGGACTCAGATAGAAAGTTTTTTTTTGACACTGACGAAAGGACCAGACCAGCACTGACGAAAGGACCAACACTCACCCCTTGTCTCCCCCCATCTCTTGACCCTCCACCTGTCGACCACCACCAGGTGACACTGCAAACAAGATTGGTACATACTCACTGGCGCTCTCAGCCTTCCACCACAAGACGCCCTTCTTCGTGGCGGCGCCGCTGACGTCCATCGATGCAGCGATCAAGACGGGGGAGGAGATTGTGGTGGAGGAGCGGCACGCTGCTGAACTCACACACGCACTGGGGGGCGCTGGGCCGCAGGTGCGTTAGAGAGGGGAATGTGGGGCATCAGGTGCGTTAGGGGGTGGTGATGCATGGCTTGATTGGATTGGGGGTGCTGGCCTTTGGTTCACTGCTGACGTCCATCGATGTGACCATCAAGACAGGCGAGGAGATCGTGGTGGAGGAGAGGCATGCTGCTGAGCTCACGCACGCACTGCGGGGCGCTGGGCGGCAGGTGTGTTAGAGGAGTGTGTTGCTTGACATTTTTGAAGTGCACTGGGGGGTTTGCTAGCTTTTGGTAATCCCTAGTCGCTCCTGGTTTTTTTTTTCAAGTCTTTTCTGTATGCCGTGCTCTGGTGTGCTCTCTCCATGTACTGCTGTGCCCATGCTGTGCCCATGCTGTGCCCATGCCGTGCCGGTGCTGTGCCCATGCTGTGCCCATGCCGTGCCCATGCTGTGCCAGTGCTGTGCCCATGCTGTGCCCATGCTGTGCCCATGCTGTGCCTATGCTGTGCCCATGCTGTGCCTATGCTGTGCCCATGCTGTGCCCATGCTGTGCCCATGCTGTGCCCATGCTGTGCCCATGCTGTGCCCATGCTGTGCCCATGCCGTGCTGTGCTGGTTGATTCACCTGGCAGGTGGCGCCGCACGGCATTGATGTGTGGAACCCAGCGTTTGACATCACACCAGCGCAGTTCATCACAGGGCTCATCACGGACAAGGTGGGTTGGGGGAAGGGAAGTGGAGTGATATTTCCATCCATGTCACCACATCGCTGCTTCCGTTTGTGAAGCATCATCAGCCTGAACCTTTCTCTCTCACACCCCCTTCACCCCCTTCTCGTATGCCCTTCACCCCCTCCTCACACGCCTCTTGGCCCCCATCTCACTCCTTACCCCCCTCTCACGCTCCGTATCACTCCACTCCCTGCAGGGCGTCATTTGGAAGAAGGAGGGCACATCTGTGTTTGACATCCGCGGCTTCCTGCATTCCCTCGGCGCACCCGTCCCCTCCTCGCCCATCTACCCGCCACCTCCCTCTGCCTACCCGCACCCCAAGGAGGACGACGTGCAGCCGCACACGAACCCCCACAAGGACCGCATCCGCAAGGACGCCCTCGAGGCCTCTCACATGCCCCTCCACTCCTCCTTCTCACGTGCCCTGTGCCCTCCGTATCACCCCCTGCAGGGCGTCATTTGGAAGAAGGAGGGCGCATCCGTGTTTGACATTCGGGGCTTCCTCCACTCCCTCGGCGCTCCTGTGCCCTCCTCGCCCATCTACCCGCCACCTCCCTCCTCCAACCCGCACCCCAAGGAGGACGACGCGCAGTCGCACGACCCCCACAAGGACCGCATCCGCAAGGACGCTCTGGAAGCCTCGCGCTTCACCCCGGTTTCTGAGCACACCGTGCCTGCCTTCCTCCAGGACCACCCGGACCTCGCCGCCAGGCTTGGCGGCGGCCCGGACCAGTGGTCCGTGCGGGAGGTGGGCGACGGGAACATCAACTTTGTGTACATCGTCGAAGGCCCGCAGGGGGCTCTGGTGGTGAAGCAGGCACTGCCGTACGTGCGAGTGGTGGGGGAGTCCTGGCCCATGACTCTCGATAGGATTTATTATGAGGCGCTGGCGCTGCGGCAGCAGTTTGCGTGGGTGCCAGAGCTGGTGCCGGAGGTGTATTTCTTCAGTCATCCGATGGCGCTGATTGTGATGCGGTATGTGGCGCCGCCGGCGATCGTGCTGCGGAAGGGGCTGGTGCAGGGGCGCGTGTACCCGCGTCTGGCGGAGCACATGTCCTCCTTCCTCGCCAGCACGCTGTTCCTGTCATCTCTCATTGCCGTCAACACCGAGGTCTACCGTGACAAAGGTGGGCACGGGGTGGCAAAGGAAGTGGGTCAACAGATTGCGTGTGTGCCTGATGCAGGATGGCTCTGCCAACACTCGTCGTGCACCTTCTTCACTTGATGTTCTGACGCTCTCTGCCAACGCTCGTCCAACGCTCTGCCCTGCCATTCATTTGCCTCCTCCTGCTGCCTCTCAGTGCGGGAGTTCTGTGGCAACGTGGAGATGTGTCGCCTGACAGAGCAGGTCATCTTCACCGAGCCCTACGTGCTCGCCACCAACAACCGCTGGACCACGCCTCAACTGGATGACGACGCAGCGGCCCTGAGGGAAGACGTGCCTCTCAAGCTGGCCATCACCGAGCTCAAGAGCAAGTGAGTGCAGCTCCCCGGTCGTTCATTGCGTAAGAGAGTGAGCAAGTGGGTTCAGAATGTTCACTTGTTTGCTTTCTCAAAACAACCCCGAAACCTTATCCCCCAACCACATGCACCCATCCCCTGTGCAGGTTCTGTGAGCGCGCACAGGCGCTGCTGCATGCGGATCTGCACACAGGCTCAGTCATGGTCACGGAGGAATCAACGGTCGTGATCGACCCGGAGTTTGCGTTCTACGGCCCGATGGGCTTTGACATCGGGGCCTTCTTGGGCAACCTGCTGCTGGCCTACTTCAGTCGGAACGGCCATGCCACTGCTGATGACTCCCGTGCTGTGAGTGCGCTCTGTAGGCCCTCCTAATAATATGGCTTTGCTGAACCTTACCATCCTTCACTATCCTTCACCGTTCTTCCCCATTCTTCGCCTTCCCCTCCCCATCCCTCTCCAAGGTCGTCAAGCAGTGGATCCTGCAGTGCTTAGCAAATAGGTGTCACAACAACTCATCCTTTCCCTTCCTCTCCCCATCCTTTCCCGTCCTCTCCCCATCCCTCTTCCAGGCCGCCAAGAAGTGGATCTTGGAGTGCTTCACGGAGACGTGGCAGAAATTCGAGGCCAAGTTCCTGGCGCTGTGGAACGACAAGGCGCTGGCCAAGGGAGACGCGTACCCGCAGGCGCTGTACCACGACAATCCCGCGCTGCTCTCTGCTGCCCAGACTGCCTTCCTGCGCGAGGTCTTCCTGGACTCGCTGGGATTCGCCGGGGCCAAGATGATCAGGTGAGCGCTGCTGTGGGCGTATGTGGGAGCTGGCGAAGGGTTGGGTGAGAGCAGCAGCTGGAAGCGGCTTGGATGCCTTCCTGGACTCTCTGGGATTCGCCAGGGCCAAGATGATCAGATGAGCGCTGGTGATGGCTTGAGGGCGCGGATAACCTGGTTGTGGCTTCAGCTTTCCTGTGTCTTACCAGCTTTTCACTTGCCAGGTTTTGCCGTACGCCAAAATACGGTATGCCGAGTCCTGACTCCCGAGTGTCCATATGCTGTGTCTGCTCTTGCAGACGCATTGTTGGCATCGCACATGTGGAGGATCTGGAGTCCATTGCCGACCCTGATGTGCGGGCAGCTTGCGAGCGCAGGGCCCTCAATTTCGGCAAGCACCTCGTCAAGGAAAGGCAGCAGTATAGAAGCATTGCAGAGGTGGCTGCTGCTGTGGAGGCAGTAGTATAGGCTAAATCAATCTCTTATAGCTGTATACTGCTTAGATTGATTCACGGTGCTGGCATTGCATCTAGTTGTCATCAGTCCCCTCATGAATGGGAGCAATAGGATTCAGTGTTACCACTTCCACTTCCACTTAGTAGTGGGCAACGAATCACAGCTGGCATAGAACATACCCTGTAATTTTCTGTCTAACGGGGACGTGGGAATGCATCCATTGCAGCAACGAAATCCAACGGCCATGGATTTGGGATGGACTTGATTGCGAAGGGAAATTTCATTTCACCAAGCGGCTCGTGCTGCGACACGACGAGGACCTGCAGCGAAAGCAGAGAATGCATAAATTCTCTGCTTTTCGGAAATTCCCTCCCACACACATGCCCCATCCAATGTCGCACATGCTTTTCCCTCCAGGAATTTCCACATGACAAGGTCGCACATGATGTCGCCATCGCACGGCCGCGCACACTTCTCGCATGTAGTTGCAGTGCTTGCAGTTCGTTAGCGAATTTGAGATGCTTCGCACGCACAGCTTGGCTCGCCAGACTTCTCCCCAAGGAAGCATGATTTGCTCAGGTTGGTTGATTTATATGTAAGAAAGCCTCAATGTGCATGATTGGGATGGGAATCTGATAACGACGCCTCTCCAAGTACCTCACTGGTTAGCTAGTCGCGGGACGTTCCAACGTCATAAACTCCCTTCGAACTGTTACTACCTCGAGGTTATTGAGGTTGCTCCGTTGCACCTTACTTTCCAGCGATGCATCCACCTCGTTGCAATCGCTGTTAGCTGGGCTGAAAGACGCTGCTACTGCACGATAACACTGATTAAGGATACATTGAGCAACATCTTCTCGTTCAAGCTCAGCTGTATTAAGGAGATTAGGATACTCCGGACTCCCCCGTCTCTGTCAATCGCTACGTCTGGATTTCCTCGCCGGAGGCTGGTCGAACCACAGAGAGCACAGTTCGCCGTGGAATGAACTATAGTATCAGGAATGAAGCTCCACGCATCGTTTACCTTGCTGCTTCTTCTCTCGTTGACCTCAGGTGCTGCTCTCAGAGCTTCGTCAGGATCTCGTGATTTTGTTCACAAATTCTTTCGATTGATTTTAGAAGTCGCGTTTCCATTAAGCACTAAAACGAGGACGCACGGAATACACTTCGGTTCATTCAGCCCTTCAGTGCACACATGCATGGAACTTTCATCATTCACGACGCTATCGTACGTGGCAGGGTCGTGGTTAGCCGTAGCCGTCGTCAAAGATTCAGGCGGCTTACCTGACGGATCCACATGCTACTACGACAAGAACTACACCCCCATCAAGCCCTACTGCAAGCGAGATTTCGGGTACGCGAAGAAGCCCCGTCACCTTTGAGATTTGAGTTGCCAGCCGTACTATAAGACCCCTGTCAAGCAATTCCTCATGGAATATGCGTTTCAGAAAGTGGCTTCACCGCGATACAGGCACAGCTCAAATTCGTTTGCAACAATCCTTCTGTCTGCGTGATTTTTTTTCTGTCAGATGTGTGGTGACCAAGGTGGTTCGGAACTCACCGCATTTCAAGTTTAAGGGCGAATGCGCTTCTGACATTCCCTGTAAGTCTTCAAATGATTTCTATTTCACCGTCCTCAGCACTGACTGCGAATATCATTAAAATTTTACGTTTTCTCAACAATCCCTCGCCCTCCCCTCTCCATCCCCCTTTCAGTGGACCAGATAACCAAGCGGTTCTGCATGTTTCGCTCCGTGATGTTCGCGCCGGGGACGAGCGGCATCACGGCGACGTCCATGTGTCCGCACTGCACGTGCCGCCAGCTCAAGGGCGGCCCCACGTGCCTGTGCCCGCTGGGCAAGCAGTGCAAGCAGGACGCGGTGGGGCGATGGAAGGACGGCACGCGATGCAGAGACAGCAGGCAGAACCAGTTGAGTGGCGTGTGGGATGGGAGTGGGAAAATGGGGAAGTGTGAGTGTGACCAGGGACGAGTAAATGCCCTTTACTCTCCTGCACACATGTAAATTTTGTGATGTGGAAGGGAGTAATTTTTTAAACACTTTGTACGTTTTTGCCCCTCTCCCATGTCGTCATTGCACCACCAGGTGTGAAGTATCACGGGTGGTCAACGGCTCATACGTTGGCAACTGCATCAACCCTGCTCGTCAGTTACTCCCCCTCCATCGTTGTTTTCTGCTCCCTTACCGCTTTCGCGCTAACAGATCCTATTGTTCATGTGTTGTTCATCTGTTGCTCAACTTATTATTCTGCAAGGTGTGTGACCTCCTGTGCATTAACATTTCGTTCAATCATCGCGTTCCCACCCCCTTATTCCCTCCTTCTATATCACTGTCAGAGGGTCCCAACGAGTGCATCAGTGCAGGGCCAGGCTGGGGTCCCATATTTGTAAAGAACAGGGCTCACAACATCATCAAGACTGGTGACCTGTGCCAACGGTGTTCCTGCATGAAGGGAAAATTTGTCAACTGCAAGCCTGTGCCCGGATGTGCCAGTAAGTCGCACATCAGTCCTTGGGGAGTTAGTGACTGAAAATGTGTTGCGGCATTCACTCATTCATTAGTGCACTCTGTTTGTGTTGCCCCCTTGGTGTTCTTTCGCAGTGTGTGTTCCAAAGAGCCCAACCAACGTCGCACAGCAATGCAGCCAGTGCTGCAGGAAGGCCACCATACCTGAGGGTGTTGAGTTATGCGAAACGGCGTGTAACAGGGTGTACCGACAGGCTTCAGGCAATCCGTCATCTTAGGATAGATGTGGCGCCTATGCTTCTCCATGTCATCACTGGCTCTCCTTGAGCCTTCTTTAGCTAACGCACACCGGCACGTAAAATAATAATCTTCCCCTGCAGTAAAGAAGTAGGGTAAGCAATGTTGCTTACCAAGAAGTATAGGCTAGCTGATAATTCAAGAGGATTTGTGGTACTTAAGTGCACAGAATCAGACCAGGGCACGCCCTCAATGTCGTCGACAGGGAAACATCTCGCTCTGTACCATGACCAACACCGCATATGCTGTAAGCACATAGTTATTAGCTGGATTTCGGTGCTTCAGAACCCTATTTTGCCACCAAATGATGCAAATTCAACACATCACAACACCCTTGTGGTACCTCATTGAGCTGTAGGCACTGAAGTAGGCCCTAATGTGTGTGAATAGTACGGACTTGTAACGAATTCTGAGAACATTAATTCCGCTGACAAGCCGACGCAGCGGCGCGTTCGCCAGTCCCTCGCACATTTGTTGAACCAACGGATGGAACTTTTTCCGCTGTGCCGCCCCTCCTTATGACATCATCTGCGGAGCATTGCCATGCCATGAGCATGGCCGACGCGGCTCTAGGATAACCTTTCAGATGCTGCTATAAATCCCATAGCCCTGAATCTTTCGGACACAGTAATCTCCATACCTGGGACCTCTTGTAGCTTCTTGGGCCATCATAGCAGGCAGCGGAAAGCGATCAGGACATCGGCAATGAATATCCTCGCATCTCTTCCATTTCTGCTGCTCCTCGCTTCAACTTCAGGTGATGCGAGGACTTCTTGAAAGTGCTCACGCTTGCACGACATACTATTTTACATTAGGATATGGATCCTAATGCTCTGTATTACATGCAGGGTCATGGGTTGCCTGTGCAACTGGAGCTGCGTCAGGCCTCCCTGACGGATCCACGTGCTACTACGACAAGAACTACACCCCCATGAAGCCCTTATGCAAGCGAGACTTCGGGTACGCGGGTCACGCTGTGAGAATGTCATGACATCACTGGCTGAGTTGTTGACGAGAGCGAATTTGTATCCTGGGTCTAATGCCGTCTGTTTGTTAATTTGATTGATCGTTTCAGGTGTTTGGTTACCACGGTGGTGAAAAACTCACCGCATGTCTTGTTCAAAGGGAAATGCGCCTCCGACGTGCCTCGTAAGCCATCGATTACCCACATTGTGTTCTTCTACCCTCTCTACGGCAAGAAACGCTTGACAGCACCGCAGAGTATTTCGTCTTCTAACAATTTCTCCGTTTTCTGTTCCTGACGTTGTTAACCAGTGGATCAGATAAATCAGAAGTACTGCATGTTCCGCTCCGTCATGTTCGCACCGGGTACCAGCGGCATCACGGCTTCGACCATCTGTCCGCGCTGCACGTGCCAGAAGCTCAAGTCCAGCCCCACTTGCGTGTGTCCGCTGGGAAAGCTGTGCAAGCAGGACGCGGTGGGCCGATGGAAGGACGGCACGCGATGCAAGGACACCAGACAGAACCAGTTGAGTCGCGTGGGCTGGGAGATCAACCAGCAAAGTGAATCATCTGACTTGCGTCAAGGCAACTCCTGAATGCGCTTCTTGCTAATGACGCTTTTCTTCATACTCTGCATTATATGACTTCCTGTTTCTCCTTCAACCACCAGGTGTGAAGTATCACGGTTTGTCAATGACACATACATTGGCAACTGCATCAACAGTGCTCGTGAGCGCCATGCCCCTTACATTCCGTCAGCATTTCTGGGCTACTAAACCATTTGGTCACCACACGGATTGTGTATGGTATTGTTTATTTCTTCATCGACCTTCCTTTTTCGGCTCACCCTTGTCCACTTCGATGTGGTTTGACCTTCATTTCCCTCAGAGGGTCCAAATGAGTGCGTAAGCGCTGGGCCAGGATGGGGTCCAATGTTTGTGAAGAACGGAGCTCAAAACATGATCAAGACTGGCGACCTCTGCCAGCGCTGCTCCTGCATCCGTGGGAAGTTTGTCAACTGCAAGCCTGTGCCTGGATGCGTCAGTAAGTACCAAGTCATGCCATGCAAGTCCTTATTCCTCATTGCCACAATCCCGTGCATGAAAAGCTGTTTCCTACACAATTTAATCCTGATATGTCTTCCTTTGGTTCCGTTTCTCAGTGTGTGCACCCAAGACTTCAAGCAACACCAAGCAACAGTGCAGCCAGTGCTGCAAGAAGGCAACCACTCCAGCAGCTGTTGAGTTCTGCAATACAGCGTGCAACAGAGTTGTTATAAGTGCGTGAAGTGCTTTGATGCTGGTTTAGTATTCTGGTGTAGTGCACATCATTATTTGGTAATCAGATTGCAATAAGGTTGCATAAATGCATAACCATCATTGTATTATTTGGTGCGTTTGATTGCTGAAAACATGTGCACTTCCATAGCTCTCAACCTTATAGTTTATGTACAGTTCATACCGTTATCTGGTAAATCGACGTGTCGAGAACCCACCCACCCACCTGCCTCGAGTTGCGTGCGATGCGATGCTGGCACAAGAGTGCAGGTGCTCAGCGGGGGGGGTGCAATGCACCAAGCTTCCATTTCAAGCTGTTTCTTCGATTCATGGCTGCTCTTCGCTTTCCCCCAATTCACCAGTCTCGGAACAATGCAGGCCAACCATAACGAAGGCTTTCCATCTTAGGCTTTTACGTTGGCGAGTTACGAGAACACGCGCGAGTAGATTGTTATCCAAATAAATTGACTGCTGTTGCATATTTATTGATCGATTCTACATTCGGTCAGAAGGTCCAGGCACGAACGTTTATCGATTTAGTCGTACCGGCCGCCTTATGACGGAGAACATCGGCCTGATCAGCAGCATGGCGACCGAGGGCGTAGACCGCAAGGATCAGGACGAGGGTCAAGTGCACGTTCCCGAGGTAATCCCCCCCTGGCGCGAGACTCGGCCGGTGAATGCGGAGCACTGCGGTTTGTTCATTTAGGCATCTAAGCTTTCCGCTCCTAATCTGGACGAGGTATCGGCAATCCCTGAGTTTGATGTCGACCGTTGAGAAGCAACGTTCGTATACTCGTTAATGAGGTCTGGCCGGCGTTCAGCTTACCTATTCGTGCGTGAGTGATCGCAGGAGCGAGGGTGGAGTAAATTCTGGGCGTACGTCGGACCTGGATTCCTCGTCGCCATAGCCTATATCGACCCCGCCAATTGTGAGACATTAAAACTGCTGGTCATGTGCCAATTGTGTCCCTGCCCGTCGTGGGCACAGCGACTCGGTGAATCGGGGCGTTACAGGCGCCGTCGCTCTCACCGTCTCTTCCCCCCATTCCCATCACAATAACACACACTCACTCCATGCATTTGCTCCCTCTCTCTACCCCTTCCCTTTCTCTCGTCTCGTATTCTTCTTTTATGCAGTTGAAAGTGACCTCAAGGCAGGAGCAGCATATCAATACTCGGTAGGTCACGCTTACTTACACCTCAATCTTTTTTTTTTTTTTTTTTTTTTTTTTTTTTTTCCCTTACCATACCAACCATCAGCAGCTTGTTACTTTACTATCCCGTGACAACGTTTGCATTATCCATCCCATGCAAATCTGTCTCTTTTTGTGTTTTCAGCTGCTTTGGGTTCTACTGCTGGCATCGCTAGCAGGCCTCCTTATACAGTCACTGTCCGCCAACCTCGGCATAGTCACAGGTTAGTTCTCCTCAGCCCACCAGCAGGGGAGAGACAAGGAGCCACAGCATGGTTCCACATCTTCCAATGCCATGCTGCTGCCGTTCAAGCCTGCATGCCATTCCATGCCTGGCTATGTCAAGCCATGCTATGCCATGCCATGCCATGCCATGCATGCCATGCCATGCTATGAGATGCCCATGCCATGCTATGTCATGCCATGTTATGCCATTCCCTGCTATGCCGTTGCCTGACACAAGCTCACTTCATGTGTACACGGCTCTGCTTTTATGTGCCGTGCTGTGCCGTGCTGTGCTATGTGTGGTGTGCTGTGCCACACTGTGCGGCAATGCACGATGGCAGGCAAGCATCTGGCGCAGCACTGCAGGGCGGAGTACCCCCGAGGAGTCAACCTCGCGCTATGGGTGATTGCAGAGATCGAGATAATTGCCAGTGACATCCCAGAAGGTATATTGTCTTCTCCCGCCCACGTCTCTCCTTCTCGTCCTCATGTCATGTCTTCGCCTCTTCCTCCTCTCCCTTCCGCTCCTTACCTGGATGTATGGTGTGTATCCACCACTGCTGCTGCTCAACACATGCTTGCGCCTGCTTGTGTATGGCTTGCACTTGCCTGTGCATTCAGTATCCCTTTGCAATCCATGTGCGTGCGTGCGTGCGTGTGCGCATGTCTGTGTGCATGTGCGTGTGCGTGCATGTGTCTGTGTGTGTGTGTTCTTGTGTATGTGTGTGCATGTGTGCATGTGCACCTGTGCATGCGGGGCAGTGATAGGAACGGCCTTTGCGCTCAACATGTTGTTTGGCATTCGCCTGTGGGCGGGAGTAATCATAACCGGCTTCAGCACACTCCTCTTCCTCGGCCTCCAGCGATTCGGGGTGACCCTTCTCCCTGCGCCCACACTTCTCCTCCTCACACACTCTTATTATGAGCCGTCCAAATTAATTTGCATGCATGTGCCTGTCTCGTGTTCTGCTCTTTCAATCAGACGCAATACCATTGTTCTTGTGCTCACCTCCTTGCACCTTCCTCTTCCATCTTCTGCTGACCTCGTCCTCACTTCCTCCTTGCCTCATCTCCTCTCCTCTCCTCCTTCCCTCCGCAGGTGCGCAACCTTGAGGTGTTTATAGCGCTGCTGGTGATGGTGATAGCGTGCTGCTTCTTCATTGAGATGGGGCACGCACCGGTGGATGGCATGGCGGTGCTGGAGGGCATGTTTGTGCCGCGCATACAGGACCTGGGCGCGCTTGCCATCGCTATCTCGCTCATCGGCGCGCTTGTCATGCCGTAAGGACGAATGAATGGGGGTGGGGAGGGGGGTTGAATGCATGGCATGGCCGTGCTGGAGGGCATGTTCGTGCTGCGCATACAGGACCTGGGGGCGCTTGCGATTGCCATTTCCCTCATCGGCGCGCTTGTCATGCCGTGAGATGGGGTTAAATGGGAGGAGGGAAGGAGGGAAATGTGTTTGCTTGGTGTTGCATGGCATGGCGGTGCTGGAGGGCATGTTTGTCCCGCGCATACAGGACCTGGGGGCGCTTGCGATTGCCATTTCCCTCATCGGCGCGCTTGTCATGCCGTGAGATGGGGTTAAATGGGAGGAGGGAAGGAGGGAAATGTGTTTGCTTGGTGTTGCATGGCATGGCGGTGCTGGAGGGCATGTTTGTCCCGCGCATACAGGACCTGGGGGCGCTTGCGATTGCCATTTCCCTCATCGGCGCGCTTGTCATGCCGTGAGATGGGGTTAAATGGGAGGAGGGAAGGAGGGAAATGTGTTTGCTTGGTGTTGCATGGCATGGCGGTTCTGGAGGGCATGTTTGTCCCGCGCATACAGGATCTGGGGGTGCTTGCAATTGCCATTTCCCTCATTGGCGCGCTTGTCATGCCGTGAGATGGGGTTGAATGGGAGGGGGGAAGGAGGGAAATGTGTTTGCTTGGTCTTGCATGGCATGGCGGTGCTGGAGGGCATGTTTGTCCCGCGCATACAGGACCTGGGGGCGCTTGCCATCGCCATATCACTCGTCGGCGCTCTTGGCATGCCGTAAGGACGAATGAATGGGGGTGGGGAGGGGGGTTGAATGCATGGCATGGCCGTCCTGGAGGGCATGTTCGTGCTGCGCATACAGGACCTGGGCGCTTGCGATTGCCATCTCGCTCATTGGCGCTCTTGTCATGCCATGAGATGCGGTTAAATGGGAGGGGGGAGGGAGGGAGATGTGTTTGCTTCATGTTGCATGGCATGGCAGTGTTGGAGGGCATGTTTGTGCTGCGCATGCAGGACCTGGGGGCGCTTGCTATTGCCATCTCCCTCATCGGCGCTCTTGACATGCCGTGAGATGGGTATGGGGGTGGAGGGAGATGGATGGTGTGAGATGGAGCGATGGTGTGAGATGGAGCGATGGTGTGAGATGGAGCGATGGTGTGAGATGGAGCGATGGTGTGAGATGGAGTGATGGTGTGAGATGGAGTGATGGTGTGAGATGGAGTGATGGTGTGAGATGGAGTGATGGTGTGAGAGGAGGGATGCTGTAAGTTGGTTGGTATCATTGCATTAGCTGCACACACTCATGTTGTGTGTTTGCATCACCCTGCATATATGAGCCTCAAGGTATCATTGCATATCATCTTGTCCTTCCCTCACCTTTTTTAGCATTAGTTTCTGAAAATAGTCACACCTTCTTGATCTGATTTCCTTTTCCTTCTATGGTGACCTTTTCCCTGCCCTTTCCCCAATCCCATTTCTCTCTCCCCCTCTCTTCCCCGCTCAACTAAATCTCACCTCACCTCCCTCTCCTCACCTCCCTCTCCTCACCTTCCTCTCCTCACCTCCCTCTCCTTACCTCCCCAGGCACAACCTCTTCCTGCACTCTGCTCTCGTGCTCAGTCGCAAGCACCAGCGCACCGCTGCAGGAATCAAGGTGCAATTCTATGATTAGTTGGGGTTTTGAACAGGGCTGGAATGTGTTGGGTGCTATGCTATGGTGGTGGGTGCCAGGCACAATCTCTTCCTGCACTCTGCTCTCGTGCTCAGTCGCAAGCACCAGCGCACCGCTGCCGGTATCAAGGTGCGCTGCTCTCACTGCTGGGGGCTCTGGTGTGAGCTGGGCTGTGGTGGGGGCTGGTATTTGCCATGTGCTGCTGAGGTGAACGGGTTCTGTAAGGGTGTCTTATATCCCTCCTGCGCTGACTTTCCTGCTTTCCGGTCTTGACCCGAATCTGTCCAACCCCACCCTCACCCCCTTTTTCCCTCCTGGTCATCAGGACGGGTGTCTGTACTCGCTATTGGAAGTGGCAGCGGCGCTCATCATCAGCTTCGCCATCAACGTGGCAGTCATCTGCATGGGCGGTGTGGTCTGCTCTCCCACCTCATCTCTCCCCCACTCTCTCCCCCCCCCCCCCACCTCTCCGCCCTGCCAGGACGGGTGCCTCTACTCCCTACTGGAAGTGGCAGCGGCGCTCATCATTAGCTTCGCCATCAACGTGGCAGTCATCTGTGTGGGCGGCGCCGTCTGCTCCGCACCAAACCTCTCCGCGGACGTGCAGGCGAGCTGCAGCAACATCAGTCTCAGCAACGCCTACTTCCTGCTGCACGACGTGCTGGGCGCCTGGGCCTCCACGCTCTTCGGCGTCGCATTGCTAGCCTCAGGGCAGAGCTCGACCGTCACGGGGACGTACGCAGGGCAGTACGTGATGTCGGGGTTCCTGGAGCTGCACCTCGCGTCGTGGCTGCGAAATTTGCTCACTCGTCTCGTTGCCATTGTTCCCTCGCTCGCTGTTGCCATCATCGCTGGCGATACGGGCGCTGGCAACCTCATCATTGCGTCCTCGGTGAGTTGTGTAGGGGTTTCAGGGGGCGAGGGAAGGGAAAGAGAGGGGGAGACATGAGGAGTGTGGGCTGTTTTACATGGCATTTGGTCTTAGCATGCGCTTGTGCCTTTCAACTCCATTTTTGAGGTGCCTCAAAACTGGTCTTAGTAGCATGCCCTTGTGCCCTTTAACTCCAATTCTTTCCTCCTCTTCTCCTCCCTTTCACCCCGTACTACTTGTCCACGTTGTCTTCTGAGATTTTCCGCTTACCTCTCATCGTTCCACCCTACTTCCCATATTTGGGCCAACTTTAATGCCTCACTCCCCCCACCGTGCACGCGCGCAGATCATCCTGTCATTCGGCCTGCCCTATGCACTCATCCCGCTCCTCAAGTTCACCAGCAGCCCTGTCAAGATGGGGCCCTTCACCAACCACCCCACTGTAAGCAGAGCACGGCACAGTGAGCACTCAGCAGAACAGAGCAAGCCACAGTGAGCACTCAGCAGAACAGAGCAAGCCACAGTGAGCACTCAGCAGAACAGAGCAAGCCACACTGAGCATACAGATTCGTACCTCTGGAACCCACTATGCCGCAGCTTTGTTTGCAGCACACTGAAATCGTTGCATCACATCCGTGGGCATGTCATGCTCCCACTGCCTCTTTCCATCACAACATGCATGTGTCTATCTGTTCCCTCCCTTCCGCTCCGTCGTTCCAGGTCACTGCAGCTGCATACATCATCGGCACTGTAGTTATCTTTGTTAATTGCGTGCTCGTGGTGCAAGCCTGCGTGGAGTATCTGGTATCTGACAACCTGCCCCCGGGAGTCCAAATCCCCCTTGGGATTGCCATAGCCGTCGTGCTCCTCATATACGTCGTCTCCCTCGCACTGCTGGCACGACGGCCTGTAACGGAAGTTACGTACGTTTCGGCCAATGAGGGGTCGAGCGCTGAGCTTGATGCGTATTTGGGCTCTCCGCCTCATGACTTAGCGCGGAGTGGGGGGGATGGTGAGGTGTTTGATAAGGGCGATGAGGAGGGTGGAGAGGAGAGGAGAGAGGAGGGGAAGGAGGAGAGAGGCGAGGGAGGATCGATAGAGATGACAAATGGTGTGGAGGGGAAAGGTGGCGTTGGTGGGGATGAGGAAGGAGAGGTTGAAACAAGGGAGGGATTGCAAGAGGAGTTGCTAGAAGCCGGCCACATGGATAGCGCCTCGCTAGCCCAAAAAACATGACCATGCTGTCAGTTCCACCTTGGTGTTTTATGCTTCATGCTATACCTGTTACACTTCATTTTTGGAAAAATATACGAGGTGAGAGGAAGGCATAGTAGAGTCTCAGGAAAGTGAACAATTATCGCGTGACCTTTCGGCGGCTCATTTTAAATCGAGTACCACGCGGGTCGTATTCTCATGCTGATTATATTCGTCTCTTCTGGTCCGTGTGCGTGCATTGAGTTGCGTTCCTCTTTCAGCCTCGCGTCGCGCGGCTTCGCCGATGGCTCAGCGCCACGTGGCCGCGGCTGTCGCCGCGCGTAGGGGCTTAGTCCATCGCGCGTCTCGAGTTAGCGACGTCGTTGACGGCGCTTGTCGCGGCCAGCCGTACGATGCGTTCATTGGATCCGTTCCATCTCGAAGCGGCGATCCTGATCGCACGCTCCTCACATCGCTCCCGATCCTTCCCTCCGCGGTCCGTTCGCACGATCCTGGGTGTGACCATACCGAAAGCACTCGCTTCGGGAACCATTTCTTCACCCGACTTTATTCCCTCGCTGCAAGCACATCCTCCAACGTTCGTGAGGGGCACGACGGCAGTGACTATAGCGGGGGTAGGATGAAGCGGGAGCACGACGCGCACGAGGCGGTGGTGTACGCGCGGAACATCAACGAGTACAACGCCGCGGCGCTCGAGCTGTCGCGGTCGCGAAAGTGAGCTGCCGTGGCGCATCGGATTCACTCGCGAATCACGTGATCATAGTTGTTCGCGCGCGATCCCTCGGTTCCATCGCCGCACCATCCCACATTCCGGATCCTTGGTCGTACCGCGCATCACCTCCGCGGATCCTTCTCCGCCGATCACTCCCACACTCCCCCCGCCACTCGCCTCTCCCCCCATAGCTGTGTCTCCCGACTCGCGACCCGAGGCCGCATCTGATTCCTCATCTGCACTCCCCTTCATTCCCCGCGCCAACCCCCCCAACCCCCACCAGGCCGTACCTGCTGCGCACGCTGTACGGCGACATGCTGATGGACGGCGTGCAGCCCAACTTTGTGACATTCCACGCGGCCATCCCCCCTCTTTCCCATTCCCCCCGTTCCCTTTCCCCCTTTCCAGGCCGTACCTGCTGCGCACGCTGTACGCGGACATGCTGATGGACGGCGTGCAGCCCAACTTCGTGACGTTCCACGCGGCCATCACGGCGTGCATGCGCGCCAACCGCCTGCACGACCTCGTCTTCTTCTTCAACCAGATGCGCGCGCGCGGCATCACACCTGATGTGAGCCTTGTGTTGATGGCATGTGTTGTGAGAGGATCGGCTTGCATGTGGCACTCTGGGGATGGCACCAGATGCGCGCGCGGGGGATTACGCCCGATGTGAGTAGCAGGTCTAGTTGATGGCATTTGCCATGAGCAGGCATGGCATTTGATGATCTCCCCCCCCCACTCCCCCCTTTCAGCGCTACATCTTCGACTGCATCATAACAGCATACAGCCGCAGTGGGCACGCGGAGAGGGTAATGCGGCCTCCCCTCCCTTCCTTCCCATTCACCCCGCACGCCCCCCTCAACACCACCACACCCCAATCAGCGCTATATGTTCAACTGCATCATGATGGCATACAAACGCAGGGTGTTTTCACGTTGCCTCCCCCATTTCCTGCCCACCTCTCCGCCCTTCCCCCCGTTCTTCCCCCTCCCAGCACTACATGTGCAACTGCATTATGACAGCATACAGCCGCAGCAGCCACAGGAGAGGGTGGTCCATGTTGCCTCTCCCCAATTTCCCCCCCATTCCCCACTCCCCCTCCCCCCCTTCCCCCCCAATCAGCGCTACATGTTGAACTGCATTATGACGGCATACAGTCGCACTGGGCACGCGGAGAAGGTGTTTCGGGTGGACTGGGACATGCGCGCTGCAGGGCGCTCCCCCAACATCCGCACCTACCACGCGCTGCTCACCGCCTGCACCACCTCCGGCCGCTTCGACAAAGCGTACTGCTCCCTCTCAACCCTCTCAGCCTTCTCTCCTCTCTGTTCGTCTCGCCTGGTGCTGATTCCTCCCTCTCCCCCCCAACATCCGCACCTATTTTTGAGTCGACTCAAAAATATGAGTCGACTCAAAAATAGGTTTTGAGTCGACTCAAAAACATCCGCACCTATCACGCGCTGCTCACCGCCTGCACCACCTCCGGCCGCTTCCACAAAGCGTGCCTGCCCTCCCCTGCCCTGCTCTCTTTCTACCCTCCTCTCCCCTCCACGCCGCTGCCCTCCTCTCTGTGCATACAACGGAGGGAGCATCCGCACCTGCTCCCCATGGCCCCATGCTCCCAGCGCAGAGGTGCAGGAGCGCATGAGGAAGGACAGCGTGGCGATGAACAAGTTCTGCTACGCTGCGCTCGTTGCCATGCACCAGCGGGTCCGCCCCTCCTCCCCGCGCATCGTTGCCAAGGTGGGGGCAGGGGCGTGCTGGGCGTGAGGGGAGGGATGAGGGGGGCGCTCTCGGGGCGAGGGTAAGGGGAAGGGGAAGGGGCGCAGTGAGGGAAAGGTGGGGTGGATGGGAGAATGGTCACGAGGATGGATGCACACTGCGGAGGGGAGAGCGTATCACCATCACCGCACACACTTCCTCCTTGCTATCCTCTTGGTGAAACAACTTCCAGTCATTTCCCCCCCCCCTCTTACTCCACCTTCTCTTTCCCCCTCACATCCCTCACTCCTCTCACTTCCTCACTCCTCTCACTTGCTCACTCCCACTCACTCCCTCGTACCCCCTCGGTCCCCCCTCACTTCCCTCCTCCCCACAGATTTTCTCACTTGTGGAAGAGTCCATAACAGCACCCACCTACAGCCCTGAACCCGACTCCACCCCCACCAAAACCACCACTGCCACTGCAGTCACCACTGCCACCGCCGCCACCACTGCCGGCACCCGCAGCAGCACTGACCCCACCGCTGATTACCCAGCTGATTCCACCTCTGACTCCGCTGCAGATCCCTCTGCTGATGGCGCCGCTGCCACTGGTACCAGCAGCAGCGCCGGTGCAGCACGGGTGTCAGGTGCAGAGGCAGAGAGAGAGGAGATGAGTGAGACGAATAGGATGGAAGAGCAGCTGGCATTGGCGGAGCAGGAGGGCGGGGATGGGATGGGCATGGATGATATGGGTGAATACGGTGGGCGGGAGGAGAGGGCGGGAGGGGTGAGAGGAGGAGGCGGAGGCGGGCTGATCTATGCGAATGCGGATCTTGTGGTGCACCGCGCTGCGCTGAGGGCGTTCCTGGACGCACACCAGGTGCAGGTGCGTCCTGGGGAGACTTAGATGCAGGTGTGGGGCGTGGTTGATGGAGGTGGGGGAGAGGGGGGAAGAGCAGGAGAGAGGGGGACGCGTGGTGACTTCAGCATGGCTGTTGATGTGCTGTGAAGTGGCAATATCTAAGTCACTTTTAAGAATATGTGCAGAAAAATGGTGTTACTTGCTTTCTAAGAACTTGTGTGTGTGTGTGCGTGTGTTTGCATGTTCATGTGTGCTTGTGTGCGCCTGTGTGTGTGTATGTGTGTACGCATGCGTGTGCGTGCATGTGTGCATGTGAGTGCATGCATGTGCCCTCCCTCCCATGCATGCATGTGCCATCCCTCCCATGCATGCATGGGCCATCCCTCCCATGCATGCATGTGCCACCACTCCCATACATGCATGTGCCATCCCTCCCATGCATGCACATGCCATCCCTCCCATGCATGCATGTGCCATCCCTCCCATGCATGCATGTGCCATCCCTCCCATGCATGCATCTGCCATCTCTCCCATCCCATGCATGCATGTGCCATCCCTCCCATGCATGCATGTGCCATCCCTCCCATGCATGCATGTCCCATCCCTCCCATGCATGCATGTGCCATCCCTCCCATGCATGCATGTGCCATCCCTCCCATGCATGCATGTGCCATCCCTCCCATGCATGCATGTCCCATCCCTCCCATGCATGCATGTGCCATCCCTCCCATGCATACATGTGCCATCCCTCCCATGCATGCATGTGCCATCCCTCCCATGCATGCATGTGCCATCACTCCCATGCATGCATGTGCCATCACTCCCATGCATGCATGTGCCATCCCTCCCATGCATGCATGTGCCATCCCTCCCATGCCTGCATGCAGGCAGCATTCCGTCTGGTGCGGATGATAGAGGACAGCGGCATTGTCCCCGATGCTGCCCTGCAGACTCTCCTCTTCAGGTGGGTTGCTGCGCCTCTCATGCCTTGGTATGGCGTGGCGTGGCACGGCATGGCATGGTAGGACCTATGGCAGATTGGTCTATGGCGATGTGTTTCTGTTGCTCAGCTTTGAGTCTGCATGTTGGTATTTCTTGTTCTTGCTGATTGCGCTCACTGCACTCATTGCACGTGCTGGTGCATGTGCACGCACACACATGCACGCATACACATGCACACACACACACATGCACGCATACACATGCACACACACACATATGCACGCATACACATGCACACACACACACATGCACGCATACACATGCACACACACACACATGCACGCATACACATGCACACACACACACATGCACGCATACACATGCACACACACACACATGCACGCATACACATGCACACACACACACATGCACGCATACACACGCACGCACACACGCATGCATGCATCAGGGTGCATCTGCAGGCGGGCAACGAGGCAGAGGCGCTCAAGCTGGCGGACCTCTATTACGGCCCCAATGCGCGCCCCTACATCGACCAGTTCGTGGTGAGCCACAAGCTCAGCAGATGTGCACTATCATTTTTCCCCCACTCTGATTTCCCCACTCTGATTTCCCCACTCTGATTTCCCCACTCTGATTTCCCCACTCTGATTTCCCCACTCTGATTTCCCCACTCTGATTTCCCCACTCTGATTTCCCCACTCTGATTTCCCCACTCTGATTTCCCCACTCTGATTTCCCCACTCTGATTTCCCCACTCTGATTTCCCCACTCTGATTTCCCCACTCTGATTTCCCCACTCTGATTTCCCCACTCTGATTTCCCCACTCTGATTTCCCCACTCTGATTTCCCCACTCTGATTTCCCCACTCTGATTTCCCCACTCTGATTTCCCCACTCTGATTTCCCCACTCTGATTTCCCCACTCTGATTTCCCCACTCTGATTTCCCCACTCTGATTTCCCCACTCTGATTTCCCCACTCTGATTTCCCCACTCTGATTTCCCCACTCTGATTTCCCCACTCTGATTTCCCCACTCTGATTTCCCCACTCTGATTTCCCCACTCTGATTTCCCCACTCTGATTTCCCCACTCTGATTTCCCCACTCTGATTTCCCCACTCTGATTTCCCCACTCTGATTTCCCCACTCTTTGTGGTCTCCCCTGCTCTTCCCACCATCACGCCCCACCACCATGCCGTGCTGTGCCCTGCCGTGCCATGCCACCCGTGCAGCCTGAGGGAGCTGTTGAGAAATCTCATTATTCCCTGCAGTCCTGATCTTCCTTGCTCCTCCCCCCTCCACCACCCCACCATGCCATGCGTGCCATGCACACCACCCATGGCAGCAAGCCATCTCGTACAGCCTGAGGGAGCTGCGCCCCATTGGGATGAATGTCGCCCTGCGACTGCTGGTAACCACCCTCGCCCTCTCTCTCCCTCTTCTCACCTTCCAACATGCCCTCATCTCTCTCCCGTCCTCTTCTTTCACATATCACTACCCCGCGTCTTCTCTCGGCTTGGGTCTTCCAGACTCCCAGCCGGATCACTTTGACCCTTTCATGCATCAGCTATCATGCCCTTGCTGCCTATCTGCATGCGACAATCTGGTTCACTCTGACCCACTGCAACCAGTTCACCCATCTGCACCCCTCTGTACGCCTCTGCATGTGGTCCCACCAGGAGCTGTTCTTCAACCACGGCTTCTACTTCACGCGCAAGCAGGGCAGCCAGCTGCTGCAGGAGGCGCTCACCAGCGATGTGAGTGCAGGGATGTGAACGTGGTATGTGGTGATGTGAACGCAGTCATGTGAGTGGGTGGTCATATGGGTGGGGCATGCAGGAGCACCATATGGTGAATTGTAGGATGAGCTATGTGTCTCTTCCCCCCCACCACCCCCTCCCCTGTTCTCATAACATACAGAGGCGCAGCATGGCGGCAGCAGAGAGGCTGTTTGACCACGTGGTGGCGAAGCACCAGGCGCCTGAGTTTGATGCTGTGCTCGACTTCATGCGCGCTCTCCGGGTGAGTGTGATTGGAAGGACTTAAAGAATGACTTTTGAATCGACTCAAAAGAGGCTGTTTGACCACGTGGTGGCGAAGCACCAGGCGCCTGAGTTTGATGCTGTGCTGGACTTCATGCGCGCTCTCCGGGTGAGTGTCATTGGCTTTCATCAGCTCCCCCTTGTTACAGGTTTATCTTCAGTGCAAACGATGAGGAGGGGGGGACTGTTCAGGTTAGTGAGGGCAGTAAGTTTAGAAACAGGCTCTCAGGGAAAAAAAAGGCTGCTTGATTGCTTGCTGCCTTAAGGCTCTTTTTCGTAGCATTGCAGATGGCCAAGGTTCTGTGCGGTCTAGGTGCCTCCTGGCCTGTCTCTTGCTTTTCTTTTTGTTTGTCCATGAACCCATTTGTGCATTCTTGCTGTTGCAGCGTCGGCAAACACCCAAGACCGATGAGCGGTGGTTGCTGGTCCAAGACCTCATCAAGCGGCGGCGGAACATCAGAGGGATGTGGATGAAGGGAATGCAGGGCGAAGGCCGTGAGCATGAGTCACAGCTATCGGTGGAACACGATGAGGTATGATGTGGAAGACGACAATCTATGGAGTAAAAGGGTGGTTGACGCCAATAATCCGCAAAATAGAATATGTACCATAAGACCTTGGCGTATTTGATGGACGTCTGCTGAAAACATCAGCAGCAAGCAATCTGAGACAACATTAATAGATGGATTTACGCTGATCCCTACACCACAAGTTCTATATAAGGTTCTGGAATCTTCTAGTTCATGTTCATATCACAGCCATAAACTCCCTCCTTGTGCCGGGTTTAGCGAATTTCGCGCTGTTCGCCACGGGACCACAGACAGCCATCTCTCGAGCGTGCGACACGCTGGTGTAACACCGTCCCTCCGTCGTGCTTCGCCATTCCCATCAACGCTCTCCCTACTCTCGCCCTAGGGCTCATCTGTTCACCCTAAAATATCTCCCAACAGTAGGACCTCGTCATTTCGCCGCTCTATCTTGTAGGTACCAGCCGCAGATCTTGTTTCTCTGGTAATTAGCGAGCTGCTTGGTTCCCGTCATCTCATGCGCGCGGGCCTCTAGGGCATGGCCGGTCGCGGAATCGCGTTGACGAAGCCGGCATGGATGAAGGAGCAGGAGGAGAAGGCTAAAGCAGAAGCGGCGCGAGCAGCAGCCATCGCCGCCTCAAAGGCCGGCGCAGCAGGCGGAGGCGACGACACCGACAGCAGCGACGAAGAGGAGGAGGACGAAGCGACTCGACTCGCGAAGAAACCCATCGGGCCCGTCTGCCCCGCGAAGTGCTCCGCCGCGGGATCGGGCGTCGGGGGCGGATCGGCGGGCGCGCCCGTATCCTTCGTTATAGTCCTTAAAGACGAGGACGGGCGGCGGATCTTAGCGGGCGGAGCGAAGGTGACGGTGAAGGTGACGCCTAAGGCGGGCGTGCCTGGCCAGGAGCAGATCGCAGCGATTAAGGACCACGGCGACGGGTCGTACACGGCGACTTACACCGTACAGCACCGAGGAGATTACACGGTCAACGCGGAGGTCAACGGCAGTCCCATCATGGGCAGCCCGTTTCCGGTTTTCTTCAGCGCCGCTACAGCCGGTCAACCGGCGTCAACGCCTCTTCCGGTGGCGGTCAACGCGGCGCCGCCGCTGATGCCGACGCCGGCGCTGCCGACTCCGCAACTTCCGACGCCGCCGATGCCGACGCCGGGCATGCCGAATCCGCTGATGGCGGCGGCGCTGCAGTTCCGCGGGCTGCTCCCGACCATGGGCGGAATGCCCTTCACCAGCCCGTACCCTGGCATGGCGGGCGGCGTGCTTCCCGGAACTGGTAAGATTGAGATGGAGGATTTCCGCTTGTTCTGATGCTAGATCTGGGGCGAAATTAGATCTGGCGCGCGTGTATCCTGCTAAGCGGGTCGATTCTTATCAGATCACCGATTCGGTTTGTTGGAGGATTATACTAAATAGACGTTTATTAACGTTAGTCTCCCTTGCGTGCTGAGCGCTGCAGGAGGTTTGACGAACATGCCACTTGCGCCATCCGCGGCGGCGATGGCGGCGGCGCAGAGCATCATGGCGGTGCAGGCGATGCAGGCGCAGGCGCAGGCGCAAGCACAGGCGCAGGCTCAGGCGCAAGCGCAAGCTCAAGCGCACGCGCAAGTGCAGGCGCAGGCGCAGGCCCAGGCTCAGGCACAAGCGGCGGCGGCAGCTGCGGCGATTCAACAGCAGAAGCTGCTGCAGCAGAAGAGCGAATACGTTGAGGACTACTATTGTACGTGTGCCCGCCTTCCGTACCCCACCTCCTCTACCCCATCCCGCCTACCGCTCCCCATCGCACCTTCCTTTTGTTGCTTTTTCGCTTGTCGAAAATCGCAGTGCTCCTGACCTCGTCGCTTGTTGCCTTCTCTGTCGCCTGCGATGCACCTGGCGATGTACCCGCCCTGGTTTCCTGTCGCTCGTATTGCATTCTAAGCACACCACGCCACGTGTCCCTTTATCATCGCCATTCTTTCTCCCCCTTTCCCACTCGCTCCGTTCCACTACGCTGACTCTAAGCACACCACACCACGTGTCCCTTTATCATCGCCATTTCTCTCAGCCTGTATGTGCGACTGTGTGTGCGACTGTGTGTTCGACTGTGTGTGCGACTATGTGCGACTGTCTGTGTGACTGTGTGCGACTGTCTGTGCGACTGTCTGACTGTGTGTGCGACTGTCTGTGCGACTTGTGTGTGCGATTGGCAGCGGCGATGGACGACGACGAGTTGGAGCGAACGATGCACGTCACCAACGTCAGCTCCATTCTCACGCCCGAGCAGCTTCGCCAGCTCTTCGCCTTCTGCGGCACGGTTACCCGCTGCGAATTCCTCAACGACAAGAAAACCGTCGCACACGTTCGATTCGCGAAAGCCGACGAGGCGAAAGCGGCGCTCGCGCTGAACAACATGGCGGTCGGCGACAAGCAACTCAAAGTCGAGCTTGCGAAAACCGCGAAAGCCACGCGACAGGCCGTCCTCTCCGCGCTCGCTCCGCCCGCCCCCGCCCCCGCCCCCGCGCCCACCCCCGCGCCCGCCGCCCCCGCGCCCGCCGCGCCTGCGACAACCGCTGCGACGTCGCAGATGGCGATGCAGCAGGCCGTCGCAATGCCGTTTATGCAGTTCCAACAGGCGCTCGCGATGCAGCAGGCGCTGGCGCAGCAGGTGCGCAGCTCCGAGGCCAAGACCAAGGCGGAACTCGCCGCCAAGCGCGCGAAGGAGATCAGCCGCGCGATTGCGGCGGGCGGCGCGGGGAAGGACGACGGGAAGGACAAGGATGGGAAGGACGGGGACGGGAAGGGGAAGGACGGGAGCGGGTCGGACAGGTCGCGCTCGTCCTCCCGCTCGCGCTCGCGGTCGCGCTCCCCCTCCCGCCGCGACCGCCACCGCGGGCGGTCCCGCTCCCGCTCCCGCTCCCCGCGGTACCGCGGACGGTCGCGATCGCGCGATCGGGATCGACGGCATCGAAGCAGGAGCCGCGATCGGGGGTACGGATGGCGGGAGCGCGGGCATAATCATTCTTACAAGTACAGCCGCACTAGGGATTGGGAGGCTGAGGAAAAAGAGAGAGAAAGGGAAAGAGAGCGCGAGAGGGAGAGGAAGATTGAGAGAGATCGGCAGAGGGAGAAGGAGAGGGAGTTGCAGAGGGCGAGAGAGAGGGAGCGCGAGAGAGAAAGAGAGAGGGAGAGGGCGAGGGAGAGGGAGAAGGAGAAGGAGAGGGAGAGGGAGCGGGCTCGGGAGCGTGAGAAGGAGAGGGAGAGAGAACGAGCGAGGGAGCGTGGGCGGGACAGGGATAAGGATGAGGACGAGAGATACGAGGGCAGGCGCAGCAGAGGGAGGATTGAGGAAGAGGATAGGTACAAGGGGAGGTATGAGTCGGATGAGGAGGAGGAGGAAGAGGAGGAGGAGGGCTGGGAGGAAGAAAGGTCGCGCACGGGACGAGCGGGATTCGGAGGAGGAGAGTGAGGAGAGAGAGGAGGCCAGGCGGAAGGAATCTGCGAGGAAGACGAGGGGTAGAGGCGCGAGTGAGGAGAGTGAGGAGGAAGAGGAGGAAGACGAGGAGGAGAGGGGGAAGGGGAGGGGTGGGCGGAAGGAGGCGGAGCGGCGGGAGAGAGAGTTGAGAGAGAAGCTGCTTCGAGACAAGCTGGAGCGGCAGAGGCGCGAGGCGGAGAGGCGGAGAGGCGCGAAGGAGGAGGACGAAGAGGAAGAGGAGGACGAGGAGGAGGAGGAGGAGGAGGAGAAGAAGGGCGAGCGGGATGCGAGGAAGGGAGGGCGGGGCGAGGAGGAAGAGAGTGACCGTTCGGATAGGGAAGGTGGGCGGGGTAAGAAGGGGGAAGAGGAAGACGAAAGTGACCGATCCGAAGGAGAGGGAGAGAGGGTGAAGAAGAAAAGAGTGGAAGAGGATGAAGAGGAGGAGGAGGCGAGGCGCAGTGGGAGTGAGGAGAGGCATGAGGGCGGTGAGAAGGAGGATGAGGAAAGCGAGGAGAAGGAGAAGGATGCGGCGAGGTCACGGCGTGCAGGGAGTGAGGAGAGTGATAAGGGTAAGGGTAGTGAGGGTGAAGGAGAGAGGGAGGGTGAAGCAGAGAGGGTCAAGAAGATGGATGTTGATGAGGAGGAGAAGGGAAAGGGGAAGGATGAGAGTGAAGAGGAGAAGGAAAGGGAGAAAGAAAGGGATGAGAGCGAAGATGAACAGGAAGTTGAGAGGAAGAATGGTGGCGATGAGAGCAAGGAAGAGAAGGAAAAGGAGGAGAAGGAGAGGGAGAAGGGAGGGGATGAGAGTGATGAGGAGAAGGAGAAAGAGGATGAGAGGGAGAAGGAGGAGAAGGAGAGGGATGAGAGTGAAGAGGAGAAGGCGATTGAGAATGGGAGCAAAGGAGGATCTGAGGATGAAGCAGCAAGGAAGAAGGGAGGCGAGGAGGAGGAGGAGGAGGATGAGGAGGAGGAGGAGGAGGAGGAGGAGGAAGGAGAGTGAGCGGCACAAGGAGAAGAAGAGAAAGCACCGTCGAAGAAAGTACCGGTGAGTGGGAAACGTGAAACATTGTTGGGAAATGGGGTTTTGCATATGGTATTGGGCTGAAATGGCTTGTGTAAGCTGTTGTTGCCTTGAGTGCCTTGTTTATTTGACTGGTCATGTCTCATGTTGAGTTGAGTGAGGTACCTGATGCTTCTTTTCCTCATGCCTTTTGCCCTGCTTTTTGGTCAGGGATGACGACGAGGAGAGTGACGAGGACGAGGAGGAGCGGCGTCACAGGCGCAGCAGGAGGAGCAAGAAGAGCCACAAGCGCCGGCGCAGCCACCGCGACGACGAAGAGGAGGATGAGGAGGAAGGGGGAAAAAGGTCGTCTGATGAGGAGGAGAGGGATGATAAGGACAGGAAGGAGGGTGGTCGTGGGGGAAGGCGGAAGGAGAGGGGGTCTGATGATGAGGAGGAGAAAAGTGGAAGGCGGAGCAGCAGGAAGAGGTCGGGGCGAGATGATTCTGATGAGGAGAAGGGCCGGTCTTCTAGGGATAAGAAGCACCACAGCCGCAGCCACCGCTCCAGGTCTGTTTGTGCTTCACCCCTGTTTCAAAACTTTTGAACTTTCTTCTTTTCCTTGTACTGTGCTTTGGAGCATACGATAACTTTTGGCTGTAACATGTGTTCTTCAAAAAATTGTGGTACTGCAGGCGTCGCTCGCCTTCCCTCTCTCCTGCCCGTGGCAAGGACAGTCGCCGTCCGGCCTCCGATGACGACTCTCCTTCTCGCAGCGACTGATGTGGTTCTTGCCTGGGCTGCGTGATTCATCTCCTGTCTGAGTTGGAGCCTGCTCTTCCTTAGAACCGTCTGCCACCACACCTTCGCAAGAACCTTTTAGCTTTTCGTCTCCACTCTTCTTCTGCTACTGCTGCTGTGTCTGCAATTGCTGCTGGCCCCGCAACTACTGCTGCTTCTACTACTGCTGCTGCTGCAACGCGTTCCAAAGTCTATCTGCTATATCTTCAAGCCTCATGCTGAACTCTTCCCTTGATGGCGTTTGGGAGAAGGCTTCTTGGGAATGGGCTTGTTTGGAGCCCATGGATTGTGTGGGAGTGGATTGGATTTGTTTTTCATATCATGGGTCATGCTGGTTTGCATGAATGTGTATGAGTGCGCATCTGCATGGTTGTGCATTGGTGTGCATGAGTGTGCTGAATGTGCATGACTGATCATTCATGTGCATGAATGTGCGTCAAGCGTGAGTGTGCATCAATGGTCATGAATTCACATCAATGCGCATGCATGTGGATGTCATGCCTGAGCACGTGTGCATGAGATGTGCATCACTTTTCTGAAGTGTTAGCCAATGCAGGCCACTTTTGTCCTTCAGATCAACATACCAGCACAGGCAGCTAAACACCATTCATGTGGGGGCTCCATCTGCATTCCATCATGGATCATGCATCAAGCCAGGCATCAGCCAGCCATCCATTAAACGCACAAGGCAAGGCAGCTCATGCCATCTGTCCTTCTGTCTTCTCTGGCTGGAGAGCTTTGGTTGGCTTGTCCTGCTTTGTGATGCTATTTCACTGCAAGCATGGGATGCCTCCATATGCTGCTAGCTTGCCTTCTCATTGGCGCACGGTTGGCTGTTGGGGTGGACCATGTTCTCCTGCCCGCCCTGGTTGTCCTGTGGCTTGTGCTGCCGGCGTGGTCTGTCTGGGATTGTGATATGGTGTGAATTGATCTGGGGGATGGCAGATGGATTGAGGTATGTGCATTGTGGGGGAACAGATGGCCAGAGATCTGCTTTGGAGCATGGCATGTGTCACCACTGCTCTTGCTCCACTTTCAGTGGCTTGGTTATGTCCTCTGGTGTAGGTCTCTGCTGCTCTGTTGTCTTGCTGATGGTGTATACCAATGCTGACTTCCGCATTATTAGTCTTGCTTCTAAACAGTCTAAGCCTGCCCCTAGATGCGCACCCTTAATACCTCAAAGATCCCTCTGCACTACTGAGGGAAGCTGGGGTCCAGCAAAAGTCACTTCGACTACGTGTTCCGTAACTACCCAGTACTATACTAGCTTGCTTCACCACTTGAGAGTTGCCTTGGGGATGTACTGCAATGCAACAGGAACCAGATTAGTGCTGATGAGATTGCCAGAAAAGAGTCAACATCAAGCATTAGCAGGAGTAACAATGTTTATGCTTTGTACCTTGGCAATGAGTCTTTGATAGTAGGGCTTGAGCTCCTCCACGTTCAAGCGCTGAGCACTCTTGCTGTATAGGTCGTACTTGCTGCGAGAACGATTTCAAAGCACAGTTTCAGGTCTCAATGAGGAACGAGAAGCATGCAAAGAACAGTTCTAAACATCAATGAGCTCCAGGGATGTAGCATGTAATGTATTCTTACTTAAAATCCTTGAGCCATGGAAGCATCTCCCGATCAAAGTCATCCATCAGGTGTCGGTACTCCTCATCTCTGTGCAGAGCTGTGGCCAGGGGACGGTCAGAACTGAAATGTCACCACGAAATAACAGCATCAATGCACATTACGTGCTGCTTGCCGTACTCACCATAGAATGAGTGATAGCGGATCATGTAGAGGCCTTGGGGAGGAATGCTGCAGCCGTTTTGGACAAGGACTTGATACCTGCAGGAGAATAAACAAAGATGGTTTAGTTCGCTTGAGAGATTGAAAGAACCCCACACTTGGTAAGAAACGTGGAACTGCCACTCACATATACTCGTCATGGCCCCAGGATATGTGGACCTTGTCCATTCCGCAGCCTTGGTCATATATACCAAACTCTGTGCTCAGGTCTTCCACTGACGAGTCTGGATTACTGTTGAAGAACTGCAGGAGGGCGAACAGAATGTCAGCTTCAACTAATTTGGTTGTAGCACTTTCAGCGACCAACTGGAAATTCAGATGCTCCAACCTTTGAGTGGACGATCTTGTTGCTAAACCGACAGCCAACAGGAAACGTATCACCTGCAGTAAACCCACAAGACTCTTTTAATACCCAAGCATCACCGGAACTTGCTGCGTGTACCCAAAACAGCATGACTTACCAACGACTGCCCACTGGGGTTCGCTGCCGAACTTCGGATGCAGGAGAACCTTCCCCATGTCTGAAGCAGAAACAGTAAGAATATGTCAAATGGGCTACACATCATTGTACACCAACTTAGCAGAAAGTGCAAACGTTTTTAAGTAATTACCATGAAGGAACCCAACGAGTGGGTACCAGTCTTCTTCCTCGCTCGGGTGGTCCCTTCTGATCGCCTCCGCTGCCTGTAGTGCGTGCTCGATCTGTGCCATATCCAAATCGGGATCGCTGTCGTCCACGAGCTCGTTTAGCAGCTCCGCCGCTTCCCACACGCTCATCTCGGCCTTGTCCAGCTTCAGATGCCGTTCCTTCATTGCGAGCACCTGAATTGACGTCAGCAGGCAGGCAAACAATCAGTACACTCCATAACGTGTAACACTTGGAAGGACAAGCTGATCCTGCATCAGACTTACGAATCCCAGGGTCTGCTTGGAATGGTTAATGTGGTAGACGTTCTCGACCATCGTATTCCTCTCGTTTTCCTCGTCGTACTCCCTGAAAACAGCAGCGAGCGAATGTAAGTTTCTCGTTTTTTCTCAATGGACGGAAACGTTGCGGAAGCAGTGGAATGTACTACCTGAAGCCCCTCCCGAACTTGTTCTTCGGACTTGTGGAGCACGGAACAATCGCCATGTTCGACGGAGCGTTGATCGGAGCCATGGGTGATTAGAGCAGGAGAGAGGGCGGTAGTAAATTGCGTCAGCGAGACGTTATCACAGATCCGGAGCAACTGCGAATTGTGAACACCAAATCCCGTGCATGACGATTAATATACATGCGAAAGGACTAGAGCTGCCTTTGTGAAAAGGCGGTGCGATTGCCACTCAACTAGACAGCGTAAACGGCGGCTGTCAGAGAAATGGCGACAGGGGGGTCAGTCTGGCATGAGTTTTTCAGGCTGACTGACCATCTGCTGAAGGCAGCAGGGGGCGCCTTTCTGGAGATTTTCGAGCCAAGCGGCTCGGCTCTCCAGACATACTCGAGGGCATGACTCTGGGATTGGGTGTAAATAACCAAGTCGAAAAGATTTGAATACGTACACTTGTATTGGCATTCGCTACCCATAAATATTTAACTCACTCACAAAAAAAATGCTGGGAGATAGGAATGTGAATGTCTTCTTGTGTGCAACATGCACGAGCGTGGAAATTTCGAAATTCATACCGTACAAGTGATCGGCACTCTACGGTTTTAGATCCTATGCACTGTGAGAGGTTGCCAAGTTGAGCAACCTGAATGTTGCAACTGACTTCTGTTGGGCCCTTCGCAATCGCGTACATGTAAAGGTGTGTACACATCATCACAACTCCATTGTAGGAAGAAATGGAGCAAGATTGGAGGGGGTGGCAGCAGGATCCAGCTCTAAAGCACCACGGGGAGGAGGGGGTAACCTCTTAGGGCTGCTCTCATTGCCTTGTAGGTGGAAGCTTGGAACGAGGTGTGAGAAACTGTTGAGGCGAACAAACTGCGTTCCTCCAGGAATTCTCTGTTGAGGGAGGATGTGGCGGGAAAAGGAGATGGGAGAAAGTGAGTTGGCAGCAACAAAGGGAACAGCTACACTGCAAAGTTGGAAACCATATCATTACTGTACATATCTGCATGTCCCATCCACACTTGCCAGCATACCCATGCACATACGCATTCAAAACCCACGCAAACACACCTGAAATAGTGAGCTGAACACCCCACCAGGGACTCTCTCCAAGAACCACACAGCCCTCCACCCCATCGCTGTAACCCCATGTACTCCTGTTGCTGCTGCTGCTGATGCTACTGCAGGATCACTCGGCAGCGGTATGGACGACTCAGCAGGTATCACCTCCACCAGATAATACCTCCGCCTGGCAAACGACCTCTCCGCATACAGCGCCCACACCTGCCCTATCTCCGGCAAAACCGTAGCCGTACGCGCATTTGGGGAAAGCAGCTTGGAGATCCGGAAAGAGAAGGTGTTAACAGAGTCAAGTGTTGTGGGTTTGCCAAATTTAAAGTACCCAATACTGGGCTCTGCTCTTTCTGCTGGGTCAGCCAGAGCAGCTGCTGCCTCGGTCTGAGTGATGGCGGTCGCGGCAGCAGTGCGTTTCTTAGAAAGTGCGGCGGGCTCGAGCCAGACTATGGTGCAGGAGAAGGGCACGTGGGACACTTGGCGGATGGCGCCGAGGAAGCGGGGGAAGCCGTCAGAGTCATCATACAGGGTCCATACCTGTTGGGGGTGAGGGGCAATCGAACGAGAGCAGGAATTGTGGTGAAGCGTGGAAGCAAGGACCATTATGAGTTCAGGTGCAAGGACATAGCGGATGTGGAAACCACGGTGAGGCGATGATGATGCATCATCATGCATGCGCATGCTGAATGCTGGGTGTGGCATGAGAACAGGAACTCACATCGCCTTGTCGGAACGTTTCTTCTGTGCGATCGTCATCGAAGCAGTGGAAGTCAGGATCTGGAACAGAGAAGCGCTGTGCTTCTCCCCCCTCCTCCTCTTCTTCCTCCTCACTCTCCGCCTCCTCTTCATCAGACGAAATGAGCTCCACCACCTCCCCCTCACGCAGAAACCCATTCCTCTTCCCACCACCACTCTTCTTCCCACTCCCCTCTTCCTTCCTTGCTGCATGGCTTGACATCCCTGGCTTGCCTTCCATAGGCACATCCATGGAATTCCCCTCTCCTTGCACCCTCCCCGAGGCATCTCCAGCCATCCCATGCCTACCATCAACCCCAGATCCCTTGCTCGAATCACCCCCCACAGCTGCGTCTTGATCAGCCCTGGGTCTCCTGGGCTGACCGCCGCCCCCTGCGCCCACCCCATTGACCCCTTTCATCCCCGCCTCGGCCTCAGTCACCTCCATGACATCATCGTCATCATCGTCATCTCCCAGGTGGTATACCACCGGCTTCCTGCTGCGCGCCGACCGCCTCGTACCTCCTCCAACCATCTCCTCGTCCTCCCCCACCCCTCCTCCCGCTCCCTGTGCCTGCCCCATGCCTGCTTGCCACCCCTCGTAACCCCCCTGCAAGGGGTCCCTGTTTCCTCCACCACCACCACGACCAGCATCGTCATCATCACTGTCAGCGTCCATCCGAAAGTCATACTCCTCGTCATCATCACTGCTATCCCCTCCTCCCTTTCCTTCCTGCTTCCTCTTCCGCAGCCTGTTCCTCCGCCCTGCTTGCTTCCCACCACCCCTCTCACTCTCTCCACCTGCTGCTGCTGCTTGCACACCTGCAGTGCCATTCTCAGCACCAGAAGCTCCCGCAGCAGCAGCGGCGGTTTTCGCCTGTTGTCGTTGCCTGCGCTCCAGCAACTCGTCCATCTGCATCTGCCGCCTCACCTGCGCCTTCGCCTGTTCCTGCTGCACCTCCCCTGCTACTCTCTCCCTCTGCGCCCTCTCCTCTTCCGCTCTAGCCCTCAACGCCTCCTCCACGCTCCCTGTCTGACCAAACTGCTGGTTACCCACCCCTGCTGCACCTGCCTTCATCGCTGCTCGCACCCTCTCAAGCTGCTCCCGCTGCAGCTGCTGCTGCCGCCGCTGTGCTTCCTGCTGCAGCTGCTGCTGCCGCCGATGTTCCTCCTGCTGCTGCTGCTGCATCCGCCTCTGTGCTTCCTGCAGCCGCCGCTGCTCCTCTAAGTGCTGCTGCTGCAGCTGCTGCTGCTCTCGCCGCAATTGCTCCTGCTGCTGCTGAAGCCGCTGCTGTTGTTGTTGCTGCTGTTGTTGTTGTTGCTGGGCACTGTTGGCTGCCATACACCCCAGCACCATCCGCCGAAAACGAGAACGATGCAAAGTTAGCAGCACCAGGGAAAGCCCCCCCAGTCCCGAGCCCTCCAAACTGCCCTGCAACCGCAGCAGCTGCCGCAGCAGCGGCAGCGGCAGCGTCCCCGGCCGCTGCAGCAGCAGCAGCCGCGCCTCCCCCCGTGCCTCTCAGGGATTCCGCAACAGCAGCGGCCTGTGCGGCTGCAGCAGCTGCCATGGCAGCAGCAGCGTTGGCAGAGGAATGCACATTGCTGTAGGACGCTGGCATGCCGTACTGCATTCCGCCGTTGGGCATGAAGTTGGGTTGTTGAGGGACACCCCTCGCATGTGCCTGTGCTTGTGCCTGTGCCTGCTGTGCCTGTGCCTGTGCCTGTTGTGCTTGTGCCTGTGCCTGCCTTACTGCCTGTGCATGCGCCTGTGCGTGTGCTTGCGCGTGTGCCTGTGCTGCTGCTTGCGCGTGTGACTGCGTCCGTGGTTGTGGCACGCTGCCGTTTTGTTTACCAGCTGCATTGCCAGCGGCGGACGCGTTAGAGGCAGACGCGGTGGCAGGAACAGCCTTGAACGAGCTCTTGCAGATGATGCACTGTACAACGGCCGCCATGGCGTCCTTCAAGCACAAGAACCGTGTCCCGCACGTCGGACACCGTGTCTCGAACTGATTCCCCGCTCCCTGTCCCCCCGCACCTGCTGCTGCTGCTCCTGCGGGCGCTGCAGGCGGGGGCTTCGCTGCTGCTGGAGCCTTTTGTTGACTCCTCGAGGCCTTAGCGCCGGCTGCTGCTCCTGATCGGCCTGTGGTTACGTTCACTCGTCGCTTGGCGTCATGCACGGCCTTCTTCTGCTTGTCTGATACCACCGTGAACGCCTCGGATAGCAGCTTGAACGCCGCTTCCGCTCCGCTGGTTTTGTTCTTGTCGGGATGCAGCAGCAGCGCCAGGCGACGGTACGCCTTCTTGATCTGACTGTCGTCATCGCAGAATGCGGGGATTTGGAGGAGAGCGTACCAGTCCACGTCACCTCCCACGCGGTTCAGCGAAGCTTCGTGGACTTCAACCACCGCGGAGACCTGCGTGAGCCCGTCGAGATTGGGAAAGAGAGACTGCGCTTTCGTTACTAGTCGACGAGCTCTGGCGTAATCGCCGCTTGAAAGAGCCGCTTCGGCTAGCTCCTTAGCCTTCGCCGCGTCTTCTCTATTGCACTCCATCTAATTCAGGAACTGTACGAAGTTGCGGCGATGAGCTACTGATTATAAACGGCGACCTAGTATTTGAAATAAGCGCGAGTCCAAGCATCCGATCACAGTGCATGTACGTGGCAGACCCTAAGCTGTCCCGTGGATGCAAGTTTAACGAGCCTGGCATAACGAGGATAGCGGTATACAACCTGCAGCACTACGAGGACAGCATACTCTGCTCGAGATACTAAGGCGATAAAAACGCAGGTCCCCGGAGATAAAGACGTAAGGTCCCTTGCAGGACAACCTAGTCCCTGGTGCCTACGAAGGGAACCTGGTGTCTACGAAGGGAACCTGGTGTCAACAATACGCAGCGTGGATGGTGATTGTGGATCACAAAACCAAGGATTTCTCCCACCGCAAGAGCTCTGACAGCCTTGTATCTGGAAGGCTGCCACAAATCACCACTCTGCACGCGGATGCGTTTCGCAACAACCACACTTCAGAGTTTCATGACAAAACTCTAACTGTTTTCCGTAAAAGAAAAACGATTGCGTTTCCTGTGGAGTTTGTTCAGGGTTGACCCAGGGGACCACGATTTTTGTGTGATTTTACTGAAGGGAAGCCAGCATCTTCCCCCATCAATATCTACGCCACGTTGCGTGATTCGTTTTTCCTCCTCCACGTCTTCTCTAGTTTCCAGCATCAGAGTTTCATTTTGGTTCAGCAAACCAGCAAATCCTCCTCTTCCCTAGTGTTCGTGCTTTCTGTGCCGAACCCTAGCAATAATCTCTTCCTTTCTCGTCACTTGCGTCGACCGCCATGGGAAAGGGTCCTGGTTCCTTCTCAGACATTGGCAAGAAGGCCAAGGGTAAGACCGTTTGTCTCGACGGTTACTGTGTAGCTGTTACTTCAGCACGTCGTATGTACGTTCTGATCGAGCATTTATGGATCTTGAACAGAGCTCCTTTTCAAGCATTACGCTTACGATCACAGCATCAACATCTCCACAAAGACTGATTCGGGCTTGGTAAGTTCATCAGATACAGCTAAACTTGAGCCAGGATAAGATCTAGTAGTGCTGATGTTCCCTTTATTTGAAAATGCAGAAGTTTCAAACCGCATCAGTGAAGAAGGGAGACGAGGTGTCGTGCGATGTGAAGACCGAGGTCGAGATTGGAAACGTTGAGGCCGAGTTTAAGCTTGATACGAAGTCCAAGGTACGTATTGGCGGGAGTCCGCTCTAAGAATATAATGTGCCTTAGAAGGAGCCACGGGTTGACAGTCTGATTTGGAAACGTGTTCTTCCCTGTGTTTCAGCTTTATTTCAAGGCCGTTTACGAGGATCTTGCTCCTGGTCTGAAGCTTGCCCTAACTGGAATCGTTCCGGATTCGAAGGCCACCAAGGTGAGCGGGTGAACCCCGATTAGCACCCATTGTTTGCCGCGCGGAATGTTTTGAACTTCATTTGGTGTTGCGATCCGTTTGTTAAATATTGCATGACACGAGTACCTCGGGGTTTTGCAGGCAGAGCTGACCTACAAGCAAGAGTTGCTACACGTGAATGCCACCGTCGGTCTTGTTACACAACCCGTTTTCGAGGGTGCTCTTGCCGTCGGAACCAAGGGTGTGGTTGTTGGTGCTGAGCTTGGCTACGACACTGCCACTAACAGCGCGACCAAGTACAACCTTGGCGTGGCTTACTCCGAATCCGACTTCTCTGCTTCCTTGTTGATGTAAGCCTGTCTTACCCACTCTTATGTTTCCCATTATTTCACCACAGCAGTGGCTTGACGAATCCTGCAATGCTTTCCTGTGCTGCAGTGCTGACAAGCTGGACACGTTGAAGGCTGCCTATTTCCAGAAGGTGAAGAAGGACGTTGAGGTTGCTGCTGAGGCAGCGCACAAACTCTCAAAAAGCGATACCACTTTCACAGCCGGTGCCTCCTTCGAGCTTGATCCTCTCACAGAGGCCAAGCTCAGGTTCAACAACCGTGGCACAGTTGCTGCTCTCCTCCAGCACGAGTTCCGGCCCAAGTCCAAGGTTACCATTGCAGGAGAGGTTGACTCCAAGGCTCTTGACAAGTCAGGCAAGGTTGGGCTTGCCATTGCTCTCAAGCTGTAGCTAGGTGGTCTGTTCAATTGAACCCCACATCCCATACCAATAGTAGTGGTTATGAGTCCCACATGCCATATCATTGTTTATCTGTAGCAACCAGCTATAATTACCCAAGAATTAAACCCTGCGGTGCAACGCATTCTAATTGGAACAGTTCATTTGTGAAAAGACTTTGTGTATAGGCTGTTTCGCTGTTTCACCACCGAATCCTTAGTCCACCTACATGATCAGACCGGGGATGTCCTTAGGCAATGCTGGGAGCTGGGGAGCATTCTGAGTTACTGTACGGAATTTCTTCCTCGCATTGACTGAGCAGGCCATCGAGTCAGGCAGTATGAATGCAATGGCGTTGGATTCAGCTGTAGCCGCCTCGGCTCCAGGTAAGGTGCTCTTAGTGGGAGCGTACCTCGTTGTAGAGCCTCCTAATCAAGGCCTTGTACTCGCCACAAACGCGCGCTTCTACGCCATTGCGCAGCCGCTAATCGCCGAGAAGGAGAAGCAGGTTACGGATACAGCGGAAACAGCAGGTTTGGGCAGAGAGGGCCTGATGACCGTTTGCGTGGATTCGCCTCAACGAGGCAGCTGCTATTCTTTCGACCTGTCCCTTGAAGATCTCGCAATCAACAATCGCAGGTGAATTTCTCTAGATTGCGGGTGACGACTTTAGTGGAATAACGACTAGCCCGTGCTTGTCACTTGGCACTGTTGACACGTTGTGTTTTGCGCTATGTTCCAAAGGTCCATGCTCCCTTAATGTCCGTGCAGGGAAGGTGACGCATGTGCGAATGCATGCACAGGACAGAAAGGTCAGGCCAAGGGAGGCAGCGCGCAGAGGGTTTCAGGCAACCCGTACGTGGAGAGGGTGGTTCAGGTGGCCGTGGGAGCTGCCCTGGGGAAGACAGGCGGAGGAGCGGGGGTTGCAGCAACGGACAAGTGGCGGCTGAGGGAGAAGTTGGCAAGAGCAGGAGTGCGCATCATCATCGCAGGAGACAACGACTTTTATTCGCACCGACACACTGTACGCTGCCCCTCTATGCACATTCCCCCATGCATATTTCCCCATGCACATTCTCCCATACACATTCACCCATACACAATCCCCCATGCACATTCCCCAAAGCACAATTCCCCATGCACATTCCCTCATGCACATTCTCCCATGCTCATTCCCCCATGCACATTCCCCGTGCACATTTCCCCATACACGTTCCCCCATGCCGAACCCACATTTCCCCATACCCCATGCCATGCACATTCCCCCATGCCCGATGCATATTCCTTCCTCCATGCACATCCCCCTGTGTGTGAGCAGCTGCAACGGATGGGCCTGCCACTCTCTGCGTCCTCCCTCGTCCGCATCCCCTCTTTCGCCCCCATCGTCAGCAACCCCCCATCAGCATCCCCTGCCACATTAACACCCCCAGTTGCACCAGCAACCCCAGATGCATCAGCAGCAACCCCAGATGCATCAGCAGCAACCCCAGATGCATCAGCAGCAACCCCAGATGCATCAGCAGCAACAGACACATCAGCAACCCCAGATGCATCAGCAGGACAAGCCACGAGGGGCCACATGCCAGAGGTGGCGAAGACAGGGCTGGGGTCGTCTGCCGCCATGACTGCTGCTGTCTCCGCCGCCCTGCTGCGCTTCCTAGGCGTGTTAGGGGGTACAGGGAGTGCCGCTGCTGACGAGGATTGTCAGGAGCGGGCGATGGGGAGTGGTTCGGAGGAGAGCTTTCGAGAGGAGGCGGTGGGGAGAGCGGGGACGGTGGGGAGGAAGGAGGTGGTGCATCGGGTGGCACAGGTGGCGCACTGCCTGGCGCAGGGCAAGGCGGGCAGCGGGTTTGATGTGGCAGCTGGCGTGTTTGGGTCCATGTGCTACCAGCGCTTCAACCCATCCGTCATGCATGCTCTCATGGTGGGTGCTTGCTCGATGGGTGGGTGTTGCCATGACCGGAGGGATGGAGGGCGAAGAGACAGCACTTCAATAAAGCGTATGCACTTGTGTGGCGTTTCCTGACCCATGTTTCCTCCTGTCCCGTGAACCTTGGGGTTGTGGCAGGGAGCAGAGGCGGCACTGACAGTGAGCAGCATATCAGCCACACTGCGGTCTCCTCTGTGGGATCACACCATCGCTCCTCTGCACCTCCCACCAGGCCTTCTCCTGGTATGCAATGCATCCCTCCCACTCTCCCTCATTCTACTACCCCAATCTCCCACCCACTCTCCTGTTCTTGCTACATGAGCATCTATGTTATTCCCCTCCCACCATCCCTCTCATGCCTTCTTTCTACTTCACTCGGTGATTCTGCATGGTAGGTACTGGGCGAGCCAGGCACAGGGGGCACTGCCACACCCTCCATGCTTTCTGCTGTCATGAAGTGAGTGGGAGCATGGCAAATCTAGAACATTATTTGTTCACTCTTCGCACTGCTATGGGCGTTTTCAGAAATCACTATTTTCTCAGGTTAGCACCCATTATTCAATCACCCCACATTAACATCATGCCATCTTACCAGCATGCCATCGCCCATACCACTCTGCAGTTCGTTGCTGCAGCAGTCCCTCTGCTTTCCCTGACTCCATGCACTCAATATCCTCCTTCTCCTCTTCCCCGTATCCTCTCCCTTCCCACAGGTGGCGGCGGCAATCACCAGGGGAAGCAGAGCCCATATGGGACGGCCTGAAAGAGGCCAATGCGGCAGTTGCTGCTGCTCTCTCACACCTGTCCCTGCTCGCTCGCACCCATCCAGATTCCTTCTCCACCACTCTGAACCGCCTGCAGCACGTGCCTCTCACTGCAGCATCCCCAGTGGCGCCTGTTGCTGCCGCAACCGAGGTGAACCCCGTGTGTGCCTCCTATGAGGCAGCGGGGGATCTCCAGGCTGAGGTTGAGGTAACTCCGGAGTCTACTCCACAGTCGCTAGCAGGCACACCGGCGCGTGATAGCAGCGACATCAGCCATACAAGTAGCACCGTCGAGCCACACGCACCACAGCAACCACAGGAACGACAAGAACTGCAAAAAAACCAAGTGGAGCAGGGAGGTGACATCTCGAATACCATCCTACACGCCCTCCGCACCCTGCGGTCCTCCTTCCTCTCAGTGCGCCACCTGCTCTGTGCCATGGGCTCTGCTGCTGCCACACCCATCGAACCCCCCCAGCAAACTGCCCTTCTGGACGCCACCATGCAGCAACAGGGGGTGGTGATGGCGGGTGTGCCGGTCCCAGGGGGGTTTGACAGCGTGTTTGCGGTGGTGGTGGGGGAGGAGGCCGCGAGGAGGCTGGATGGCGTGTGGGCGGGGATGGGGGTGATGCAGATGGGTGTGCGGAGTGCCGCGGAGGGGATGAGGTGGGAGGAGGTAGAGGGGGTGATGAGGAGACTGAGAAGGGGATGAGAAACACGGGTCAATGTGGCATGGTCAATGTCAGAATAATGATTTGCCCTTTCCCTCGGTCTTCACACATGTTCACCCCAATCAGAGTGCACTACAAGTCACTGAATGTATGGGTGCGTTTTCTCATGGAATACATGCATAGAACAAACAGGCATATGGCTACTCGTGCCATGTACTGTATTGGTAGGACTGGTACAGCAAATGCATGGCCACTACCGTATGTAATGTCTTACAAGTCTACTTCTGCAGCCCTAACATGTCATGGGTTCTAACTAAACCATGTCTATCTTTTCTGCTTGACCTTCTGGTTCTGTCACTCCACCTCTGGGGGCAGAATTAGGGCACAATAATTAGAGAAATCCTCACAATTATGATATTGCATCATACGGTACAATAATTCGGCTTGAGAGTCTGTTAGTGATGCTACTACTACAATGGTGTTACTGTGGTTAGTTACCCTTGCTCCGGGTGCCTCTTCCACCCCTCTCTATTCCCCCTTCCAAGGCACCTAACGAGGCACCTGACGAGGAAACTGACGAGGCACCTGACGAGAACCTGCCAAGGCACATGACAGGCCTCTCACTTGCCGGCCACTTCACTAGGGCTCCTCGTGGATCTGTGGCTCGACCACGAGCGTGTGGCGGTCGCTGTGGAAGTGGAAGGGCGCCTCAAAGGCAAAGGCGGAGAGGTCGTGCACCTGCCACTCGTGCTCGTGCACCCCCCACAGCGGATCCACCATGTGCTCCCCACACCAACTTTCACACCCATTTGGAGGCCCCTGAGAACGCAGTCGCCACCATTACTCGGGTTCCTTGTGGGTCTGTGGCTCCACCACGAGGGTGTGGCGGTCGCTGTGGTAATGAAAGGGCGCCTCAAAGGCAAAGGCAGAGAGGTCGTGCACCTGCCACTCGTGCTCGTGCACTCCCCACAGAGGATCCATGCCCACCCCCACCTTCACACTGCGCCGCCGCACCAGCGCCCGCACCGTCGCACTGAAGGCTCGGATGGAGGCTCGGGACGCGGTGGGGGAGGTGGGAGAGGCTCGGATGGGGGAGGTGGGGGAGGGTTGGAGAGTGGGGGATGTGGCGGGGGAGGGGTGGGAGGAGGGCGATGGGGAGGAGAGGCTGGGAGGGTTGAACTCGATGCTGCTGGTTACCACGTACTGTGTTCATGCAGGTGTATGGAACAGGATGGGTGGGAGAGAGGGAGAGAGGGGAGACAAAAAACAGGCAAGGAAGAAAGGAATGAGGTGAGGGTTGAACTCGAAGCTGCTGGTTACCACGTACTGTGTTCATGGCGGTGTTATAGCGCAGTGCGGGTGGGGAGGAGGGAGGGAGGACGAGACAGAAACAGACAAAGAAAAAATGAGGTGAGGGGAGAGAGGCAAGGGGATAAGAGTGGGAATATACAACTGGAGCGCAGCAGCACATTAACATGCACTATGAGCGGTCATGTGCTCGCATAAGCAAAAGAACAGCCGACATGGCAGAATTTGAAACAATGATGCGGTGACGTGCAGTGCAGTGCAGTGCGGTCCAGTGCAGTGCGGTGCAGCAGCACTGACAACGAGGGAGAAGTCGCGTTTGAAGGGCCACTTGAGCGCCCACACGGTGCCTGGCTGGGGATACACCGCGAAAACACTCCTGCTCGGCCCGCTCGCTACCCTGCGCACCCTCCACACCCTGATGGGGGTGATGGGGGTGATGGGAATGATGGGAATGATGGGAATGATGGGAATGATGGGAATGATGGGAATGATGGGAATGATGGGAATGATGGGCATGATGGGGATGAGAGTGGCGTTTGAAGGGCCATTTTAGCGCCCCAAGTTCGAGCCTGGCTGGGGATACACCGCGTGCACACTCCCGCCCGGCCCCCCTGCTACCCTGCACACCCGCTGCACCCTGATAGGCGAGATGGGTGGGGTGATGGGGGGTTGTGGGATTAATGTGGTCGATGGGGGTGGTGGTGATGGGGTGATGGTGGTGATGGGGTGATGTTGGTGATGGGGTGATGTTGGGCATTAACGGTTACGACAGTGGTTGATGAGCGTGATGGCATACACAAGCACAGCAGAATGCTGGCAGCGCAGAGACTCGCAGTGACAACAATACCTGTGGCTGAAGACAGTGAGGCTGGTGGCTGTGTATGTCTCCTGCTCCATCTCGTACAGCCCATTGGAGGCACCTCAAACGAGATGCCAGAGGCAGCCCATTGGGCAGAGCAGAGAGGCGGCAGCTGATCAGTGAGGGTGTACGTGAGCTAGAGGGCACAAGGGCAGAGAGAGGGCACCTGTGGCTGAATACAGTGAGGCTGGTGAGTCTCCTGCTCCATCTCGTACATCCCTTCTGAGACGCCTCATACGAGATGCTATTGGGCAGAGAGAAAGTACCAGAGCAGAGAGAAGGCGCTGAACAGAGAGCAAATTACCTGTGGCTGAAGACAGTGAGGCTGGTGGCCGTGTGAGTCTCCTGCTCCAACTCATACAGCCCTGCTCCATGCCACGTGTGCTCGTCCTCCTCCTCCCCTTTATACTCCTCTTCCTCCTCATCCTCATCCTCCTCCTCCTCTTCCTCCTCGTCAGCACTCTCGCTCTCCTCCCTCTCTTCCCTCTTCCCATTTGCAGGATGCCCATTTGAGTCAGCATCTACGAGATAGAAGTACCGACTGGGTGGAGGGACGGGGATGTGGGAGGGTGGAGAGAAGGGAATATCCAAGTGTAGAGGGATGAAAGTGTGAGTGCGAAAGACCGCGTGCGGAAGTAGAGGCGACTAGCAACGAACAAACAACTTGCAGGTATGGCTCTACAGGCCTTGCGAGTGCCCTTTTAACAGGAAACGAGTCTCAAGATGTACTGGGGGACTGTGGCTGGTGCAACCGAAGCAACAGAGGGGTGTGTCCCACTGCCGTATCCAGCCAAATAATGTACCACGGAATCCCAAAGCGGTGACATGTCCAGATATATACAGCCACGGATCACCACAGATATATACACCACAGACATCCCAAAGCTGAGGGAAGGGAAGAAGGAGCGCCACGGATCAAGGTGGTCAAAGGAATCAAGGTGGTCAAAGGAATCAAGGTGGTCAAAGGAATCAAGGTGGTCAAAGGAATCAAGGTGGTCAAAGGAATCAAGGTGGTCAAAGGAATCAAGGTGGTCAAAGGAATCAAGGTGGTCAAAGGAATCAAGGTGGTCAAAGGAATCAAGGTGGTCAAAGGAATCAAGGTGGTCAAAGGAATCAAGGTGGGTGGCAGAGGCATTACCAGGACCCTGGTGGCAGAGGCATTACCAGGACCCCGAAAAGGGCTTACTAGGTGATGCAGAGTGGTGCTGGCTTGCGAAGCGACTCGGTATCGAACCTGCCGCCCTCCACAGAGAGAATCAGCGCGTACCAATTGGGTAGCTTGCTCCAGCTGTACGCCGCCCACACCTGCATGGCGCGGTGGGTAAGGGTGAGGAGGGGTGGAAAGAGATGGGAATGGCATGGTGCGATGGGATGGGGGTGGTAAGGGTTTGGGATGGCGTGGTAGGGAGGGGAGGGATGGGAAGGGTGGGTGGTTGGATGGATGAAGCAGGGAAGTGCACTAGAGAGGAATGAATGTGTTATCACTCAGATCGTTGCCCCACTCACTGCCTGCATCCCCCCTGCTTTGCACCCTTGCTCACCACTCACCTCCCCCACGCACCAACGCTCAGTGTGCTCACCTCCCCTGGGACCACAAGAGAAGACTTAGCGCGGGTGAGCAGAGACAGGGGTGAGCAGACTTAGCGCGGGGGACATGTGGCGGCACACAGGCCAGCAGCACACAGGGGGGAGCAGAGACGCTCCTTTTCACTCCCTGCACGACCTTGCTCTACTCATACATAACCTACCCCAACACACACACACGCGCTCACTGCTCTCACCTCCCCTGGCACCATGAGGGCGCACTTGGCACGAGCGACGTGGGGAGGCACAAAGGCAGGCAGCGCACAGGGGGGAGCAGAGAGGCGCAGCGACGGGGAGAGCAGTGGCGTGAGCAGGTATGATATCACTGCCACCTATGGGAGACGAGGGGGAAAGGGGGCAATGGAGGGGTCGACGATGGATCGGGCAAATGGGTGAATAATAAAGTGGTGAGGGTGGGATTGAATTTTGAGAGGTCTCAAAAGGGGGGAAAGGGGGCAATGGAGGGGTACGATGGATAGAACAAGGGGGGAAAAATAGAGTGGTGGGATTGGTCGCATTGCAGGAGAAGGTAGCAGCATTGTGAAAGGCTTAGCAGGTAGGAGAAGCAGTATGCAGTATGTGACATGCATGCAGAGAGACAGCAATGCAGTCGGCATGCAGAGAGACAGCAATGCAGAGACACTCAACTGGAAATGAGTTGCCCAGCAGACCCCATCGGTCCCTCTCCTGCAGCTCCTCATGCCCTCTCTCCTTCCCCGCACTCGCCTCTTCCCCCTTCTCCCTCCCACTCGCCCTCTCACCACCCCCGCTCCGCCTGCCCCGCGTCTCCTGGGCCCACTGCTGCACGCCCCTCCTCCTGGTGTTGAGGTGATGCAATGGAGGAGGGAGCGAGGGAGGGAGTGAGGGAGGGAGGGAGGGAGGGAGGGAGGGAGGAAAGAGGAGAGGAGAGGCGAGGAGAGGTGAGATAAGGGGAAACCACACCACCTCCCATGCACACCACCTCCCACGCACACTCTTTCTCAATCACACCACCCCCCACTCACACCACCCCCCACTCACATAAGCGCTGACTCGCTGTAGAACCCAACCCCTGGTCGCGATCGCAGTGACCTCCCAGTACTGCCACCAGCAGAAGCAGGTGCAGCAGCAGACGCAACATCACCAGCAGAAGCAGGTGCAGCAGCAGACGCAACATCACCAGCAGAAGCAGGTGCAGCAGCAGACGCAACATCACCAGCAGAAGCAGGTGCAGCAGCAGCAGCAGCAGCAGCAGCAGCAGCAGGAGGAGGAGGAGGAGCACTAGTGTTCGCTTGCTCTCAAAACCCCCTTTGTTCGTCTATTGCCCCTGTTGCCCTGTCCTCCACCGTCCTCCTCCCTTCTGCCCATCTTTTCTCGACCCTTCTTTTCTCCCATTACTGATGCTGACACTTCAACCACATCATCGTTATCATCATTATCTTCATGATCCGTTGCATGACCGTTCTCCACCGCATTATCACCCTTCAACACCCCAACATCACCGCTCTTCACCGCATTATCACGATTCAGTCCTGAAGCACCATTGACAGCAGCACCACCATGATAACCAGTAAAAACATCATCACCCTCATCACCATCAGCATCCGCACAATCACCACTTCTCACCGCATCACACCGAGCCGCACCCTGCAACTCTCCTCCATCTCGCCCCTTCCAGACTCTCCTCCTCTTTCCTCCACCTCTCTCCCTCTCTCTATTCGCCCCTCCATTCATCTTCCCCTCCACCCACCTTCTCACCTCTCCGCCCTTATGTATCCGCCTCTCACCACACGCCTTTGCTTCAACGCCCAACACCCACTTCCTACCATCTCTTCCCACCACACCCAGCCCCTCAGCGCCTCTCTTTCCTCCTTCATATCCCCGGGAAATGCATGCGCTCACCTCCCTCACCCCCCTCACCTCCCCCATTTCCCTAACCTCCTCCGCGTCCTCTCCCTCCTCCTCTCTCACCTCCCCTTCCTCTCTCACCTCCCTCACCCCATCGAACACTGCCCTGCCTAACACTCGCACAGGGGAGAAGGGCGTTACAGTTGGATCGCTGGCACCTGCTGCATTAAGTTCCTTCACCCCTCCCTCGCTCCTCACTCCTCCTTCACTCTTCACTCCTCTCTCGATCTTCACCCCTTCTTCGCTCTTCACTCCACCACCGCTTCTCACCCCTCCCTCGCTCTTCACCTCCCTCACGTCTTCTCTCTCCTCCTCCTTTTCCTCCCCTCTCGAGCAATCAGCCTCAACAGACTTCCAATTCCCAATACCAATTTCTCGCCCCTTCCCCGTCCCTGTTTTCCCCCCTGCCGCCCCTCTCCTCCCCGCCTTGATTGCGGCGAACCGGGCGGCGGGAATCTTGGTGTATCCGGGCGGGAATCCAAAGATTCTCTCGATCTCGTGGGAGAGGAAGAAGCGGGCGGCATGCGAGCGCAGGCAGATGACCTGATTGGTGCGGCCCTTGCCAGCCGTGCGGTAATTGGTCTTCATGATTGGCTGGGGGGGAGAAAGGGAGGCAGGGTAGTAAGGGGATTATATGGAGGGGTGTGGGGTTAGCAGAGAGAGAGCGGGCGACCTGGTAGGTGTAGCCCTTGCCCACCAAACGATAGCCTGGCGGGGCAGGGCAAACGACAACCCTCGTTGGGCGAACGAGAGAGCATGCAAAGGTTGGTCCTTATGATAGTGATAGCCTGGCAGAGCGACCGACAACCCTCCATGCGCCCCTCACCCACCCCGCACTTGTCTTCAGTGGCAATCGCATCACACAGCTTGCTCTGCAGCAGCGTGGACGGGTGGCAGCGCACGGGCGGCATCTGAGCTGGCAGCGGCAGGTTGGTCCAAAACAGCCGCCGTCGCGCCTGCGCGGTGAGGTCGGCGCAGTCGATGCAGACGGGCGGCACTCCGAGATACTTGGAGATCTCGTCGCGATCCATCCACTGCATGCTCGCCACGTTCTCCAGCAGAAACCTGATGGGGGGTCGGCGAGGTGTGCGCATGACGGAGTGAGCAAAGACAGCAACCAGTAAGCAGCAGCGTCAATCCGTTCATCCATCCATCCGTCCATCCGTCCGTCCATCCGTCCGTCCATCCATCCATCCATCCATCCATCCATCCATCCATCCGTCCGTCCGTCCGTCCGTCCGTCCGTCCGTCCGTCCGTCCATCCATCCATCCATCCATCCATCCATCCATCCATCCATCCATCCATCCATCCATCCATCCATCATCCATCCATCCATCCATCCATCCATCCATCCATCCATCCATCCATCCATCCATCCATCCATCCATCCATCCATCCATCCACTGCATGCTTGCCACGTTCTCAACCAGGCACCTGCTGACGTGGACAGGGAATGCGGACTGAGAAGAGGGCTCGCACGAGGGCAACGACATGCATACACTGCAGTGCAGTGCATCTTACCAAGCACTCTTTTGAGGCGCCTCAAAAGTGCATACACTGCAATGCATCTTACCAAGCAAGCACTCTCACCAAGACATAGCCGCAATTCTAGAGGTCACCATCTGGGTAGCAGTTCACTCTTTAGGGGAAAGAGGCGGTTACCATCGGGGCGAGAGCTGTTGAATGAGGCGCAGTAGGTGGAAGAAGAGACCGCTGCGAGGGCCGTGCAGGCTGGCACATGCATGGTGAGGGGTTGATTGAACATGTGAAAGAGCAGGGACGCACATGCGGGGCAGGGAAGAGGGGAGGAGGTGCAGGGGAGGGCAGGAAAAAGGAAACCGTTTGGGGGAGAGGTGCTGGATGAGGCGCAGGAGGTGGAAGAAAAGGCCACTGTGCGGGCCGTGTAGCCTGGCACATGCATGGTGAGGGTGAACGCGTGAGAGGGCAGGGCGAGAGATGCAGGGAGAGAGAGGCAGGGCGAGAGATGCAGGGCGAGAGATGCAGGGCGAGAGATGCAGGGCGAGAGATGCAGGGAGAGAGATGCAGGGCGAGAGATGCAGGGCGAGAGATGCAGGGCGAGAGATGCAGGGCGAGAGATGCAGGGCGAGAGATGCAGGGAGAGAGAGGCAGGGCGAGAGATGCAGGGCGAGAGATGCAGGGCGAGAGAGGCAGGGCGAGAGATGCAGGGCGAGAGATGCAGGGCGAGAGATGCAGGGCGAGAGATGCAGGGAGAGAGATGCAGGGCGAGAGATGCAGGGCGAGAGATGCAGGGCGAGAGATGCAGGGCGAGAGATGCAGGGCGAGAGATGCAGGGAGAGAGATGCAGGGCGAGAGATGCAGGGCGAGAGATGCAGGGCGAGAGATGCAGGGCGAGAGATGCAGGGAGAGAGATGCAGGGCGAGAGATGCAGGGCGAGAGATGCAGGGAGAGAGAGGCAGGGCGAGAGATGCAGGGCGAGAGATGCAGGGAGAGAGAGGCAGGGCGAGAGATGCAGGGAGAGAGAGGCAGGGCGAGAGATGCAGGGCGAGAGATGCAGGGCGAGAGATGCAGGGCGAGAGATGCAGGGCGAGAGATGCAGGGCGAGAGATGCAGGGAGAGAGAGGCAGGGAGAGAGAGGCAGGGCGAGAGATGCAGGGAGAGAGATGCAGGGCGAGAGATGCAGGGCGAGAGAGGCAGGGCGAGAGATGCAGGGCGAGAGATGCAGGGCGAGAGATGCAGGGCGAGAGATGCAGGGCGAGAGATGCAGGGCGAGAGATGCAGGGCGAGAGATGCAGGGCGAGAGATGCAGGGCGAGAGATGCAGGGAGAGAGATGCAGGGCGAGAGATGCAGGGCGAGAGATGCAGGGCGAGAGATGCAGGGCGAGAGATGCAGGGCGAGAGATGCAGGGCGAGAGATGCAGGGCGAGAGATGCAGGGCGAGAGATGCAGGGAGAGAGATGCAGGGCGAGAGATGCAGGGCGAGAGATGCAGGGCGAGAGATGCAGGGCGAGAGATGCAGGGCGAGAGATGCAGGGCGAGAGATGCAGGGCGAGAGATGCAGGGAGAGAGATGCAGGGCGAGAGATGCAGGGCGAGAGATGCAGGGCGAGAGATGCAGGGCGAGAGATGCAGGGCGAGAGATGCAGGGAGAGAGATGCAGGGCGAGAGATGCAGGGCGAGAGATGCAGGGCGAGAGATGCAGGGCGAGAGATGCAGGGAGAGAGATGCAGGGCGAGAGATGCAGGGAGAGAGAGGCAGGGCGAGAGATGCAGGGCGAGAGATGCAGGGCGAGAGATGCAGGGCGAGAGATGCAGGGCGAGAGATGCAGGGCGAGAGATGCAGGGCGAGAGATGCAGGGCGAGAGAGGCAGGGCGAGGAAAGGTCAGGGCAGGGAGGGAAGGAAAGGGCATAGGAGGGAGAGCGAGGGAGGGAGAGGGGATGAGTAAGGGCGGGACGTAAAGGGTTCTGCAGGAGAGGGGGAGCATAAGATGGCGAGGCGAGGGTGCAGGAGTGGTACATCCTGGCAGTGTATGCAATGCAATGCAAGAGGGCGGGAACGAGGTGACTTTTGCGTCGACTCAAAAGAGGGTGCAGGAGTGGTACATCCTGGCAGTGTATGCAATGCAATGCAAGAGGGCGGGAACAGCAGATGGAACGTTTCTGCTGTGCGCTCGCGCTCCTGACACTCACCCCACCCTGTTTCTGTTCATGCTGCTCAGATCCTGACAAGGAAAGCCGCCCACTAGCAGGTCCACCTGGACGCCAGCGGGAACATCCGGTGAAGCTTCCTTGCACTTTCTTGATCGAAGCTCCTTGGTGTGCGCAGCAGAGGCAGCAGCAGCAGCAGCAGCAGCAGTGGCACCACTAGCAGCAGCAGCAGCGGCAGTGAGGGCGGAGTGAATGGTGGCGGGGGTGAGGGCGGTGATGTCCCCCACATGCTGCACGGCCGGCCACCTGTGTCTCACCACCTCCGCTGCGAACGGATCCTGCACAAGGGAGAGGAGAGGGAGAGGGAGAGGCGAGGGAGAGGAGAGGGAGAGGCGAGGGAGAGGGAGAGGCGAGGGAGAGGAGAGGGAGAGGCGAGGGAGAGGGAGAGGCGAGGGAGAGGAGAGGGAGAGGCGAGGGAGAGGGCCGCCTTTTGAGTCACTTGTGAGTATTCTCACAGTCAGCTTGGCCACCTTTGCTTCACCAACTGGGCGCTTGTTGTTTAGGAGCGCCTGTAGTCCATCCAGCGCACAGCCAGGCACTCACGATCTCAGAGCTGACGCCCGTGAAGGGAATGCCGCAGTCGTGCAGCGCCTGCTGCTTCAGCGCCTCAGATTCAAGAGCACGCAGCAAGGCACGGCACTCACGATTTCAGAGCTGACGCCATGGAAGGGAATGCCACAGTCGTGCAGCGCCTGCCAGATGGCGCCGCACCCGTCGAACACACTCACCACCGTCAGTGCGCGCCCCTCCCACGCCCCCGCCCGCCTCCGCGCCTCCCCCAGCCAGTCCCCGTCCCATCCCGCCCCCCCCTCCCCCGCCCATTCCCCCGGTTGCCCCGCCCAAGCCCCCGAGTGTGATCCCCGCGCCCCTTGCTGTCCCCCAGCCCGCGCAGCTGCGCCTATGCCTGATTGCCCCCCGGCCCCCGCCAGGTGAAACGGCTCTGCTTTCCCCGCGGAGCCATGCCGTTCCATCCTCCGATGTCCCTTTCGCCGTTCCCCGCTCCCCCGATTTCCCCTCTCCCCGGCCCGCCACTTAGAGAGAGACCGCGCGTGGCGGAGCCGCGCGCAAGAGGACAATGATCGTTCCGCCCACGCCGCGAAAATATCGAGGCAGCGAGAGAAACGCGCGGAGTGAGCTCTGATTGGGCAAAGGAGCCTCGAGACGGCAGGAGACAAGCTCTGCGCGGCAACGCCGAGGAGGTGAGTGAGAAGCCGCTAACGCCGCTAGCCGATGACTCGAGAAACCACGAGTCGCTCAGGCTCCGCGGCGTGGGGTTGGCCACGAAGAGCTAGCTGTTCGGCGATGGTGCGGAAGACCCCGAGAACCTTCAGCCATTGGACTAGGCGAGCTGCAGCTTAGGAAAATCTTCCACGAAGAGCTGGCTATTCGGCAATGGTGCGGAAGGGAAGAGCGCGTGCGAGGGAGGGCGAGAGGGGAGTGTGGTTGACGTGACGTGACGAGAGGAGGTGGATGTGCGCGATTTGAGGAGCAATGAGTACTGTCGTGAAATGTGTGGAGGCGACTAGCGCGATGGATGGGAATGACGAGAGGGTTGATGTGACCGCAGCGTGATCGTCGCGCGAGTATACACTGTAGTTGAAAATGTGAAGCTGTAATAAAATGGTACAAATAACTGCAAATATTTCTGCTTTTTCGTATGGAGAAGCTCCGTAGCGCGGATGGGCCTCCCCCTGTCGGTGTGCTCGAGGTATTGATATTTCCGGTTTTTGTCGGGTTGGGGTTTCTGACTCCAGCTACAACAGAATTTAGGTCTTCGAAACATTCGCTTTTCATTCAGGGTTTCGCAATTCCACCGTCTGTGTAGACATTCTTTTGGCTGCGGCTTTAGGTCGGACTTCAGAGTTCGCTGCGCGCCCATGGGCTGGCAGGGAGGCGGCCGAATGCGCGGAAGGGGAAGGGGAAGGGGAGGTGGCGGAGGGAAAGCCGGGCGCGGGTATGGCGGAGGCGCAGGCGGCGGAGCGGGTGAGGGCGGCGCGGAGCGCGGCTCTCCAGCGGAGCAACACGCCTTCGCGCCGTACGCTCATCCCGCCGTTGCACATCCCCCTACATCTATCCAGCTCCACATGCTCCACGTGCTACACGGAAATTAGACTCCACGTGTCTGCTCTAATCGCCACTCCCTCTCTCCACCTGCCCTTCCCTTTCACCCCTCTCTCCACCTGCCCTTCCCTTTCACCCCTCTCTCCACCTGCCCTTCCCTTTCACCCCTCTCTCCACCTGCCCTTCCCTTTCACCCCTCTCTCCACCTGCCCTTCCCTTTCACCCCTCTCTCCACCTGCCCTTCCCTTTCACCCCTCTCTCCACCTGCCCTTCCCTTTCACCCCTCTCTCCACCTGCCCTTCCCTTTCACCCCTCTCTCCACCTGCCCTTCCCTTTCACCCCTCTCTCCACCTGCCCTTCCCTTTCACCCCTCTCTCCACCTGCCCTTCCCTTTCACCCCTCTCTCCACCCGCCCTTCCCTTTCACCCCTCTCTCCACCTGCCCTTCCCTTTCACCCCTCTCTCCACCTGCCCTTCCCTTTCACCCCTCTCTCCACCTGCCCTTCCCTTTCACCCCTCTCTCCACCTGCCCTTCCCTTTCACCCCTCTCTCCACCCGCCCTTCCCTTTCACCCCTCTCTCCACCTGCCCTTCCCTTTCACCCCTCTCTCCACCTGCCCTCCCTTTCACCCCTCTCTCCACCTGCCCTTCCCTTTCACCCCTCTCTCCCCCCCCCCTTCACCCCCTCTCCACCTGCCCTTCCCTTTCACCCCTCTCTCCACCTGCCCTTCCCTTTCACCCCTCTCTCCACCTGCCCTTCCCTTTCACCCCTCTCTCCACCTGCCCTTCCCTTTCACCCCTCTCTCCACCTGCCCTTCCCTTTCACCCCTCTCTCCACCTGCCCTTCCCTTTCACCCCTCTCTCCACCTGCCCTTCCCTTTCACCCCTCTCTCCACCTGCCCTTCCCTTTCACCCCTCTCTCCACCTGCCCTTCCCTTTCACCCCTCTCTCCACCTGCCCTTCCCTTTTACCCCTCTCTCCACCTGCCCTTCCCTTTCACCCCTCTCTCCACCTGCCCTTCCCTTTCACCCCCTCTCACCCCTGCCACCCGGCCTGCTGGACCCGTCTCTCTTGCAGTACTTCACGGGAATCGCCACGTGCTTATCCTGGTCCCCACCTCACTGAGTCGAGTTTTGAGTCGACTCAAAACTTGTCCTTGTCCCCACCTCGAAACTATCCCTTTATGCTTGTCCTTGTCCCCGCCTCACTTTCCCGCTCACCCCCGTCTCTCCCACGCTCCTCTCTCCACCTGTCTCCCGCCCCTTTCCGCCAGGCGCGTGCTGGACCCGTCTCTCTCGCAGTACTTCACGGAAATCGCCACCGCGTGGGAAGAAACCCCCGACCCGCACGGTGCGCTCCTTACTCCTCCTGAGATCGCCTCTCCCTACCCTCTACCCTTCACCGTTTCATTTCTTCCCTCGTCTTAAACCCCTCTTCCCCCCTCCGCACACCTCTCTCACTCTAGCGCTTCACTCCCCCCTCCATCCCGCATGAACTTCAATGCCCCAATCCCGAACCTCCTCCGCGCCTCAGACCGAGCCTCCATCGCCGCCAATGCTCTGGAGGAGGCTCGGGGGAAGGAGCACCAGCTTCTGTGGGACACCCAGACCTGCCGCACCCTCGAGCCGCTCCTCTCCGCCGCCCCCCCCGCTGCTGCCGCGCGCTTCCTCGCCGGCGCCTGTTGCTGCGCGCGCAGGAAGGGAGGGGAGGGGGGGGAAGGCGCGGGGGGAGGGGGGGAGGGATCGGGGGAGCGGGAGGTGAATGTTTGTCGGGATGTGTTGGCGCATGGGCTTGCATCGAGGGTGATTGAAGCGGGTCTGAAGAATATCCGCGCGTGGGTGACGGGAGAGAGCAGGACACGTGGCAGCGCGGGATTGGACGAAACCGGGGCAGGAGACGACGAAAACGAGGATCAGGATGGGGAGCGGGAGGAGGAGGAGGAAAACGAGGAGGGGACGGGCGGCCAGGGTGATCTACCGAAATGGACCGGAACAGTGCGGGTGGTTTTGAAAAAGATCTGCAAAGAGGTGGGAGAGTACCCTCTAGCAGCCATGACGAGCCCTGCTTGCTCCCACGTGCTACGCTCCCTGCTGCTCCTCCTCGCCTGCCGCCCCATCCACGACACTCCCGCAGCAGCAGAGGGCACCAGGAAGGCCCGGCGGGATGGTGCGGGTGCGGAGGGCGTGGGTGGGGAGGAGAAGAGGGAGCAGGGCGGGGCGGAGGGTGGGGAGGAGGGGAGAGAGGGTGGGGCGGGTAGAAGGTTCGGCGGCCGCTTGCCTCCGCAGATCCAGCGGGCAGCTGGGAATCTCCCCATGTCCTCTGATGTGACCTTTTCAGGGCTGCCCGGAATGGCCGGGCAGGGTGCAGGGTTGGCAGGAGGGACGGAAGTGGGAGCAGAAGCAGCGACAGCGGCGGCGGAGAGGGGGAGGAGGGTGGGGGCGGCGTTGGGGTTCCCGGCGTTGCTGCAGCGGGTGGTGGTGGGGGTGACAGCAGCAGCAGCAGGGGCGGACGAGGCAGTGCCGTCAGCAGCAGTGGCGTGGTCGCCCTACGGGGACTCGTGGTCCCTGGCTTGTGACCCGTCTGCTGGCCCTCTGCTGCAGGTGAGTGTGGTGTGGTGATGGTGTTGCTGCTGGTGGTCTTGCTGTTGCTGCTGCTTGTGCTGGTGGTGCCGTCAGCAGCAGTGGCGTCGTCGCCCTACGGGGACTCGTGGTCCCTCGCCTGGGACGCATCCGCTGGCCCTCTGCTGCAGGTGAGACACTGATGGGGTGGTGTTAATCATGTTGCTGCTGCTGCTGCTGGGAATGAACGAACGCTGCATTCTGAATCTCTGCACCTCCTCCCCTCCCCTCCTGCAGGTGGTGCTGGACGTGATTCGTGATGATGCTGCTCTGCTCACCCACGTCATCACCTCTCTGCTCCACCTGCCCGAGTCCTCGCTCCGGGCAGCAGCAAAAAAAAGGAAACGGGCAGGGCCGGGCAGGCAAGAGGGAGGGCGTGGGAAGAAGAGAAGCAGAAGAGAGAAGGAGGAGGGGGGAGAGGAAGGAGATGAGGAGGAGGGGAGGAGAAAAGAAGCGGATGGGGGCGAGGAAGGGGAGGAGACAGAGCAGCAGGTGGAGGAGGAGGTGGGGCAGATAATTGAGCTGATGAAGGACCGGTGTGGGTCGCGATTCATGGAGGTGAGGTGACGGGTTGGTTGATGCAGTGAAGCATCTCACCATCCAATCCATCCCCTGCCGTGATGTGATGCTCTTGGTTTGGCCGTCACTCCACCTCCGCATGCTGCTCTGACAACTCACCGCTTTCCCTCCCCTTTTCTTCTGCCCATTGTTCCCCATCCCATCCCACGTTGACCCCTTCCTCATCTCTTCCCCTTCACCACCTCCCCCCCACCCCCCCCCCCCACCCCCCAACTTCCTCCCCAGACCGTGATTCAGCTCGCCCCACCATCGCTCCGCTCCTCTCTCCTGCGAGTGGCGCTGCTGCCACACCTGCTGCCCCTCGCGCTGCACCCCATCGCCAACTACACCATGCAGACCGCCCTCTCCGCCTTCCACTCCCCCAATGACGTCAAACGCGCCTTCAAGGCGCTCGCGGAGGGAGGGAAGGGGGGAGGGGGAGGGGAGGAAGGGGGTGGAGACGGGGGAGAGGGGGGAGGGAGAGGGGAGGGGTTGTTGGCGCTGCTGAAGGGGGGCAGGGGTCGCGTGGTGCTGGCGCTGCTGATTGCATGCGGTCGCACCAAGACGTTCCAGGCGCGGGTGAGTGAGAGTTTTGACTTTTTAAGGCACCTAAAAAATGCTGGCGCTGCTGATTGCGTGTGGACGCACCAAGACGTTTCAGGCGCGGGTGAGTGAGCTGTGCCTGCCTGAACAAAGCGATAAACCCACGGGTCCGTGTGGCTTGGCCTGGCTGAACAAAGTGATAAACCCACGGGTGCGTGTGGCTTGGCCTGGCTGAACAAAGCGATAAACCCACGGAAGCAGGGGGGCTGCTGCGCGAGTGATGAACAAACACCAGGCAAGTCTAAAAGGCATGAAAGGGAGAAAACGATGAGGGTATGACAAGCATGAGATGGGAACGACTGTGGTGTGCATCGTCTCCTTTCATGCCTGCCTGACATTCCTTTCACTACACACACATTCCTGCATGCCTGACCGCATCACGTTACTGTTTAACCGAAGTGACTTTTGAGTCGAGTCAAGAGTCGAGCCAACTCGGAAGTCACCTGACCACATCACATTACTGCGTACCCGAATCTCCTCAAATTCATCTTACCCTCCCTGGCAGGCCTGTGAAAGCCTTTTGGCCGCCCTCTCCTCCTCACCATCACCAGCACCGGTCGACACTGCAGCAGCAGATGCAGCAGCAGTGGGCGATCTGCTGTGGCTGGACGCGTGGCAGGCAGTGCGGGTGAACGACATGCGCTCCAACCGAGCCAAGAAGCGCCAGCAGCAGCAGGGGTGGGGCTCCGTGCCTGTGGCGGAGCGTGGGGCGGTGTCGTTTGTGGGGTGCATGGCTCTGCAGACCATCTTCTCCTTCCCCCTGGTGAGTTTCCATTGCTGCCGAAAAGTGGCAAGGGAGAAGCAGCACGGAGCAAGCTGTTTGTATCACGATTCACGTCTGTGACCCTCATCTCGTCCGTCTCTGCTCGGCAGGCTGCACTAACAAAGCTCCCATGTCGGCCAATTCACCTGTTCCATTGTACCTCTCCCATAACACCCCTTCCCTCCCACATGCAGGAGGCATCGCAGCGAGTGGTGCAGGCGTGTGTGGCGCTGCCACCTTCCTACCTCATGCACCTGGCCACGGACGTCAAGGGTATACGCGTGCTCTCTGCTCTCATCCATCCCCGCATATGCTACCCCTCTCACCATACTCCCCTCCCCTCCCACTGGCAGGTAGCGTCGCAGAGGGTGGTGCAGGCGTGTGTGGCGCTGCCACCTTCCTACCTCATGCACCTGGCCACGGACGTCAAGGGCTCGCGAGTCCTCTCCGCCTTCTTCCGTGCAACCACTATTCCCTTGGACCTCAAGACCACCATGCTCGCCAGGTACCACATGTTCTCTGCCCTGCGGTGCGGTGCGGTGCTGTGAGGTGAGGTGCCGTGCGGTGTGGTGCAATCTCCCACCCTCTCCCCACCCTCCTACCTCGTGATGTGCTGTGAGCATTTGATTTTGCAAGAATGCATTCTTCAAAACTTCGAAACAGGCTGTAATATTGAAAGCTGGAAATTATCATGTGATATTGTCAAGAAGGAAATACCGAGCATATTATATAAATTGGAAAGACCCCATAACGACTGAGGAAATGGCGTCTGCTTGCAGATTCCCAAGTACAAGATAGCAAAACTTGCTATAACGAGCCGAGGCTCTTGCTGTTAAGTGAAGCAAGAGTGTGGTATAGTGGAAACCGGGATACCAGGAAACCTTGATACCGGGAAACCGTGATAACGGGAAACCGGGATACTGCCATACCGAAATACCGGGAAACTGGGAAACCGGGAAACCGGGAAACCGGGAAACCGGGAAACCGGGAAACCGGGAAACCGGGAAACCGGGAAACCGGGAAACCGGGAAACCGGGAAACCGGGAAACCGGGAAACCGGGAAACCGGGAAACCGGGAAACCGGGAAACCGGGATACCGGGATACCGGGATACCGGGATACCGGGATACCGGGATACCGGGATACCGCGGGATGCCGGGATGCCGGGATACATGCCGGGATACCCCGATACATACCCGGATACCGGGATGCCGGGATACCGGGATGCGGGGATGCGGGGATGCCGGGATGCCGGGATGCGGGGATGCGGGGATGCTGGGATGCGGGGATGCGGGGATGCGGGGATGCCGGGAATCCGGGAAACCGGTCGAGGGCGCACGCGTGCTCTCAGATAAGCTGGGTGCATTCATGGTGTCATGGGCAGTATTTTTAGGGAAGGGCAGCATTTGATGCCATGGGGCTGGGCGACTGTGTCAACGCCTGAAAACTCACCTCTCCCCGCCGTCTCCTCACCCCCCTTGCTACCCCGTTGCAGCCTAAAACCACGCTTGACAACGATTGCAGCGGATAAGCTGGGTGCGTTTGTTGTGTCGGCAGCGTTTGATGCCATGGGGGTGGACGGCAAGCAGATGATCCTTGCTGAGCTGGCGACGCGCTATTCGTCGGCGTCATCCTCTTTGCTGCAGCGGCCGCTCTTCCGCCACATGGGTCTCTCAGAGTGAGTCAACACTTCCTTCTCCCTCTGCTCCCCTCTGCTTCCCTCTGCTTCCCTCTGCTTCCCTCTGCTTCCCTCTGCTTCCCTCTGCTTCCCTCTGCTTCCCTCTGCTTCCCTCTGCTTCCCTCTGCTTCCCTCTGCTTCCCTCTGCTTCCCTCTGCTTCCCTCTGCTTCCCTCTGCTTCCCTCTGCTTCCCTCTGCTTCCCTCTGCTTCCCTCTGCTTCCCTCTGCTTCCCTCTGCTTCCCTCTGCTTCCCTCTGCTTCCCTCTGCTTCCCTCTGCTTCCCTCTGCTTCCCTCTGCTTCCCTCTGCTTCCCTCTGCTTCCCTCTGCTTCCCTCTGCTTCCCTCTGCTTCCCTCTGCTTCCCTCTGCTTCCCTCTGCTTCCCTCTGCTTCCCTCTGCTTCCCTCTGCTTCCCTCTGCTTCCCTCTGCTTCCCTCTGCTTCCCTCTGCTTCCCTCTGCTTCCCTCTGCTTCCCTCTGCTTCCCTCTGCTTCCCTCTGCTTCCCTCTGCTTCCCTCTGCTTCCCTCTGCTTCCCTCTGCTTCCCTCTGCTTCCCTCTGCTTCCCTCTGCTTCCCTCTGCTTCCCTCTGCTTCCCTCTGCTTCCCTCTGCTTCCCTCTGCTTCCCTCTGCTTCCCTCTGCTTCCCTCTGCTTCCCTCTGCTTCCCTCTGCTTCCCTCTGCTTCCCTCTGCTTCCCTCTGCTTCCCTCTGCTTCCCTCTGCTTCCCTCTGCTTCCCTCTGCTTCCCTCTGCTTCCCTCTGCTTCCCTCTGCTTCCCTCTGCTTCCCTCTGCTTCCCTCTGCTTCCCTCTGCTTCCCTCTGCTTCCCTCTGCTTCCCTCTGCTTCCCTCTGCTTCCCTCTGCTTCCCTCTGCTTCCCTCTGCTTCCCTCTGCTTCCCTCTGCTTCCCTCTGCTTCCCTCTGCTTCCCTCTGCTTCCCTCTGCTTCCCTCTGCTTCCCTCTGCTTCCCTCTGCTTCCCTCTGCTTCCCTCTGCTTCCCTCTGCTTCCCTCTGCTTCCCTCTGCTTCCCTCTGCTTCCCTCTGCTTCCCTCTGCTTCCCTCTGCTTCCCTCTGCTTCCCTCTGCTTCCCTCTGCTTCCCTCTGCTTCCCTCTGCTTCCCTCTGCTTCCCTCTGCTTCCCTCTGCTTCCCTCTGCTTCCCTCTGCTTCCCTCTGCTTCCCTCTGCTTCCCTCTGCTTCCCTCTGCTTCCCTCTGCTTCCCTCTGCTTCCCTCTGCTTCCCTCTGCTTCCCTCTGCTTCCCTCTGCTTCCCTCTGCTTCCCTCTGCTTCCCTCTGCTTCCCTCTGCTTCCCTCTGCTTCCCTCTGCTTCCCTCTGCTTCCCTCTGCTTCCCTCTGCTTCCCTCTGCTTCCCTCTGCTTCCCTCTGCTTCCCTCTGCTTCCCTCTGCTTCCCTCTGCTTCCCTCTGCTTCCCTCTGCTTCCCTCTGCTTCCCTCTGCTTCCCTCTGCTTCCCTCTGCTTCCCTCTGCTTCCCTCTGCTTCCCTCTGCTTCCCTCTGCTTCCCTCTGCTTCCCTCTGCTTCCCTCTGCTTCCCTCTGCTTCCCTCTGCTTCCCTCTGCTTCCCTCTGCTTCCCTCTGCTTCCCTCTGCTTCCCTCTGCTTCCCTCTGCTTCCCTCTGCTTCCCTCTGCTTCTCTGCCCCATGCCCTCTTTCTCTTCTGCATGCTTTCTCCTTCTGCCTCCCCTCTCCCTCCTCCACTCTTCCACCACATGGGCCTGCCAGATTGACTCCATGCACCGTTTGCGCTCATAGTGCCCGAGTGTGCTTTGGCCTACCCTTTTAGCACGGTGCGTCCACCCAAGTGACATGTCTGACGTGTCTCATGCCCTCCTTGCCTCTCAGTCGCCTGGAACCGACTTTTGAGGCGCCTAGAAAAGTCTGACGTGTCTCATGTTCTCCTTGCCTCTCAGTCGCCTGGACCCTTTAAGTATTCCACCCGCCGTGTCATGCGCCCGCGCCTCCGCCCCGCACCCTCCTCCCTTCAGGTATCTGGAGAGCCCAGAGGCATGGCAGAAGCAGCAGCAGCGCAAGGAGGGTCTGCTGCGAGAATTCCAAGACCTGCTTGGCGCTGCTCCCTCTGCCCCTTCCGCTCTCTCCGCTCCTCCTTCCTCTGCTGTCCCCTCGTCTTCTCCTGCTCATCCTGCTGCACTGCCTTCTTCCTCGACACCTAATGCCAAGCCCTGTAAGAAGCAGAGAGAACCAGCTGCAGATGCAGCAGCTTCGGCTGTGACTAAGAAAATGAAAAGCGGGAAGACGAGAAAAGGGGTCAGTGAGGGGGGAGAGGGGCGGGATGGAGGGGGGGATGTGGGAAGCAGAGGGGGAGGCAAGTCTGGGGGGGCGCTGAGAGGGATTGTGGAGCAATTGGAGCTGGGCAGTGAGATGGCAATGTTGGGGTTCGGTGGTGAAGGTGGGGAGATGGGAGAGGAGGTGGAGGGTGGAAGTGTTTTGAAGACAAGAAAGGAGAAAGTTGCTGGTGCAGCACCCAAGAAAAGAGGCAGTGTATGAGGAGTCCTATATTAAATTTGCATGTGTGTGTGTGGGAATCTGTTGGATCACTCGAAAATCAGTTCTGCAGCAGCGTACTGATTGCTTATGTGTTCTAACGGGGAAGTACTTATTCAGTATATACCAGGCCTGTTTCACTAAAAGTGAATTTATGCCGAGGACGAAACAGTTGCCGCTCCTGTCGGTGGGAACTTGAGATCCACAGTGCCACCTGGACTTTTAGTGCCGATTCTGAGAGTGGCCATTTATTAGCCCACGAACTCGGAACAGTTATGGGAACTGTGACTCGCTGTGTGCAGTGAGTTTCGTTCCGTCCAGCCCGCTGAACTGTGCAGCTGGGTTTCGGGCTGCGTGAAAAGGTCATTCAAGAAATCGAATCATGAGATTCTACTGCATTTGTGCAGGCATCCCTGCTAAGCATGAGGCCCACGATTCACAAATCCAATCTGTTCCGAATGCTATCGTTGCCGCGCGGAAACAATCTCTCCACCACGAAGCGTGAGGTTGCCCGGTTCGCTCCCCTGCTTTTTTAACGGCCCAACGCACCGCAAACCTTTGAAGGACGGGCAGAGGGAAGCTGCAAGCAAAACTTGAGGGCCGTGTACAGTGTACACAGACCGCAAAGCTGGCAGAGCACGACAGCCCTTCTGTCGCATCGCATGCTAAATCCACCGCAAAGGCTTGCCTGTTCACAGTGCTCTACGCAACGCACCCACCCACTCAGCCACCGAACGTTCTTCTCAACCCACCTCACTCGGTCTCTTTCCACCCCTCATTACCAGGCTCAACTACCCGCGCTTCACCCATCCTGTATACGCTTTCTTGCAATTCCAACTACTCACAAAAGCAAGCCGCACACAAGCTAGTGTCACTCGCACATACGTATTCTCTCCATTCCAGTCACCCTGAAGCCTGACCTCCTTCGTAGCATGTAGACGCTTCGCGGTTACCGTGCTTGTCTGTCTCGGCTCGTTCTTAAAGACTCTCGCGAGACGCACATTGTAGCGGTCGACGCTCATCCGCTGTGGCTTGACAATACTCGTCGAGCCGAATCATTAAACATGACAACCGATCAGACGCGAGATTCGTCCACGGAAGCGCCGCTAGGTGGTCCGAACGGCCATGGATTCGCGGCGGATGTCCCGCCGGAAGTCGCGGCTGCAAGCGCGGCGATTTTGACGGAGAAGGAGCAAGACCCGGTGACGCGTCGCGAGTGGTGGGGGTGGTTCATCTACAACGCGGCGGGAAACGCGTTCTCGCTTGTCGCCATGTCGATCTTCTTTCCGCTGCTTCTCGTCTACCTCGCCACCGCGCAGGCCGCCACGCAGGCCGGCGCGCCGCCGCCGCCGCAGTGCAACGCGACGCTCACGACGGGCTGCTTGAAATGCGTCGCGGGCAAGGGGCAGCAGCTGATGACGTCAACAGGGTACGCTCTCCCGAAGCGCGTTAGCATAGTAAAGAATAACACGGTCGTCAAGAATTACTCTTGCGGAAATTCGCGGGCGTGCATGTGCGCTAAGGTAAACGATGCCTGGTTTTGAGGCGCCTCAAAACCGTGCATGTGCGCTAAGGTAAACGATGCGAGCGCGGGACTATCATGTTGAGTCAACGTCAACCAAGCCTTATCGACCCGACTTGACATATGGCGGCCTTCTAGCTGACATGTCGCTCGAGGCGTCTTGTTCCGCGCCGCCGTTTATTGTTCCTTGAGGACACGTCGGCCCTTTACACTAGGTCTCGCTCGAGCCGACCCGAGTAAGCGGTTCTCTTCGCATCCCGACTTCCGCGCTCCCATTTTCCTGCAGGCGCGGCTGCTACTATCCATAGAGCCCGTGGTGTACACGGCGGTCGTCGGGCTGATCCCCACACTCCCTCATCCTCTTCCCCCTCCACCTTCCCTCAATCCCCCATCAGCTAAACGGCGTACGACGCGCCGAGCCTGCAGGCACGGATCAAACTGACTCTCGGACTCCCTCATTGTCCCAACCCATTCCCCGCCCCTTCCCATTCAGCGATGATACCGCGTACGACGCACCAAATTTGCGAGCTGGAGTGCTGTCCTTGGAATTGGTTGCGCACATCACGGTCGTCCTCGGGCTGGCTTTCAGAATCCATGGAACTCCTCATCCCCACACTCCCCCTCGTTCCCTCCCCCCACTTTTGAGGCGCCTCAAAAGCTTTCAGAATCACTCATCCCCACACTCCCCCTCGTTCCCTCCCCCCACTGCCTCTCCCTTTCCCCGGCAGCTACACGGCGTACGACTCGCCCAATCTTAATGCGGGCGCGCTGTCCATGGAGCCCGTGGCGTACACGACGGTGGTGATCGGGCTGGCCGTGGTGGTGCAGATCATCGGCCTCGTGTGCTTCGGCGCCGAGGCTGACTTCGGGCAGGGGCGATGGCGGGTGAGAGCACAAGGGGAGATGGCGGGAAGGTGAAGGGGGAGGGCGGGGAGGTGAAGGGGGAGGGCGGGGAGGTGAAGGGGGAGGGCGGTGAGGTGAAGGGGGAGGGCGGGGAGGTGAAGGGGAAGGGTGGGCGGGCCGTGATGGTGCAGGAAATCGGGCTCGTGTGCTTGGGGGTCCAGGCTGACTTTGGACTGGGGCTCTGGCGGGTGAGAGCAGCGAAAGGAAAGGGAAAGAGTGGAGGAAAGGGATTGGGGCCGTTGGCGGGGGAGAGCAGGGGGACGCCACTGTGGGGCGTGCGTACTGTGCGTGTGACTTTTGAGGCGCCTCAAAAGCCACTGTGGGGCGTGCGCACTGCGCACTGTGCGTGTGACTTCGAGAGTTCCTAGCTTGGCTCGGCTCCCACTCTTCACTCCTCCACCGCAGATGCTGCTGGTGGGCACACTGAAGGGAGCAGTGCGGTGCATTCACTTGTTCGCTCCTCTTGCCCTGCACATCTCCCCCTCTTTCTGCTAACTCTCACCTTCACCCAATCCCTCGCTCCCTCCTCCCCACAACAGATGCTGCTGGTGGGCACGCTGATGGGGGCGGTGCCGTGCATTCTCTGCCTCGCCCTCACAGCGCCATCGCTCTGGTGGCTGGCGGGGCTGTTTGCCATCATCGCCAACCTCGGATACGGCATCTCGCTCGTTGGCTACAACAGGTGAGGTGCAGCAGGGTGAGGCGTTTTAACTCAACCAATAAAGCATCATTCCCTCGTTCCCCCCTTCGCTCCCCCTTGCTCCCATTCCCCGCCCCCTCATCCCCCCTCCCCTCCTTCCCCCACCACCTCCCCCTGTCCCCCTGACAGCTATCTGCCTGTGCTGGTGGATGGTTTTTGAGAATTCTCAAGAACCGATGCGTCACCAAAGGTTCTTGCTGCCAGGCCAGACGGGGCATCTCACCACCACACCACCCTCGCAATCCCTCCCTCCCTCCCTACTCCCCCTCCTCCTTTCCTCTTCGCAGCTACCTGCCGGTGCTGGTGGATGCATCGCCAAAGGTGCTCGCTGCAGGCCCAGACGAGGCGTCCATCCTTGCTGTTCGAGAGAAGGTGAGCTGCCTGCTTTTGAGGCGCCTTTTGAGGACTTAGGAGGCGCCTTTTGAGGACTTATGAGGCGCCTTTTGAGGACTTATGAGGCGCCTTTTGAGGACTTATGAGGCGCCTTTTGAGGACTTACGAGGCGCCTTTTGAGGACTTAGGAGGCGCCTTTTGAGGACTTAGGAGGCGCCTTTTGAGGACTTAGGAGGCGCCTTTTGAGGACTTTTGAGGCGCCTTTTGAGGACTTAGGAGGCGCCTCAAAAGACGAGGCATCCATCCTTGCTGTCCGGGAGAAGGTGAGCTGCCTGCTTCCTTCCGCCCCTTGTCTCACCTCCACCCCCATGTTCCCATCACACCCCTCTCCACCGTTTCCATTCCACCTCTCCGCATCCCCTCTGCTGCTCCTCCTCGCATTCCACCTTCCCCTCTTCCCAGTTCTCAACCACCTCCCTTAGCCCGCACGCTTCTTTTGAGGCGCCTCAAAAGTTTTCCATTCCACCTCTCCGCATCAACTCTGCTGCTCCTCCTCGCATTCCACATTCCCCTCTTCCCACTTCTCAACCACCTCCCTTAGCCCGCACGCTTCTTTTGAGGCGCCTCAAAAGTTTTCCATTCCACCTCTCCGCATCCCCTCTGCTGCTCCTCCTCGCATTCCACATTCCCCTCTTCCCACTTCTCAACCACCTCCCTTTGCCCGCACGCTTCTTTTGAGGCGCCTCAAAAGTTTTCCATTCCACCTCTCCGCATCCCCTCTGCTGCTCCTCCTCGCATTCCACCTTCCCCTCTTCCCACTTCTCAACCACCTCCCTTTGCCCGCACGCTTCTCATCCCTGACCACCTTCTCAAGCTCCGAGTCACCCCTTTCCTGTCCTCCTTCCCCTACCCCACCAGGTGGAGAGGAGAACCAAGCTTCCCTGTCAGTCAGGCCTGGCAATGGGCACGGTGGCAAGTGTCCTTTCAATGCTGCTCACCTTCGCCATCACTCTCCTCATCCCAGATGACCTGCTCACGCTGCGAGTCACCGTGGCCGTCTGCGATCTCTGGTGGATCGCCCTCTCCGCCTTCACCTTCGCGTGGCTGCACCCATGCCCTGCCGTCTTGTCATTCCCACCAACTCCCCACCCATCTCCTCCTCTCCCCATGCCCCCTCCCATACCATCAGGTGGAGAACCAAGCTTCCCTCTCAGGCCTGGCAATGGGCACGGTGGCAAGTGTCCTCTCCATGCTGCTCACCTTCGCCATCACTCTCCTCATCCCAGACGACCTCCTCAAGCTCCGAGTCACTGTCGCAGTCTGCGGCATCTGGTGGATCGCGCTCTCCGCCTTCACCTTCGCGTGGCTGCACCCGCGCCCCGGCCCGCCCATGCCCAAGACCGGATTCTCCATGATCAACCGCTGGCGCCACCTGTTTCGACTATTCAAGGAAGCATCCCGCTACCGCTACACGTTCATCTTTCTGGTCTGCCTTGTCGCGTACAGCAGCGGGTTTACCACGATGCTGCAGATGGCGGTACTGTTCGGCCAGAACGACCTCTGCCTGTCTGTGTCTTCCATGGCGATTGTCGCGCTCACTGTTGCTGTGGTGGCGATTGCCGGCATGCCGATTGCTCTGTTCTTCCAGCGGAAAACCCACGCGACGAACAAGACCATGGTCGTGATTCTCCTCACGTGCCTAGTTCCCCTGCCCGTGTGGGGATTCATCGGGTATTTCACCGCAGACGGGGGATTCGGGCTGAAATCCGCGTGGGAGATTTACCTGTGCGCTGCCTGGCTGGGGTTCTTCCTGGGCGCGCTGACGTCCTACTCGCGCACGCTGTTCATTGATTTCATCCCCGTGGGCCGCGAGGGCGCCTTCTTCACGCTCTTCTTCATCTGCGATCGCATCAGCTCCTGCATCGGCCCGTTTGTCATTGCAGCCGTAACGCAGGTCAGTGCTGGGGGGCTGATGCTGGGGGGCTGATAGCCTGATGCTGGGGGGCTGATAGCCTGATGCTGGGGGGCTGATAGCCTGATGCTGGGGGGCTGATAGCCTGATGCTGGGGGGCTGATAGCCTGATGCTGGGGGGCTGATAGCCTGATGCTGGGGGGCTGATAGCCTGATGCTGGGGGGCTGATAGCCTGATGCTGGGGGGCTGATAGCCTGATGCTGGGGGGCTGATAGCCTGATGCTGGGCTTGTGCAGGGCTGAGATTGTGATGTGTGGGTTTGTTGGGATGTTATGGATGAGCCTGGAATGTATGAGGTGAGGACACGGGAGGGACAGAGATGACGGTATGCATGGATGTGATGCTGCTGGGGAGAGTTTGCGGAATTTATCTGCTGGAACAAGTAGCATCCGTGCCTTTGAAGGTACTGTAGGGTCAGCTGGCCTCACTGAGTGTTTGTTCTTCATGTGCGTGAACTTTGTATTTCCCCTGGCCATCCACTTCTGTCTGTTTGTCAGGTGGGGGGTCAGCTCCGGCCTGTGTTTGGATACGTCTTTCTCGTGCTGGTCATCCCTTCCATCTCCGTCCAATTATTTATCAACTACAACAAGGGGGTGGCAGAGGCTGGGAGGGCAAAGCAGCAAGAGAGGTTACAAGAGGATAGTCTTCACGAAGCCAGTCACGCTCATGGGACTCAGGTTGTTCATGTAGAGCCATGAATCTTAATCAAATGCTTAAAGGCCTTGAGGCCCTTTGCTTTTGTTTCCAGTATGGGTTGGCTCCTCACCAACTGACTACACTTAGTAATTCTCTATTTTAAATACTCACAGCTTCAAAATAATTTATTTTTTTCCGGTTTGTCGAATCAGCTGTATTTGCCCAGAAACGCGAATCGGCAACATTTTCGTCGTCACAGCGATCGCATCTCGACCGACCACATCACATTCCGTTGGGCTTCCTTGATTCAAATCCCGAGAGAAAAACGTCGCGTCGCGTCGTGAGGGCGATGATCCCGAATCGCCCGAAATCTCTAATTCCACGCACCTCTCAATTTGGCGAAATTCGGCAGTTCACATCTTCCCTCCCTCACTGCCCCAGACGCGATGATGCATCTCGCTTGCAACCCACCACCGCAGTCGGAAGAGCAGAAATGGGAAGGGAGGAAGTGCAGGAGAGGTCAGGATGTGTTTCAGAAGGCAGGATGTGCAGTACAAGTTGAAGCAGAGAGGTGCCGTCAGTAACGGCTGGCGTTCTCGCTTCTCGCCGCCCCCAGGTGGAACCCGAATCAAATGGTTCTGACGATTCGAGGAACTACAAGGAGCGATGAGCGTGCATTGTCACAGTCGACTCGGAAGAAAGAGCATTTGCATATCGCCCGTGTGGGAAGGCACTCCATAGACTGCGTGACTAAGTCAATTTTCTGCCGTATGACCGCCTATTAACTCGAGCTGTAACGTCGGAGCCTCGTCTGGACTGGTTGGCTGAATCTGAGACATTGGACGGGTTCTCATGCGGCACAGTATTCGCTTAAAAGAGCGACTAGAAACCTCTTCTGGTACGCGTATGTAAATGATATCGAGGTCAGCGGGCGAAAGAGCTCCTCGCCCGAAAAGGTTCCGTATCTTTGAAGCTTAGACTGGCGATCGAGAAAAGTATTTTCGAATAACGTAGAAATACTGGTTCGTTGAACCCTAGTCTATCAACCTCACGAACGACAGGAGGCCATGGTGAAGGTCGCTCCCGTCCCCATTATAGTGTCCCGACTGGAATACACACCCAAGGATGAGCACATGCGACAGAAAGCCGCTAGCGCGTTTCTCGACCTCGACGATCCTGGCGGAAGCGGAAAGCGCGCAGGAAGCGCGGGGGGTGGGGAAAATGCGGGAAACGGGGAATACGCAGGAGGAGAGGAATACGCGAAGGGTTCGAGGGTTCCATTGACGAAGCGGGAACTATGGGGCTGGTACTCGTACAACGTGGCCGCGAACTCGTTCAGTGCAGTCGCCATGCCGATTTTCATCCCGCTGCTGCTGCTCCTGCTCGCCGACGCGCAAGCCTGGAACGACTCGGGCGCCGCCAAGCCACCGCAGTGCACCGATCTGATCACCGCGGACTGTCTGCAGTGCGTGCCGGGGAAGGGGAACCAGCTGGTGACGTCAGCGGGGGGGTACAGCGAGCTGGAGCAGCCGCGCGTGCGGCTCGGCGCGCTTAGCATCAACCCCGTGTCGTACGCGACGATCGTGATCGGCGTCGCCGTGTGCTGCCAGATCGTCGCACTCGTGTCGCTCGGCCCATTCACGGACTACGGCCGCGGCAGGAAACAGGTGCGTGGGAAGTAGTCCCTAATAGCCTCAAGGGGCAGAGAGTAAGCAGCAGTCAGCAATCATACGCCACTCGTCTTCCATTAAGCCTGAGTGCTCGAGTGGCGCTCACTCAAGTTCTCACTCGAGTGGCGCTCACTTGAGAAGTTCCCTCCTCACTTCCTGCCACACTCTCTCCATTGAGAATCGCAACATCTCCAGATGCTCAAGGTGGGCACATGGATGGGTGCAGCAGCTTGCACAGCCCTCCTCCTCATGCTCTCGCCGTCCCACTTGCTGTTCGCTCGCCTGCTCGGCATCCTCCTTGTCTCGTCAATTCCTCTCATTCCCCAACCCCTCTCCAACCCCCTTCCTTCCAGATGCTCAAGGTGGGCACGTGGATGGGTGCAGCAGCTTGCACAGCCCTCCTCTTCATGTTCACCCCCTCCCTCTGGCTGCTCGCGGGGCTGCTCGTAATAATCGCCAGCATCGGATACGGCCTCGCCACCGTCAGCTACAACGGCTACCTGCCCCTCCTCGTGCACGCGTCCCCGGAAGTCCTCGCCGCAGAGGCAAAGGCCGATCCGGAGGCAGTCGCTGCAGCGCGGGAAGACGTGGAGAATCGGTATTCCCTCATCGGGCTAGCAGCTGGGTGCCTGGGGGATATTCCGATCACGCTGATAGCCTTTGCGCTCACGCTCGTGTCGTCGGACGAGTCGGTTCAGATGCGAGTTGCCACCGCGTTTTGCGGCCTCTGCTGGATTCTCTTCGCGCTCCCCACTTTTCTCTACCTCCGCTCCCGACCAGGACCCCCGCTCCCGCTTCCCCCTCCCCCCTCTGCGGGGAATCATGAGGCAGATGGGGCGGGGGAAGGCGGGGATAGAGGCTGCTGTTCCAGCTGTAGCGGCGCTGGTTGGTACAGCTCGGGCGGGGGCTGCCGGGGTTGCTGCTTCGGCTGTGGGTCGTGCTACAGCCGGGTGCAGTTTTTTCTCAGTGTCGTGGGGGCGAGCTGGAAGGGCATGGGGGACACGCTGGCAGATGCGTATCGGCACCATCGCAACGCTCTCGTGTTCATCGCGTGCTACTTTGTGTACGCTGACGGCTTCTCCACTATCATCCAAGTGGGGGTAATCTTTGGGCAGCAGGACCTCTGTGTGCCGCCCGCAACGCTCGCCATCCTCGCCACCTCGGTTTCGTTCTGGGCGGCAGCCGGCATGCCAGTGCTGTACTTTCTGCAAAGACAGACCAAGTGGAGCAACAAGACAATGGCAATGATTGCTCTGGGCGGCATGCTACCCCTGCCGCTCTGGGGCCTCATCGGCTACTTCACAGATAACTTCGGGTTGAAGCACACGTGGGAATTATTCGCCTATGTGGGGTGGTTCGGCCTGTGTTTAGGCCCGCTACTGTCGTACTCGCGTACGCTGTACGTGGATCTGATGCCGACGGGGAAGGAGGGGGCGTTCTTTGCCATCTACACCATCAGTGACAAGGGCAGCTCCTCCTTTGGCCCGTTTGTCGTCGCCATCATCGCTCAGGTAAGATGTCGGCTCGCTTGCTTCACTTGCTGCGTGCTAATCTGCTTTATGCGTCCTTGTCATGAGGCAAGTGGTGCTCCATCCAGAGAGCTTCTTGATGTGCTGGGCTGTAAGAGCATATCCACATGGAACGCCTATCTGGTGTAGAGCCCACCCACATGTCGGTGCCATGTCCATCCATCCTTGCTGTCTGTCTTGATCACAGCCTCATCAATCCCAGCTCAGCCATCTCACCCACATCTCAAAGCTGTCACTCATCATTTCTGCCCTCCCTCTGCCCACAACCCTCCCTCCCATCCGTCCCTCCTGCAGGCTTCTGGCACAATCAGGCCCACCTTTGTGTACATATTCCTGGTCATGTTCATACCCCTTATAGTCATCATCTTTTGCCTTGACCACAAGAAAGGCATGGAAGACGCCGGGCGCAACAGGCTCACAACAACAATGAAAACGTTGGAGGATGGGGAGGACGCTCCCTCTACAACACGTGAGGGGTTGGAGCATCAGTATGCTGACGTTCAAACCAGCGTTAGTGGCAGGAGAGACAGTCCAGGATAGGACATGCCATGCCACAGCTAGTGACATGAACCCTCCACCTGATTTGAATTTACGGTACATTGTTTGCTGGCACTCTCCACCCATGCAACACCGTACAAGAGGTACCCACGCAGTGCAGCTCGTGACGTGTACCCTCACCTACACTTGGAGTGATCTAACATTCACAGGCCAAGTCTGTTCACCTCAGGTAATGACATTATAAGAGAAGATCCGAGTGTCAGTGAAGGGTTTAGTAAAAGCCTAGCATACAAGTGCCTGACAGCACTATGGTATGTTCCCTACATGGGCACAGGCCCTTAGGCGTACTGGATAATAATAAGGATCTTCCTGCATCCTCCTCCCCCCCAACCCATCCCATCAACCCTGACGGCCACCTCATAAGCCGCCCCAAATTCTCACATCCACGATATCCAACCACCTTGCATTGACCGCCGAAACCACATGTCATCCATAACCATAACCCAATCCCGATCGCGTGCAGGTCAGATGAGCGCCTCGAGAGGCTTGCCATCGTCGAAGCACCCAATCAGCCCCGCCAGGAACTCAGCGTCCGCCAGCGTGTCTGCGTCCTTTACCCCAATCTCCTTCACGCCCACCATCCCTGCGCCCATTGCGCGCGCCCGCGCCAGCCCATCATTCCCCGCGTTCGCTCCGTTCGCCACCACAGCCGCGTCCGCCGCGACTCCCTCCGCATGTGACAGAGGCGCGGTCGCGCCCGTGATCGCGCTGGGTGAATGCACACCCTCCTCTTCCGACTCTTCGAAACTCGTCGAGGCCACTAATCTCGCGCGCTTGTTCCCCGCGCCTTCTGCCAAAGGCTCGGCCACCTCTCGTTTCCCCGCCTGACCAACCTTAAGCGCGAAATCCGGGCTCATGCCCGCGTCCGCCGCCGCGTCAGCCGGCTTGTTCGCCACAGGAACGCCGGCGCGAGCGAGCGCGTCGCGTAGCCGTTTGAGCTCGTTCTGCAGGCGGTCGTTGCTCTCTTGGTATTGCCGAATCTGATCCGACGCCTCGTTCAGGCGCCGCGTGACGGCCGCGTTCTCGACGCGCAGCTTGGCGCTCTGGATCTCGAGCTCCTCCAGCCGCTCCTGCTTCCGCTGCCGAGACCGCTTCGCCGACGCGCGGTTCGACATCATTCTGCGAGGAATAAAACGGAGAAAGACGAAGGCAGAAACCCGTTAGACCCACGCCGCAACTAGAACGTAACGTCCAATCTACGGATCAAAACAGAAGAGATGACATGACAACGAGAAAGTCCATTTCGAAGTGCCGCCAAGGGACATTGAACCACCATATACGGTCTCAAGCCCACAGCTGGAGGTGCTAGCCTACAGCTGGAAGTGCTACACGATACAAAACGGCCAATCCCTCCGACACCTCACCTCTTATGTTTCTTCGGGTCTAGCTCCGCGAGCTCCTCCGCCGTCATGCCATCCGCGCTCATCGCGCCCATGTCGCCCGCGTGGAATTCCATCTCCTGCGGCAGCCCGCACGGTATCCCCTGCGCCATGCCCTGCGACATATACCCCAGTGGTCCCTTCGCCGCCAGAATCGGCGCGGGCGCCGACATGCCGTGCGCGGAGTGCGACGGCCAGGACATCGGGAACATCGGTTGCGCGGACGGTGTGTGCGCGGTCGGGGGTTGCATTTGCGGCGGTTTGGGGAGAGCGGGTTGCGCGTGCTGCGGGAGGAGCCACTGCGCTTGAAGTGGTTGGCGGGTTTGCATGGCCGTCATTTGCGATGGGTCTGCTGACATCATGCCGTACATCCCGGCGTTACCGCCAAATAACCTGAATCAGGGAGAACGAGGGGAGAGGGGACGGACTAAGCGCTTAGTGTCAAGTACTGCAACGCGAAACTTGGGCGACTTGGCGAGTTTCATAGCAGGGCGACAGTTGACGAAGTAAATATTGACTGTATAGAGAAACCTGTAACTGCAAGCGCGTATAGCTTACCGGCCGCCAGGAGCAGTCATTGGATTCCAGTTCCAAGCACCGCCATACGCAGCGGCATCGTCAATCTGCTGAGCCCGCCACCTGGCGTCGAGTTCTTCCTCAGCCTCGGACTGAGCCGCGCCGGGAACCACATCAGGTGGGCGACACATGGTGGCTGACGGTAAACGCCGACAAAAATGGAAACGGCGGAACAGATGCGGCCTTACTAAAGTTCTAGAAAAGGCTTATCCTAAGTTATGATACTAAGATCTTGGTCGGACTCTTCCTGACTTGTTGGAGTTCTGACTAAGCGATGCGATTGAACACTGGGCCAACAGGACGGAAGTAGATTCAGGGCGACAAGTGAAGGCAAGGCAAGTCTATCCAGCAAAGCAGACAGTGATTGTGGAAACAAGACAGCGATGCAGAGGGAGCTGTAGGAAAATGTAGGACGAGGCGGAGGTGAGGCCGAGAGAAAGCCAAGAAAGGCGAGGGACGTGGAGGAAACGGAGGGCTCAGCGCAAGCTTGCGAAGCACGCGTGTCGGGGGAGGTTGGGTTGGGGAGGGCTGCGGGGAACAGGCCCAAGGAACAGGCGGAACATGAGATCCAGTGGGGGGAAGGCGTGGTGGGAGGAGTCACAGAATGGGAAAGGGAGGGGAGGGGAAACCACACAGCCTGGGGAAGGCATATGTGTCGCGGACTTGCGGGGGGATAGGACCACTTTTGGGGCGGAAGGGAAGAGGGAGATCGGGGTTTACAGTATTGCCAATTTGTCATCTCTCCAATCCATGACCGCGTGCGCGTGGTGTGGGTCAACATGTGCGCAGCGCATCCTCAACTGGATCGGAAACTGGAAATTGCCTGCGGCAACGGGAATTGCTGACGCGCGTGGCATGATGAAATGCCAGCAGGACAGCCCCTAGTCCTTCGGGGAAGCGGGCGCCCCATCGAGACAGCGTGGCGCGCGGCGGACCAGTCTCGGGAGGACGACCAATCTCGGCTAAACGCCACTAGCACATCACTATGGCGAATCTAGGCTAGCTGGCTTGATGTCTAAAAGTTTCCGGTACAGTAATTTTGTTTCCCGAGAATTACAGTTTCAAATTGAGCTTGGCTGACACCCAAGAACTGTATGTAGTTTGTGTTCTGTTTTCTGAGACACGTGCCACGGAAGCACGCTATGCCAGTTCAAAGAAATAGTGCACAAACGGTCAGTCGAAATGTGTTCCAGAAATCACATGGATTCGGAGTGCTCGTTCGAGATTGTTATCTGGGGCTCTAATTTTTAGGGTTGCCTAGCTCCGATTGGTTGTGATCGTGACGTGGATCTGTGCGCTGGAAAAGCACCATCACATTATGATGACGCTCGACAACTCCAATTATATACACACGCGTGACGTCAGCACATGCCGCCCCGCCCGCCCTGGCACAGAGGGAATTGGGGCAAATCGAAAAACCCGCGAAATCCCTCCGGGCCCCCGAAAATTCCCGGCTGACCATGCCGAAAAACCCTCCAAATCCCGCGGTTTCAATGTCGTAAACTTATGACAATATATATGTCAGCCGTAACAGTGGAAATTGATGGAGCTCGACGGGAGAAAACTCGATATACCATTGTAGAATAAAAAATAGTGTTCCGTAACTCAAATTATCAGCCAAGTTAGGGCCCTAAAACTAATATGCATTTGTTACTTTTTTTTGCAGACATTTTGTTCTCGACGGAAGGGGTATTTCCGTCAAAAATGTGTCAATTCTCGACGGAAGGGCGTTTCCGTTCTGCAATTTTCTGTCTTCGACACTGCCCTAGTTCGCATTAAAAGGGTGTATCGCCTTCGACAACATTTCAATTTCGCGGCAAATGTTTTTTCTTCGACGAAAACTCTAATGTGATGTTCGACAAGAGGTGCTTCCAGGATGTTCGACAATACTTAGGGATTTTCGCTAAACGTTTCCGTGATTTTATTTTGTCTTTCTTGCGGTAAGTGACAGTTCGACAAAGCAGATTGAAAAACTTTGCCCGTACACTTTCACATTTTTGTCGAAACAGTACTGCACTACTTTCTGTCGAACGGGGAAACTCATTCGATAAGGTTCCGATTTCACACTCGGGGAAACAAAAATACGAGACGTTGTTCGATGAAATTGATTTTCGACAGCAGAAGTTGTTTCTAGATTTTGGCAAGTCAGCATCTGCATTCGACGCGGAAGTTGTCAAGATGCGCATTCACCCCATTGGTCAAAACAAAAGAATTCGACAGACGGAGCAAAACGGTCGAGAGGTTTATTTCACTCGACCAGGCATATCTATCGCCTCCAGCACCCCGTTTCACTTCTCTTCATAGCAACGAGACACACAGTCACACAAACTAATCAACAATACTCGAGTTTTACTATACGTTAATACATGTCGCGAACGTGGACAATCGACACAAACAATGTTATTGTTGCGCATATATATGTCAGCCGTCACAGAGGAAACCGACGACCAATCGACGAGCAGCTACGTGCGCTGTCGACAAAAAAAATCAACAACAATCGACTCGATATTGAACAGTGGTCGAAAAAATAATGTATCCTCCATAAATTATTTTTCAACTCACTTCATATGTCAATTTAAGCAAGTATAATTCTGTTTAAATGCGTTACTTGTCTGTTCAACTCAGTCTTTTCGACAATAAGGGTATTTCAAATCCCCACTTTCCGTTGACCGAGCTATAATTTTTATTCAACAGAGCTCTTCATATTCTTTCGTGGTTTTCCCGTCTTCGACAAAGCTACATCTGTCATATAAAGGGTGCCTCGCCTTCGACAAGACTTAATATAATCGCTGCAGATTTTTAACCATTCGACAGTAGGCAGTCCTTTGACGAAAAGGCAACTATGGTTGTTAGGTCTCGACACGATGAACAAGACTTTGTTAATTTGGCTAAGAGTTTCGTTTTTCGGTGTTTAAACTCTGTCGTGCTAGAAAAAAAAACTACCACTTCATTCTGTAAGCAGGGCCAGGTATTATGTCAGCTCGATAGGCCAAAAGAAATATATTTGCCCTTACATTTTTCACATTTTTGTCGAGGGAGTACTGCAGTACTCTCTGTCGAACAGAGATATTGCAATCGACAATACCAGCTCCGGTTCACCCTGAACGTCGAGCGATGAATGGAATTAGCGACAGAAACTACCGTTTTTCAATTTTGGTAAGTCATCATTCAGATTCGACACTGAAATCGTCGAGCAGCGCCGTATCCCTGTCCGTCAAAGCGAAAGAATTCGACAAAAAGAGCAAAAATGTCGAGTTTTGTTTTTCACTCGACCAAACCTATCTACCGTCGCCAGCACCCAGTTTCGTTTTTCTTTGTAGCAACGGGACTCACAAACAAATATATTATCAACAATGTGAAAGATTTCATATACGTTAAAGCTCAAGGCCCAAATTGCGCAAGGTTAGTAATCTTGCGCAAGGGTTTGGGCTGGTCAAGAAAGTGTTGGGAGGGTGGGGTTGACTTATTTCGCACAAGTTCTCGCAACACTCGCTGAGTCAGGAAACCCCAAGGCAAACATTCAGTTTGGTTCCGAGAGTCCCAAATTGAGAAATACTGAAAGTTGAAGTTTCTGCAGTGAGATTGGCCTCGACCAATCAGATTCATTCGTGCCTACCGTAACCCAAGATTCGCCAAAGCACATCACGAAAACAACAGCTGAGCAAGATTAGTAATCTTGCCTAGCGCGCCCCGCAATTTGGGCCTTGAGCTTTAATGCTCGTCATGAACGTGGACAGTCGACCGAAACAATGTTATTGACGTAGTACAATTCGCAAGCATTATCTTATTCGATCGAAATACGAGACGCTGTGGATATAAAACATTGTTACGTCAATCATTCGTCGTCGTACCGTCTTCGAGAACACCTCGTTCTATCTTGTATCAATGCTGTTGGATAGAAAGGCCCCGCCCCCGCTTGAACGAAGCCGAATGACGTCGAATTAGAGAGCACGACCGGGTGGTAGTCGAGTTGCTCCTTGCTGGTCGACAAGAGCTGTGCTCGGGCAGGAGTCATGCTCGACGGGAACCAGACGATAATGTCAACGGACATCTCTGGTCGACAAGCCCGCGAGAGGTGCTGGTCGACGAGGTCCGTCGAGGAGCACTGGTCAACGGGCTCTGCTTGCCGAGCTAGTTTCGGCGGACGCTGTTTGGCCGAGCAACGTCGAACTCGTCGACGGGGGTTGCTCGACAATGAAACAACGGGTGTGCGAGTTTCGCCATCTGCAACGCTGGCTAATCGCCGTGATGCAGCGTTGGCGAGCCGTGCAGATGCAGCGCTGGCGAGCCGTGTAGATGCAGCGCTGGCATGTCGGCGACTTGCAGTGTTGTCAAACTGCCTCCAAGCTATGTTGGCAGACTGTCGACCTGCTGGGTTGCTAGGCTCCAAATGTAGTCACTTTGCGATTTTTATTCCTAATCATTTTGCCATATTGCTCTATAAACAAGCAAGTAGTGAGAACACAAGCAAAGCTACGATCGTTGATGCCACCAAAGTTCAGCCCGCACCGTTATAGAGTGTGTCTCTGCAGGGCCGTTAACATCGTTGACGTGAGGGATTCTTATCATTGTAGAACCGTCTTCGGCTGCAGGCCGTTTTTTTAGCCACTTCGTTTATGCCGTTGTATAGTCTATTTATGTAGAACACGATGTTCATAGGGAGAATTGGTTCGTCGATTGAGACAATTGCTATAACAAGGCAGTGTTACAGCTGCCATGTGACTGAATTATCATTCACGTTGCGGTTTTTCGAACGGACAATGCGTATGCGACGGGAGCATAGTCCAATTGTGATAGCGATTGCTATTTTATTTTATTGATGCCTTGGCCCAATTTTACAGGCCCAATTTCTCATCGAGTCTGCCTATTGCTGTTTAAGTTCCCATTTGTACATACACGCTTTTATTTCTGCGGTAGCCCTGCTCTAAACCGAATTACGCAATGGCGCGTTTCAGCCCTTGCGTGTTCCGTTTCACTTTCCGTCGAGTCGAGACGGAATCCGTCGACGGGGACGGATTTCCTCGACGGGAAAAAGGGGCGAGGGGGGAGCACGTGGGGTCAACGCCAGCTCGAGCGGGGACCACCTCGCGTCACTCCGAGCTGGCGGGTCACATTTCGTATGGGCGGGGTGGCTGGCTCCCGCCCCTCGCGTGCCCCGCTACGCGACTGCGGGAAAAAGAAAACCCCTCCAGGGAAAACCCGCAGGGGCGACGGGGGTTTCCCGGAGGGATTCGGCCGAGGTCTTCCCAACGATATGCCAACCAGAATACGTCAAATTGCACCCATCGTTGTTGATGGATCAAATTGCATTCAGGAGTCGGGACTTTTTCTGAGCTCGTCGCTGAACCTGTGCCCCCAAAGTGTTAGGGCGAGTTTGATCGGAAGGTCACGCGCAGATGTTTTGAAGTTTGTGACGAAGCCAGTAGCCTTTGCTCCAGTTCGCAACTCCCGAATTAAGACTGCACCTTGGCCACAGGGAGCATTTCTGATGACCGCTTAATTTCTGAAATAACGGATTTATGTACTCAGATGGAGAGCTTATCACAGCAAACCTCTCAAAAAATGTACTCACTGTGAACGGTTCTGATACATTGTTTCGGGTATCCCATTGAGCTATGTATACATGACATTCAGGCAAACATATATTTGTCACTGGTCTGTTCAGGTTCTTGACACTGAGGTGCATTCTGGTACAAAAGCTACTTACACCGCACAGCGGAGCATCATGCAACGCACCACTCGTTCCCCGTAAATCTCCAGACCATCAGTAGTTGTGCGTACTTAGTTCCCTGTCAGAGTGACGCTACTTCTCGAATACAGGCAGATGTTCTGAGCAATCTAGTCTCTGGTGTCGTTACCGGCAGGTTGCGGACGAGCATGCGTGAAATAGACGTTGCGTAGCTTAGGCTCCGACAGAGGAGAATGGCGTCATTGAATCTTTGGGGGTTCGATGTGCCATGGCGGTCAGACAACTCAGATTTTCCAATGCAATCAAGCAAAGCTTGCGAGAGCCACGGTAACGAGTTTTCCCAACAAGCGAATGCTCGCCGCATTCCGTCCGAGCAGCCCGAATTGGCTCCTTGGATCAATCTGGCTTGTCACGACCGTCCCATTCCACCAGATTCCACGGCGAGCCTTCCGGACATGGATTCAATACTCGATCTTTCGGATGATACCTATGGAGAGCCAAGACGCGTTTCTCTGGATGATTCCTATGTTGATCTTATAAAGAGGATAAACTGGACTTTTGGTTCTGGAACGGATCGCGGCGACCCGCCGAGGAGTAACTGGATGCTGGATCAGATGCTGAGCCACCTGACGCCGAATCTCGTCGTGACATCTGGCATCGCGGAAAAAATGCAGGCGATGTCCACGTGGCAGGCCGTGCGGGGAATCTCGGATTTCGAATTAAAGCTGCGGCAGGAGTGGGGGTACTGTTTGCCATCCACCAGGTCACTCACTCTCACCGACCTGTACCCTTCCCCGTGTATTCTAACCGAACCAATTCCTACGCACACCTAGGAGCCAATGTTGAGACGTCTCAAACCTCACATTTAGACGCCACTGATCGCGTGTCGCAATCCGAGAATCTCGGCTCGCAGAAGAGGAATCGGGCCCGGGAAAGATCGGGTGAATGTGGAGGAGAGTGGAGGAGCGGCGAAGATAGGCCACCGGGTTTGAGAGACGAGGAGATTGGACGAGGCGGCCGCGTGGCTGCTCGCTGCGCTGACGGCGCAGATGACTTGGCGATGGCACGAGGAGAGAGCAGATGCAGAAAGGTGGGTTCTTCTCTCTTATGCTGCGGCAAAACACTTCTCATTTCTCTGCCCGTCTGTCGTTGCAAGCACCAAGCAATCCACACTTGGCAATCCACCTCAGATCTGCACTGCCATTCCCAATTTAATCTCTTCCGTTCCTCCACTCCGCTATACTCCCCATCCCCACTCTCTCTCTCGCTCTCCCTCTCCCTCCCAACATCCCCTTTGTCTCCCGGTCTGCCAGCATCCGCACGCCCTCGCGCACGTGGCGGCGTGCGCTCTCAGGGGGCAGCCCGCCGCCCTTTACGTCCTCCAGTCTCTCCGCTCGCGTGGTGCCTCACCCTCCGCACTCGCTGCCCCCGCTGCCCCCGCTGCCCCCGCTGCCCCCGCTGCCCCCGCTGCCCCCGCTGCCCCCGCTGCTCCCACGAGCTCGCAAAAGAGAGGTCCAGCAGCTGCACGGGCCGTGGCGAGGCAGGGGGTTGAGGAGGCGGTGCTGGGCGAGATAGTGGCGGATGGGCACGTGTGCCGGAGACTGCACTGCCTCGCAGCGAGACTGCAGGCGCCACCTGGTGCTGCTGACGCAGCAGCAGCAGCGTGGGGAGTGCCACGTGTGCTTGCTGACGTGGACTGCCAGCTGGCTAGTGTGCCGTGTCAGTTAGCTGCGTGCAGGATGGTGCAGCAAGCGGCAGATGCTGACGGTGCAGGTGGCAGAGCATGTGGCGATGCTGCTGGCGGTGGTGGTGGGGGTGGGTATGGCAGCGACGGGGAGGGCTCGGACTGGGATTCAGAGAGTGGGGATGTGTGGGTGGGATGGACGGGCGGGGAGAGTGATGACGACGAGAGCGATAGAGACGAGGAGGGCAACGAGGGAAAGGAGGGTGAAGAGAGTGCGTGGTGCAAGAGCAGCAGTCAACACCATCATGATCACGCCAATCATGGACCTAAAGCGCATCATGAGCGCATTGCAGCAGCAGGGGCAGCAGCATACAGGTCCCCGCGTGGAGAGCCACGGCCAGGGGGTAGCGCAGTGGGAGCGGTAGGGGGCGGTGCGGAGCGGGACGACGCGGTTCTGAGGGGTTTTGGGCGGGCATTGTCTCTGGTTCTCGCTCAGTACGAGGCCGGGGTTGCCCAGCTCGCCCGGGCGTGCACTGCTGCTCTTTCTGCCTCATCAGCAACGGTAGCAACAGATTGTTCCAGCTCTGCACGCTCACAAGCAGCCAGTCCAGGCGGCCCTTCAGATGCCGTGCTTCTGCTGGCCATGCGGAGCAGGCGACTGAGGGAGCAGCTGAGGCGCCTGGTGATGTTGCTGGGGATGGATTCGAGAGAGAGGGAGACAGCAGGGGGTGAGAGGAAGGGGCAGCCATGGGAGGGCGGGGCGTTGAGGGGGAAGGAGAGGGCAGAGGGGAAGATGGAGGACGCGTGGTCGGTGGTGTACCAGTGCCCTCGGATGCCCATGCCTTGCTCGTCAGATCCGAGCAGTGCAGGCATGAGAGCCATGCCTCTCACTCCACCCGCTGCACACATGCACCGCACGCCCCACACGCACCACATGGGCCATACTGTTGCTGCCAGCGGTGGCAGCAGAGCCGTGCGCCCCACCACCACCCACAGCAGCCCAGCTGCTGCACTCCTCTCTTACCTTCACTGCATGCTCCAGCTCACGGCCATGGATAACAGCAGTGGCAGCACGGCCAGTGCTCTTGGTTTGAGTCAGAAGCAGCAGCATCGGAAATGGGGAGGCGATGGTTCAATGGAGGCGATGAGGTGGCTGTTTGTATCGTCGTGCCGGCCGCTTGTGTGCCAGCTGAGGACCACCATGGCTCTGGGTGACCTCGCCTCCTTGCATCCCTCCCTCGCTGCTGCTGCTGCTGCCACTGCTGCAGTTTCTGCTGCTGCTGGGAGTGCTGCTGCTGGGAGTGTTAGCCACGCCACCAACGCCACCACCGCCATCACTCGTACCCCTCCTACCCCTGCTGGACAGTTCACTCCCACTCGCAGCGTCACTCCTTCACACATGGTTACCCCGTCTCATCTGGTTACCCTATCCCGCCAGGTTAACCCCTCGCATCTGGTTTCCCCATCGCACGTAGTCACCCCATCACAGTTCGACACACCTCGTTTCCTGTCCAACCAGGCAGCAGCAGCTAGCGACGCGTGGAGTGCGTCGCTCTTCCTTCGTTTTAGGAAGGTGCGTTTTTAACTTAACTAGGCTATGAATCGAACTAATCTGACTCGATTTTCTTTCCTTTATGTTGTTTTTGCATGGCCTCTCCATTCCACCCACGCCCTTGACCCCTTACCCCTGTTTCCCCTTTTCTTTCCTCCATACTCAACACCAGATCAACCACCTGCTGCCCTTGTTCCTCCATCCAGTGTCACACCTCGTTGTAAGAACAGCGCAGCAGCAGCACATACTCCTCTCTGCTCCCTCCCCCACCATTCGCCAACTCGCCTCCCGCCTCTCCTACCTCCTCTCCTCCCTCCTCCTCCCCCACTCACACCCCTTCCCCTCTCTGCCAACCAATGGAGAAAATCCACGTCACGTTCAACCAGCGCTTGCGTCTGATTGGTCCATCGATTTCACCATGGCTGGGGTGGCCCGAACCAGAGAGATCGTCCAGAACTGGCCCGCCAAGGCTGAGCTGCAGGTTCGGCAGCTTCTGGACGCTTTGGAACCTTGGTCCAGTGCAGCAGGCGAGGCTCGGATGGCTGATGTGGGGGATGTGCTGTGGGGCCAGTTTGGGGCGGCAGCAGTTCCCGTGCTGCCTCCAGGGGCTGTAACGGATGCTGCTGGGAAAGGAACGGCTGTAGCAGCAGCTACAAAAAGACCAACAGGTGGCTTGAAAGCTGCAGAAGCAGGAGTAGCAGCAACAACAACAGCAGCAACAACAACAGCAGCAACAGCAGCACCATTACCACTGCCGCCACTGCGCCCCCCTCCTGGTGCTTCCAGGGCCGCACCTCTCCACAGAGCAAAGGACGGACAAGCTCTGAGGAGGGAGGAGGAGGAACGCGAGGGAGGGAAAGGAGGGAGGGAGGAAGGGAGGGAGCAGATCTGCTCTGGCTGTGGCTGGTCGCATGAGCCCTCCTCACACACACCTGGTGACGACGTGGCAGCAGCTGATTGGCCATGGAAAGGCACCCACCCACCTCCTCTGTGCAATCTGCTTGCTGGTGTGCACATGCCAAGCAACGAGTCAGCACAATCCCCCGGCTGCGCCTCACCCAACTCCACACTGCGTCACGCATGGGTGGAGTGCGGTGCCATGCTGCGCCTCTGTGACCCCCGCGCTGGCCCCGCTTTTCCCTGGTCGTGGATGGCTTGTAACGAGGATGGTTGTAATGGGGATGGCTGTGGTGGCGCTGCGGTGCATGGTGCGAGTGGCATCTCATGGCATGCAGTGCTCCAGCATGCTCAGAGGCATGGAAAGGAGGGAGGTATGGGGGCAAAGGAGAAGGTAAAGGAAGGAGGAAAGGACGGAGGAATAAGGGGAGGAAAGGAAGGATCAAAGGAGGGAGGAAAGGAGGGATTAAGAAAGGGAGCGGCAGGTAGTGGGGAGGGGAAACAGAAGGGCGTTGAGGTTCAGAGTGGGAACAGCGGAAGGGCGTTGAAGCACAGCGGAAGACAGAGAAGTGGGCACAGTGAGAGGCGGAGAAGTGGGCGCAGTGGGAAGCAGGGTGGGTTGGGTAGGCAGCAGAGTGGGAGGCCTGCTGGGAAGCAGAGTGGGGAGGCGTTTGGAAGGCAGGGTGGGCGTGGAGGGGCAGCAGGGAGGGGAGGGGGCCATGTAACGGATGAGGAGAGGCGGCTGGAGGTCATGGCAGTCACAGAGATGGATGGGAGCTTCGATGATGCCATCCATGCCCACCTGCTGCTGCCCATCCGTGCAAGGTATGCTCGTGATGCCTCGAAATGAGCAGCATGTGATGTGAGTGCCACCGCCTCTTCCTCTTCCACCACTCGCCTGCTGCCATCTGTTCTCCTGCTTGCCCATTATTACTCCTCCCCTCTGTTCCCAAGTCAACCATCAGTTAAACAGTCTCTACCTCCACCTTTCTCGGCCCTGCCTCCCCATGTCTCTCCCCCCACCAGCCACGCACTGGTGAGCAGGGCAGCAGTGCAGGTGCTGTTCGCTGTGGGGCGCTACCGCGACCACTGCACCGCACTGCACCACCTCTTCCTCTCCCCCCACTCTGCCCTGCCCTCCGCCCTCCTGCACGCCCTCCATGCCGTGGTGAGTGCTACATACATGCATGCCCGCTACAGCAGGACCTGTTTTTGAGGCGCCTAAAATAACATGCCCCCTACAGCAGGACCTGGGCCAGCATTCTCTCACTCTCACTGCACCACCACGCCCTTTCTCTTTCCCTGCTTGCTGCCTTTTTTGTTCAACTTGCTTTTGCTTCTGGCACCTTTACCCCCTCTTCTCTCCTCTCTCCTCACTCGTCTTACCTCTCCCCTCAACCTCTCCCCTTCACTCTGCTGCAGGACTGGGCCAGCCTCCGCTCACTGCCAGAGCAGCAGCACGCGCTCTCCTCCGCCCTCGACACCGCCGTCTCGCGAGCCTGCCTCTCCTCCCTCCCCGCCTCCTCCCTCTCCCGCCTCCACGCCTTCATTGCGCCCTCCTCCCTCTCCTCCTCCTCCCTCTCCTCCTCCGCCCTCTCATCCATGTCAACACCACCGCCTCACCCAATGTCGCCAGGGTCGGGAGGGGGTGCAGTGGGCAGTGCGAGCAAGCAGCTCACGTGGGGCCCTTTGTCTGCCCACCGTGAGTGCCCAACCTGGCAGATAGAGCAGCATGTCTGATAGATTGTTACGTCTGAGATTTCTTTGAGGATGAGAACTGTTAAGGAGGGAGGGTTGAGAAAGAAGGGAGGGGGGTGAGTGGGCAGTGCGAGCAAGCAGCTCACATGGAGCCCTTTGTCTGTCCACCGTGAGTGCCTGGGTTATTATAACAGTTGAGGCACTTTCTCAACCGCGCTGCATCCCTCCCCACACCCTCCATCCGAATCTGGTCCATGTTACGTTCCACGAGTGCGGTATGACACTTGCCTGGGCACGTTCTCAACCGCACTGCATCTCTCTGCGCCCCTCCCCGCACCCACCATCAGGGCTGGGCGCGTTTGACTTTGTGCGGGTGGGGTACGACCCTGGCTGGCCAGCAAGCGTGGTGATAACACTGCACCTGGTGCAGCAGTATGGAGACATTCTCGCTGCACTGATCAGGCTGCACCACGTGCAGCGGGCCGTGGAAAATCTCACTGTTCACGTCAAGGTAGGCTATTTTTTGGGAACCTCGATAGCCTGCTAGCGTGGTGATAACCCCCTAGCTGGTACAGCAGTACGCAGACAAACATGCTCACTGCGCTAATCAGGCTGCACTATGTGCAGCGGGCCATCGGCAGCCTCACCAATCACATCAAAGTGGGCTTTGAGTTGAAGCGAAAGTCACTCTCTCTCTGCGCAGCTCAGGTTGCGCCTGGTGCATGGTGCGCCTGGTGCATGGTGGGCCCCGATTCACCAACGTCACCCTACCTATGGAGGCCTCACCATTCATGTCATAGTGGGCCCCAGTTGATGCCTTTCACACTAGCACCATGTGCAGAAGGCAATAAGGCAAATAAGGCATTGGCAGCATCAATGTTCATAACATTTCAATGTGGGCTGCATTATGCTCGTTGCTTGCCTTGACCCAGCATGTGTTCTTTTCCGCATCAGCCCTACCATGCAGGAGCATACACTTGCGCTCCATGGCATGAATCCTCATGCCCCGCCATGCCGTACCCTTGCTGTCAGGTCCTCCGTTCAGCACTGTTGGCCCAGTCATTGCCACCAGCGCCAACAGCACCAGCGGCAGCAGCGGCGGCGGCAGCAGCAGGAGGCAGGGCAGCCCACAGGGAGCAGCATCGGCGTCTTTGCGTCCTCAACGTGTTCATGTGAGAGCCTTCCTGTGAACATGAAGGGGCATGTCTTTGCCCCTCCCACGCCTTCCTGGCGCAGCTGAGCTTTCCTATAAACCTATGCATGCATAGCAACTTCTTTTGGGGATGATTACTCAGGGCAGCATGCACCGCTGCTTGCTGGCCAGCCAAGCCCCCCCGACACTCACTGCACCCAATACACGCCCTCCTGCTCTCTCCTCTTCCCCTTCCCCCTTCAGCATGCGCGCATCACAGCTGGTGTCTTGCATGCTCGCCTTTATAACCGCTCAGCTGCAGCGAGCAGGGCAGCATGGGGACCAGATGCTGTTGCTGGGCATTGATGACTCCTCAGAGGGACACAAGCCCCACCTGGTGGGTCTGGGTTTTCCATGGGTAATTCCTTGAGCTGCCTCGAGCATAGATTTTCGCTTGAATGAGTGCGCAGATGCAGCAAGCAGCGCAGCAGGGTGACCAGATGCACAAGCACAAGCACCCACGGAGTGAGTGGGGCGAAAACAAGGAGCATCAATAGAACAATGAGTGAGTGATGGTTTTCATGTGCTTTGAGAGTCCCTGGCTTGGCGTTTATGTCTAGGTCCTGCCCAGTTGGATCTATTGTTGCTCCTTGTTTTCGCTCTTTTTTTTTTTCTCCCAATTCCCCTTTGTTCTATTCGTAATCCTTCCTTTGCCCCTTCCCTTGTTCCACCTTCCCTTGTGCCACTTTCCAGGACCTATTCTCATTCCAAGAGGCACATGCACAGTTTCTGATTTACTGCACAACCAGGTACCCCCTCCTCCCTCACTCCGTATTCCAATTTCACCGTCTCTACTATCACATATAACCGTATTATTATCTATAACTTGAAGTCATCATCCTTCCTGTCTGTCATGGCAGGTGCCTGCTAGACGCGCGGAGTGCACCCATCAGGGAGCGCCTAGACAGTCTGCTACAGCTGGTGTTGGATGTGCATCGTAGCGTTGACTCGGCTCGCATGGTCGCCCCTTTCTCTGAGTTCTTCCTCGACGACGATACTCCCATCTGGGAAGAGGTGAGGGATGTAGTAACTCGAGTGCGTATGCTGTGCTGTCGTGGTATATGTCAAACAAATATATTGTGCACCTATGCTCAACCGCCCCGCTCTCTCTGAGTTCTTCCTCGATGACGGTGCTCCCATCTGGGAGGAGGTGAGGGATGTTCCAGCTTAAGAGGAGAGGGAAATAGCTTGCTGCAGCTGGTTCTGAATGTGCATCGCGGGGTGGACTCTGCCTCCATGATCGCCCCGCTCTCGGATTTCTTTCTCGGTGATGCTCCCGTTTGGGAGGTGAGGGATGTAGCAACCTTTGAGAAAGCTCTGATTAGACACCCTGTTGTGCAGGTGGGGTAACGAGGCCTTGGATGACTTGTTTGATTTTGCAGCTCGTGATCATGCTTGTTCTCTGTTTCATCTCAAGTTTGTGCTTGTGATGGATGGGGTGCAGGTAGAGCAGCATGTGGGAGAGTTCAACGAGGCATTGAACGACTTGCTTGATTTTCTCTCGCGCAAGCAGGAAGTTTCTCGTCCTGAAAAACGCCTCCTCAAATGCCTCATTTTTCTCAAACTCAAATAATCCAGACTTGTCACATGGCTACACTTGGTTGTGCACTTTATTTGGGAGAATGTTTCATGCTTTCTTGTATATTTTTTGTGTAGGCGGTTGATTAATCACCTAATAAAACCGTATACGGTAGCTTACTGGTACGAGTTGCGCGAGGCTTCCTCATTTGCCGAGTCGCTTGAGCAGGGACTCCATTAGACCTAAGTTCACCTGACGCGTAGTTACCTTGCCCTTCTTCCGCACTCAGCCATTTATCCGCATTCTCGGTCTAACGTCGCGGCGAGATTCGACAATGGCAAGCGACAATTGCGGCAGTAGCACCAGCAGCATCAGCACTGGTAGACAAACGCGAGTGCAGCAACTTGAGCGACTTCAGGTGTGCAGGACTTCACACGGTTGCACTAACATCAGTTCCGTCCTTCTCCTTTCCCTCTCGTCGCAGATGCTCGTTTTTTCAGTCATTCGTTGCCACGTACCGGCCCCACTCGTCCCCCCTCGTCGCTTCCATCGAGGCGTTTGGTACGTCGTTCAAAGCTCGAATGGTTCGATCTCGTTTCCTCCGTCAATACCGCCCGCCTACTAGGAGCTGTCGCGGCTGCGGAGGAGTCTCGCGGGAGCCAAGGGTGTGAGATCAGATCCCAGGGCTGAACCTGCACACTCGGCAATCCCAAGGACGTCTACAGGCTCGGAAGCGAGGCAGGGCATGAGGCGGCGAATCCAGCTGGCTCAGTCATGCGGGGAGGCAGGGAGGGACGGCGGAGGTGGGGAAGGTAAGGGGAAGGTTGCAGTGGCAGAAGGGGGTCAAAAGCAGAGCCTGGGAGAATAGAGGTGTGTGGAGAGCGTGCGAGGGCTGGTTCGACTGGTAACAGCAACATGAGACCAGCGCGGGAGGAGGCGGAAGTGCAGTTGGGAAGAGTGCATCATTTTCGTGGTGCAGAGCGGTGCAGCGAGGCTCAGAGGGTGGAGTTGCGTCTGCAAGGGGAGCATGCAGTGAGAGGTGGAGGGCTGGGAGGTCCGTCGTTGGTGGCGGTACCTGTGGCGAGCCGGCAAAGCACAAGCACAAGCAACAGCGCAAGCACGAGCGTGGACATGAGGATGAGCATGAGTATGAGCATGGGGCGGTTTGAGGGCACGCCTCACGGCACGTTGGGAAGGGAGGTAAGCATCTGTGGATCATCATGGGTCAGCTTGTGGTTGGTTGGCTGGTTCGTTTGTGCTGCTCATTTCGTCTATGATGGGTTATGTGCATGCGCGAGCCTCCATGTGTGGCCCCCATGCTTCCAAGTATTCCTCTCATTCCTGCCGTCTCTCAAAGCCTGGGGACACATGAGTAACGGCGTTACAGTACAGCGACCATGCTCCGTCTCCTCACGTGCTCCTGTATGCTTCCCAGACACAGCTGGATCGCGTGTTGGAGTCAGTCCTACAGCACAACTGTCATGCTTCTTGTGCTCCCCATGCTTCCCATGATTGCCACGTGCTCCCATGTCCTGCACACGTGCTCCCATGTCCTGCACACGTGCTCCCATGTCCTGCACACGTGCTCCCATGTCCTGCACACGTGCTCCCATGTCCTGCACACGTGCTCCCATGTCCTGCACACGTGCTCCCATGTCCTGCACACGTGCTCCCATGTCCTGCACACGCGCTCCTGTATGCTTCCCCAGACAGAGCTGGACCGCAGGTTGGAGGCAGCCTTAAGGGCTGGTGATCACGCAGCAGCGCAGCGGCTGAACGATGCACTCATGAGGCGGGAGAGCGTGCGGCAGCAGAGACAGGCGGAATGGCACATGCAGCTCGCAGCAAGCCTGCAGGTGAGGAGAGAGGCAGAGCCGGAAAGGTTTGCCAGTTTGACCGACCATGCCACAGCCAACAGCTTGCTGCTTGGACTTACTGGTATGAGCGCTCCTGGCTGAAGAGCACTCTTTAAGAGCACGCTGGGGCTGAAGCGTGCCCTCTAGGCAGGGTGAGCGTGTGCAAGCAGAGACAGGTGGAGTGGCACGTGCTGGAGTGAGCTAGTGTGGAGGAGTGGGGAGTGGGGCAAGGCGTAGCGTGCTCGACAGAAGCATGAAAGCATGTCCACGGCAGGAGCAAGGCAGTGGCTAAACTGGTTAGCAGCGTTCCTCACATGCACACATCCACCCGTCGCGTTTCCACAGGAACAGGAAACACAGCGGCGCAGGAAACGGCAGCGGCTAAACTGGGGGTGAGTTCCTTCTTTTTTCATCTACTTTCTGGACTTGGAAAAATTCTGTTGGCATTCTGTACTGTGTCAGGTCACATCATGCTGCTTTCCGCCTCCGTGTGGGCTGATTTGTTGCAGGATGGATGTGCTGCGAAAGTCAGAAGGGAAGGGCAACATGTGACGTGGAGGAGCATTTGTGCATACCCTGAATGTGTAACCACCGGTAGCAGAACCATTAGCGACTAAATGTCATACCAGGTTAGGTTTGTACGGTACGTTTTTTCTTTTAACCCGGATTCTCAAGTTCCCCAAAACTGCCTCAACCTTCCTACCTTTGGTTGGGTTTAACCCAGTAGAGAACAGCCTACTTCGCGAATCGTCGAAGCGATCGCTGCAACCCTGTTCCCGTTGCTTACAATATTCAAATGACAGGAGTGTAGAGAGTTATATTTACAGTAATCCATGTGCTTGTGCTGTATAGAAATGATAAGCTATTCAGTAGTTGTTGTGGCTGGAGCCGGAAGTGGTTAGAACGGCATACTGTAAAGAGATGTCTCTACAGATGATTCCTTATGCAGTTGCCTACTAAGGATAACATGCTTCCTACATTTCCTGTACCGTACCCTGTAGTTAATGACCGTTGAGAGAACGGACCATCTTATTCTTCCACCACAGCCGAACTCTCTAAGACTCCACCTTCCACCTCATCTTCACGTTCACAGCTCCCAGTCTGCAAAGCGTCACCATCAGCCCAACCAGCACAAGACGCACCAGCAGCAGCATCAGCAGCTCCAGAACCAGAAGCCATGCCAGCAGCAGCAGGTTCACGGAGCGGTGGACGGAGCACAGGAGCCAGCAACCCAGCGTCAGCGGCTTTGGCAGCAGGGAGGAAGGGCCTGAGGAGGCCACCCAGAGCGTATGACAGGGAAGCAGCGTCACCCCGCCACCGCCGCCGGAGCTTCAAGCACTGCTGCAGCCAGCGGGGCTTCAGACACTGCTGCTACACAGAATGCACCCACTCCCTGTTGGGCTAGGGGTAGCGGGTCAATCTTTCGTCGGGCTGCCGGGGCGCTTGTCCCTGAAACCTCCCCCCATTCCAGTCCACCTTCCGGCACATTCAAAGCCGGGAGCGCTCTTTTCTTGCTCCACCCCTGCGTTCCATCACTCTCCATCACCCCGCCCAAATTACCCATGTCGCTCAATCCACTGCAGCTGCTCAAGCCACGTATGCCATTTACGCCACCCGCACCACCATCCCTGTGACTCCCCTGGTCTTCTTCAATGTTGTGAATGCGCGCTCCTCTCTCCGATCCCTCCTCTTCCTCCCCTCTAACCGAACTCTCGTCCTCTCTTCCTCCTGAATCACCTCCGTCACCTTCTGTTTCCGCACAGTCATGATTTGTTTCACTTGTAACATAGCGAAAACCGGCGACAGCGGCCATCTGTTCGCGCAGCAGAAGAATCTCCTCGCCTTGCCTCTCCACCTCCGCCCTTAAACCCTCTACCTCCTCCTCCTCGTACCGCGCTTTCTCGACTAAGATCCTCTCTCTCTGCCGGGCGGCTAACTGGTCGGCAGCTTTATCGTCTTGCAGCCGTCGGATCGACTCCATGCTCGCCATCGCAGCGCTGTCCGCTGCCGCCCGCTCCTGCTCCAGCTCCCGTCGCAGACTGTCGCTCAGCACCCACTCTTGCTCGAGCTCTTGTCGTAGAGCGTCGCACGTCGCTCGCGCTTGCTGGAGCTCGTGTCGCAGGGCGTCGTTTTCTTGCACGTGAAGCTCGCCGGACGTACCCGCTGCGATAGTCCTGCTCCGCCCTTCGCCTCCTCTTCTTGTTACAAGGTCCTCTTCGCCTGCTGCAGTGGCGAGCTTCGCAACAGCTCTCGCCTCCTCAACCCATCGCCTCATGTTATCCTCGTCCCATAACCTACCCGGAGAAGATTTATCGCCTAGCGACGACGACGACAGCCTGAGTTGATCCCATGGCGACCATTCGTCGCAACCTACTTGCTCAACGCCCTCGCAACTCCATGCATAAGCCGCATTCTCCGTGTACTCCTCCCTGTGCTCCAAATCCCGAGCCTTACCGTAGAACTCAATATCGCGTACAATGGCCGAGAGCCAGGTCTCGACGAGGCACACGAATCGCACGATTCTCTGTACGGCGCGGAGCGGCGGCAAGAGAAACGTCAAGGCGAGTCTGCAGGCGGCGAGGGCGACGAGGGCGCGAAAGAGCAGGAGGAGCGAGCTGAGCGCGTGGATGATCTGCGAGGAAATGGAGAGAATCTCGGCCGCCGTACATCGCGCCGAACGAATTAATGACGTCGACATTCTTCTGTCTGTCAGGAAGGGTTTGGGTGGAAATTCGTGTGCGTGCGCATTCTTGGTTGCGGCGTTGCTGGACAGGCCGTATGCGATGGGTTTGCTGAAGCTGTTGTTCTGCGCGGATGCTCTGTTGCTCCGAGAGCTGCTTCTGCAGCTATACGCTTGATCGACCATAGGTTTCAACAAGCGTGTGACAAACGGTATGAGAAACTCACGAGATGCTATTTCCGCACCCATTTGGGAAAGGCACTGGGCGTCGCTATTTATTTGTTGAGTTCTGCACCCTTGTCTAGCTTGCTGGACCAGCGCCAGCAAGGGGCGATCTGTGCAGAACTGGGGGTGTGGGTGATCAAAGTTTGGTGGGGCAAGAAAAGGGGAGATTGATGGGTCGTGGCCGTCGAAAGCGCCTGGGATGTGAAATTGCTGGAATTGAGTTTCGATGCGTGCATGCATTGAATGCGACGCGTGCGTGAAATGCAGGGTATGAGCGACGCGATCTAAAAAGGAACGGAATCGGGGTCCGATGTGAGTGTGAGAGAAACGAGCGTGAAGCGCAAAGATAACTTCAGGGTCTCTGTTATGTACTGTATGTTCTGCGAAACGTATGTGCTACAAAAGCATTCAAATCACATCTGGGTGGACTGTTTTGACTTGGCACACCAAGGCTCAACCTCCAATAGAACAGCCAAATGCATCGCAGTTGGGTTTTTCCTGTTTCGCTCAAATTCGCGAAACTTCATTTGCGAGACACGGTTGGAAAGCTCCGTGTTCAGATCCGAAAAGCGAACATTAGGAAACCCAAGGGGTGTCGAATCGGGTAACTTGATTGCTTGTCATTTTGTGACCCACCATTCTTTTGGAATTTGGCACAACCTCCACCTGTGAAGGCTGGCAGCAGGCAGTGTGGAAAGTGGGGGCGCGTCGACGACACAACCTGGCACAACCCACACCTGCCGCGTCGCATGTGAAACCTCCTCGCTGCAACCATCCCTTGCAGCCTGCTGTTCCCTCACTCTCACGTTTCGACGGCTCAGATCATCCCATCGTTGCGACCATCCAGCTCATTCCACACCCATCCGACACAACTGCGAGGCGCCCCCCACATGTGCCAGCGATCTCGATTCTCAGAGCCCAAGAAATGAATGCCGCCATTAGCACCGAGAGATAAATAGCTCGTAGTTCTCTTCAATTCACAAGCTCGATTTACTGGAGCTCCTAGAGCAATCCACTCTCGACTCGACATTCTTCAAACGCCCATGTGTGTGAGCGTCCCTGCTCGCTTCAACGTGTTCGATAAAATGGAACGAAGCGACTGGCTCGTACTCGCTGCGGCTGTTACCTAGACGTCATTACGGATTCTTCAGTTCCGAATTTTCAAAAGCACAATGACGCCTTTTAACGCGACAACAGCAGAGCGTATGCAGCACTCTGCGCGGTCGGTGAATGCGGCAAAAGATATACATACGACAGAAGAGGCGGCGGATCGAAGCGGCGCGAATCACGCGGATTCACGACGAAGCGGTTCGCATGCGACGATGCGGTTTCTCGCTGAGAGAATTACTACTATGCGGCGTGAATCACGTCGCTATGAGGGAATAAGCGCTACTACAGCCAGTGACTGCCCTCAGCGAGGAGAGAAAAATCCGTCCAACAACCTCCGGACGAGAAATAAGCGTGGGCGCTACCAATTAGCGAGGACGCTTCAATTTTCGCAATCCATCAGCATCCTCCAATACCAGCGCGCCACCTGTCCGATAGTAGCGCTAGGGACGAGAGGACGCGCTTTGCTGCTCCCTCCCTCCTCCCAGTCTTCCGAGTCCACCAATAAGCGCCGGGCTTCAGCTGGCTTCTGGCTTACAACGAATCTTCGTGCATCGAGGATGCGCTGTAGCTGCAGCTTCCGCCCCCAACTCGAAGACAAATAAAGCGCGCCGATTGGCGACAGGCCACGCGGACGGCCCAGCGTAGCCAGTTACTGCCCGCAGAGAGATGCGGTTAAAATCCGTCCAACAACCGGCGGACGAGAATAAACGTGGGCGCTACCAATAAGTGGCTCGATTTATCGCAATCCAGCAGCGTCCTCCAATCATTGGAGGATACCAGCGCGCCACGTGTCCGATAGCAGCGCTGGGGACGAGGGGAACATGCTCTCTGCGGCTCCCCCCTCCCCCTTGGTCTTCTGAGTCCACCAATAAGCGCCGGGCTTCAGCTGGCTTCTGGCTTACAGCGAATCCTCCTGCATCGAGGATGCGCTGTTGTAGCTGCAGCTTCAGCCCCCACTCTGACTCGAAGACGAATAAAGCGCGGCGAATGGCATTATGCCACGCGGACGGCCCTGCTTAGGGCCCACGTACGGTGACCCTCCCTGCACATCGCACACACAATAAGCGGCTCGACACCGATCCAATCCACTTCTGTCCAGAATCCGACCATCATCCCTCGCCATGAACCTTCTACCCCTGCGATTGCGACTGCCCTTCGGGCGGATCGCACAGAGTCGCAGGACTGGTCGCACGGCGAATAAGAGGCTCTATCGCCCACGGGGAGATTGGCTACGGACTTTATGACTGGGGCAAGTTTTGAGCGAGGAGTGTGACTATAGCCGCATGCAGTGCGATGACACAATAAAGGGAAGGGTACTGACTTGTCAGCTGGGAAATTCTGTTCCAACTGCGGATTCATTGATTAGTTTCTAAGGAGTATTTCATATTGCTGTTTTCTTTCTCATCAATGTCAAGCAAGATCTACCGGTATAGCAACACTGTGAACCCACAGTGTGCACAGGAAAAGGGGAGTTAGATTTGATTAACGATAATCATTTCTGCAGCACAAGCACACCCATAAGGCCTCCTCCAATCTCATAATGCACTGCTTTGGAGAATCCAGCTTCCTTTGCCAACTGCTCCTGCTGCCGCCCTGTGACATGCACACACAAAGCCATGCACAGAAAATCAATTGAGGGTCTAAGAGCCATGCACAGAAAATCAATCTTGATACGAGGATCTCTAAGAGCGTGTTCCTACACCTCGTATCAGAAACACCTCGTATCAGTTTCGCGTGGCGAAACGCATTTCAGTGTGTTCAACTGCGGTTGGATGCGTTTTAGTGCGGTTCGACGCGAAATTGATACGAGGTTGCCTGATAGGAACACGCTCTAATGCATGGGGCAAGACATGGCCTCGAAGGTGTGGATGATGAGAAGATTAAGTGGGAGGACAAAACTTGCACAACTTGTGGGAAGGCATCACCTGTGGGGGCAGGTACTCGTACTCCTCTGACAGCCCAAACAGACAGCAGCACCTGGGGGAGGCACTAATCGTGAGGAAGTTGTTACCTACGGAGCAGCCATTATCTGGGGGAGGTGTCACCTGTGGGGAAGCGGCGGATGGAGGGCAGCAGGTACTCGTACTCCTCTGACAGCCCAAACATGCGTGCCACCGGCACCACTGCGTTCTGCAGAGCAAACTCCTGCATGTGGGGTATGGAAAAGGGGGAGGGAGTGAGGAGGGGGTGGGGAGGGAGTGGGGAGGGAGTGGGGAGGGAGTGGGGAGGGAGTGGGGAGGGGGGTATGGTGTGTGACAGCTTCTGAGAGTGCTGTTGACACCAATGCCTTTGCAGAGCAAACTCCTGTAGGGGAAAAGGGGAAGGGAGAAAGGCAAAGGAGAAAAGGGGAGGGGGAGGGGCTTTTGAGTCGAAGCAACAGAGTGTGCTGTACAGGGCCAAGTTGTGCATGCAGAGGAGAAGAGGAAGGACTGGAAGAGGGGAAGGGGATCAAAACAGCTGGTTACTAAGGCAACTGAGGGAAACGTGATACACATGACTGCTAGTGATGCCTCAAGAACGCTCTGCTGCTGCTCTTGAACGCAACCTTGCTAACCTGGAAAGAAATTATGCTGACCTGGAATGGGATAATGCTGACCTGGAATGCGGCCACAAGTGGGTCCTCCGTGTGGTTGAAGTCGAGAATGGCTGCAGAGCTACCTGCAGGTGGGGAAACGCAGAGAGGGACAAGGAAACAGAGAGAGATATGGCAAGCACGTGAGGCACTATTGCTCGTGAGGCACTATTGCTCGTGAGGCACTATTGCACGCGAGGCACTATTGCTCAACAAGAATGCCCTTTGAGCACGCGGAGATATACCCCACCACCCATTTCTCTTCCTCCCACCCCTCACTAGTCTTCAGCACGCAGTGAATCTCCTGCTTCACAACTCACAAGTCCACCACCACAGCACTCCGCTCCGCTCAGCCAAACACTCAGCAGTCCACCCACCCAGCCATCCATCCACCCAGCCATCCATCCACCCAGCCATCCATCCACCCAGCCATCCCCCGCCATCCACCCACCCAGCCATCCACCCATCCAGCCATCCATCCACCCAGCCATCCATCCCTCTCACAGTCCCTTCTCCCACCCTCGTCACTCACCAGCCTTGAGCACGCGGTGAATTTCCTGCAGGGCGCGTGGAATGCTGGTGACGTTCCTCAGCCCGTACCCCATGGTGATGGCGTCGAATGAGTCGGCATCAAACGGCAGGGCTAAGGCGTCGCCCTCCACCCACCTGGAAGGAAGTGAGGGAAGTGAGATGGGTGAGGGGTGGATGGATGAGGTGGGGGTTGGTTGGTGCTGGTGACGTCTCCCAGCCCGTACCCCATCGTATGGTGTTGAAGGTAGCTGCATCGAATGGCAGGGTCAGAGAGTCGTGTTTTGAGTCGACTCAAAACACCCTCCGCTCCACCCACCTGCAAGGAAGTGGGTGGGGACGAAGCAGGGGGGCAGATTGTTGCTGCCGGTGACACTCCTCATCCCATACCTCCCCCCCCTCACCTCCCTCACCTCCCTCTTTCACCCGCTTCCCTGCCCGCCCTCCCTACCTCATGTCCACTCGGCGAGCCGAGTAGCTGTCTTGCTGCTTCTGGGCGGCGACAACGAGCTGCTGGGCGGCGAAGTCGAGCCCCACCACGCTCCCTGTGGGGCCCACCTTCTCTGCCAGCAGCAAGGAGAGGTCGCCGCTGCCACAGCAGATGTCCAAAGTGGTGTCGCCTGGGCGCGCTCTGAAGGCAGGGGGAGAGATGGTGAGATGGTGAGATGGTGGGGAGGGGAAGAGGATAGGGATGGTTAGCCAGCAGCAAGGAGAGATCCCCGCTGCCACAGCAGATGTCTGATGGGGGAAGAGAGGCGCAGCATCGCCTGGGCGAGGTCTGATGGGGGAAGAGAGGGAAGAGAGGCCGGGGGCGGCGGACGGGGAGGAGCAAGGGGGGAGAGAGGGCGCATTGGGCTAAGAGGAGGGTGACAATGAGGGAAGAATTGGTGCAACAGGAAGGAGGGAAGGAGGGAGAGGCCACTTGCACGCTACTGCCCTGGACGCGCTCTGAGGGGGGTCATTTTTGAGAAATCTCCAAAATTTAACTTGATTTGCTTTTCGAAATTCCACTTGAATACATCTGGGCGCGCTCTGTTTCTCCTCATCCCACACCTCTATTCTCCCCCTGACCGCCCTTCCGTTAGCCTCGCCTTCCCCAGCCACCCACCTGCTCCACCCGACAGTCATTCGCTTCCACACGCGGTGCTGCCCCAGACTCAGCCAATCGTTGAGCTGCGCGTGGCAGGCAGGGAAGGGGGTGAGGGCGAAGGGAGAGCAGCAGAGACGAATTTGGCGAACGGGCGGGTGTTTGCGAGGGAGTGATGTTAATGAAGAGATTCTGTGGGCTGTCGCTCTGAAGTGCTCGATTTATGGCATGCGCCAGTCAGTGTTACTCGCACATTCCTCACGAGCCGCGCGTTATACTCACACCACGAGCGTACTCGCATAACTCGCATAACTCGCACAACTCACGCGACGACGATTACTCACGCTACGCGCATTACTCACGTCGTCATACATGGGAGCGATGTTATTGAATATCTTCTGTCGGCTGTCGCTCTGCGCGCGCTCCTCCTCGCTCCGCCCTCCCCTCCACCCCGCCTCCCTCCCCCTCTCATCCTCGCTATCAGTCAAGTCCGTCGGATTCACATCGGACGGCCCCTGATCATCCCAATCCACGCCCGTCGAATCCGCCGCTGCCGCCACTACCACGCATCGCCGCTCTGAGTGTCGCTGTGCATTCCCGCTAAGGCTACCTTGACACGTCCGTAAACGCGCGCTGACGCTGCTGCTGCGACTTAAGTTCCCGCCGGTACCTGTGCTGTTCTGACAGCCTGAATCGCGCAACTGCGCGCAGTGCAAACCAGCGCAAGGGCTCACTGCAGCAGCCGCGGACGCGATGGCGGAAGCCATTCTGTAACGTGATTGGTTGCGCGGATTCGGGTTCGATGAATTCAAGGAATCCCTTTGGGTTTGTCTCAGCTTGACACAGTTCCCGCCAAATCATGTCAGGCTGTTGCCTGTGACACGCTTGGAAGCGACGATGGGACGTTTTCGCAGAAGTGTCTCCGTGTAACCATGTAATCGAACGAAAGAACCTTTTGGGGCTTGCCGAGTGTGTGACCCGTCTGGTTCGTGATCAGCAGCTCTCGCGAATGGCTCGCGAAGCCATCCGGTGCAGTAAGCTCTCAGAGTTGACAACACTCCCCATGACATAAAAACAATCTTGTACTGTACTCAGATTAGTTCGTCCATCCAGCATAATTACAATCTTGTTTTCCGTAGCTGCTATATATCCCCCGCCGTTCATTCTCGCTGTATCTATTTTCAAGAGACTTCAAGAGTAGTTTGTTGTATAACCTCCTGAACATAAATTCCTTCTATTCTAATCTCTTCTGAGCATCGATCGATTCGTTCTAACCTCCTCGTAGATGGAGGGCGACTGGGGGGACTTCCAATCAGGAGCCAGCGGCTTCCTCTCAGCGCAAAACGCGCCGTCATCTGCGGCGGCACCGGCGCAGGCGGAGGGGGCCGAAGAGCTCACGGCGAGGGCCGTGGAGGCTACGCATTCGTCAGACGCGGATTTGGCGGCGAGCGGAAAGTCTGCCGCGAAAAGTAGCGACTCGTTTTGGGGGGAGGGGGAGAGCGGGGGTGGCGCGGATGCGGGAATGGACTTCTGGGGGGAGGTGCAGGCGCTGGGGGGAAGCGGGGAAGCGCAGGCATTGGGGGGAACTGCGGAAGCGCGGGTGACAGATGGGGGAAGCGGGAATAACCATTCGGGGCCAATGGCGCAGGGGGCGGAGACTCCGCTTTCTCCGCCTCCCGCATCCACCGTTGACAGCGGTGGAGTTGCGCCGGCGACAGCGGCGGCTGCAGCTGGCCCGCTAGCGGCAGCGCTGGCGGCACCAGTGGCGGCGTCCGCGGGAAGCGGATTAGGGTTAGATCATTCCGGGTTGCCTGGGCCTCAGAGTGGGCCCGCTAGCGTTCAAACTGTCGCCAGCGCTGGTTACCACTCGTCGCCAATGACCGCAGGCGGTTCGCAAGGACCCAGATCTCCGGCGAAAGCTGATCCGCACGTTGCGTCAGATCCTCATTATAAGCATGATTCGGTACAGCGACCGGGCGCGCATCATCCGAGCGGGTTTTCCGCCCACATGATGTCTTACTCGCACTCGTCCCCGCTCCGCCCCTCCGCGCCCCACGCGCTCGACGCGCATCAGCGGAAATCCCCCACCCCCCCGCCTCCCGCCAGTGCCGCCCATCCGCCCTTCCGCGGACCAGCGCCAGCGCCTGGGTCTGCGCCGCACTCCTCGCTCTCCGCCCGCGGCCCTCTCTCCGCCCCTCCCGTCTCTCACCCACAGTCACACCCCCCAGGTTCACACCCGCTACAATCACACCCGCCGTTTCTTCCCCCTCCTCCACACTCCCCCCCGTCTCGCTCGTTGCCCTCCCACCCCCCTCCGTCTCACCCTCCCCCGTCGCTTCCCCATCCCCTATCCCACCCGCCACCGTCACACTCGCCACCGTCACACCCGCCACCGTCACACCCGCCACCGTCACACCCGCCACCGTCACACCCGCCACAGTCTCACCCGCCTCTATCCCGCCCCACTCACCCCCCGCCCGGGTACAGACCTCCCCCGCAAGGCCCCCCTGGCTCTGCCAAGCCCGCAGGCGGGGCAACCGGGGGAGCAACAGGGGGGGCAGCAGCAGGGGTAAGGGGAGGGGTGGGTGCAGCGGGAGGGGCGTTAATGTCAGGCTCAGGCGCTCCTTCGGCTGCCACCACCACCAGCACCACCACTACTAGCAGCAGCAGCACCACCGCCATTGGAGCTGCTAACATCAGCACGACTAGCACCAGTGGCAGCAGCGGCGCCACTAGCAGCAGTGCGTTTGCAGCGCGCTCATCCCCGCCAGTCAGCTTTCGCCGCATGTCCAGCCTTGACGTCAAGACCTCTCTGGACGGCCTCGCTGTACTCGCTGTAAGTCATGCTCGCTGTAAGCTGTACTCGCTGTAAGCTGAACTCGCTGTATGCTGTACTCGCTGTAAGCTGTACTCGTTTTAAGCTGTACTCGTTGTAAGCTGCTGTACTCGCTGTAAGCCCTACTCACTGCAAGCTGTGCCGCATCGCATATGTGATTTATTCTCTCCGTATCTTCCATGCAACTACCAGAGGCAAGGGTCATGGCAGACAATAGTGGACAAGCCTCATACTGAGAGTGGTTCAAGCTGGGGCGGAGTGGTACAAGCTGGGAGGGCTGCCTCATACTGACTCCCCTCTTGCCGCATCACATATGTCGTTTCCTGTGCTTTCCATGCTGCAACCACCAGAGGCAATAGTGGACAAGGCGGTTGAAGGATATACCAACTCATACCGACTCGGCTCTCCCGTTGCCACATGACATATGTCATCTCATCTGTTTTGATGTACTTTCTTTTCAACCACCAGCGGCAGGGCTCGTGGAGGGCCATAGTGGACAAGGTCGTGGAGGGGTACAAGCTCGCGGGGCTGGCACAGCAGCTGGCGTTACGCGGTTACCACGTGCTGGCACTGATGAAGCTGCGCATGTATGGGGCAGCAGCAGAGGAGCTCATGCTGCTGGGGAACCTCGACTCCCCGCAGTACCGCTACGAGGCACACCCCGGCATGTACCCTGGGAGGAAAGGTGAGCACCCGGATGTTACATGGTTACCATGTCCTGGTGCTGCTGGCGCTGATGAAGCTGCACACCCTGGCATGTACCTATGTGGGAGGAAAGGGGGGTGAGAGGTATCCTATGTGGTGGGCTTGCTGCAAGGCGCAGAGTAGCTCATGCTGCTGGGGAACCTCGACTCACCGCAGTACCGTTACGAAGCACACCAAGCGATGACATGTCGTCTCCCCATTCTCTCCCCACTCCCATCCGTCCCCGCATTGCCTCCCCACGTTTCCATTGCAGGCTCCATGCTGCCATTTGCCCTGCGCTGGCTGGCAGCCGAGCTGCCCCACCGCATGGGCAATCCTGCACTCACATTGGAGCGATTATGTGCTCTGCAGGCGTACTGCACAGCTAAGGTGGGTGCAGTGCGGTGGAGTCAGGTTTGTGTGTGTCTCTCAAGAGCTGCCCCACCGCATGGGCAATCCAGCACTCACATTGGAGCGACTGTGCGCTCTGCAGGCGTACTGCACAGCCAAGGTGGGTGCAGTGCGGTGAGCCAGGTTTTAGCACTTAGCACATTGCATTCTGCATCTTGCATTTTGCATTCTGCATTTTGCATTTTGCATTCTGCATCTTGCATTTTGCATTCTGCATTTTGCATTTTGCATTCTGCATCTTGCATTTTGCATTTTGCATCTTGCATTTTGCATTCTGCATTTTGCATTTTGCATTCTGCATCTTGCATTTTGCATTCTGCATTTTGCATTTTGCCTTCTGCATCTTGCATTTTGCATTTTGCATCTTGCATTTTGCATTCTGCATTTTGCATTTTGCATTCTGCATCTTGCATTTTGCATTTTGCATTTTGCATTCTGCATCTTGCATTTTGCATTCTGCATCTTGCATTTTGCATTCTGCATTTTGCATTTTGCATTCTGCATCTTGCATTTTGCATTTTGCATTCTGCATTTTGCATTTTGCCTTCTGCATCTTGCATTTTGCATTTTGCATCTTGCATTTTGCATTCTGCATTTTGCATTTTGCATTCTGCATCTTGCATTTTGCATTCTGCATTTTGCATTTTGCATTTTGCATCTTGCATTTTGCATTCTGCATTTTGCATTTTGCATTCTGCATCTTGCATTTTGCATTCTGCATTTTGCATTTTGCCTTCTGCATCTTGCATTTTGCATTTTGCATCTTGCATTTTGCATTCTGCATTTTGCATTTTGCATTCTGCATCTTGCATTTTGCATTTTGCATTTTGCATTCTGCATTTTGCATTTTGCATTCTGCATCTTGCATTTTGCATTCTGCATTTTGCATTTTGCATTCTGCATTTTGCATTTTGCATTCTGCATTTTGCATTTTGCCTTCTGCATCTTGCATTTTGCATTTTGCATCTTGCATTTTGCATTCTGCATTTTGCATTTTGCATTCTGCATCTTGCATTTTGCATTTTGCATCTTGCATTTTGCATTCTGCATTTTGCATTTTGCATTCTGCATCTTGCATTTTGCATTCTGCATTTTGCATTTTGCATTCTGCATCTTGCATTTTGCATTCTGCATTTTGCATTTTGCATTTTGCATTCTGCATTTTGCATTTTGCCTTCTGCATCTTGCATTTTGCATTTTGCATCTTGCATTTTGCATTCTGCATTTTGCATTTTGCATTCTGCATTTTGCATTTTGCATTCTGCATTCTGCATTTTGCATTTTGCATTCTGCATCTTGCATTTTGCATTTTGCATTTTGCATTTTGCATTTTGCATTTTGCATTTTGCATTCTGCATCTTGCATTTTGCATTCTGCATCTTGCATTTTGCATTCTGCATTTTGCATTTTGCATTCTGCATCTTGCATTTTGCATTTTGCATTCTGCATCTTGCATTTTGCCTTCTGCATCTTGCATTTTGCATTTTGCATCTTGCATTTTGCATTCTGCATTTTGCATTTTGCATTCTGCATCTTGCATTTTGCATTCTGCATTTTGCATTTTGCATTTTGCATCTTGCATTTTGCATTCTGCATTTTGCATTTTGCATTCTGCATCTTGCATTTTGCATTCTGCATTTTGCATTTTGCCTTCTGCATCTTGCATTTTGCATTTTGCATCTTGCATTTTGCATTCTGCATTTTGCATTTTGCATTCTGCATCTTGCATTTTGCATTCTGCATTTTGCATTTTGCATTCTGCATTTTGCATTTTGCATTCTGCATTTTGCATTTTGCCTTCTGCATCTTGCATTTTGCATTTTGCATCTTGCATTTTGCATTCTGCATTTTGCATTTTGCATTCTGCATCTTGCATTTTGCATTTTGCATCTTGCATTTTGCATTCTGCATTTTGCATTTTGCATTCTGCATCTTGCATTTTGCATTCTGCATTTTGCATTTTGCATTCTGCATCTTGCATTTTGCATTCTGCATTTTGCATTTTGCATTTTGCATTCTGCATTTTGCATTTTGCCTTCTGCATCTTGCATTTTGCATTTTGCATCTTGCATTTTGCATTCTGCATTTTGCATTTTGCATTCTGCATTTTGCATTTTGCATTCTGCATTCTGCATTTTGCATTTTGCATTCTGCATCTTGCATTTTGCATTTTGCATTTTGCATTTTGCATTTTGCATTTTGCATTTTGCATTTTGCATTCTGCATCTTGCATTTTGCATTCTGCATCTTGCATTTTGCATTCTGCATTTTGCATTTTGCATTCTGCATCTTGCATTTTGCATTTTGCATTCTGCATCTTGCATTTTGCCTTCTGCATCTTGCATTTTGCATTTTGCATCTTGCATTTTGCATTCTGCATTTTGCATTTTGCATTCTGCATCTTGCATTTTGCATTCTGCATTTTGCATTTTGCATTTTGCATCTTGCATTTTGCATTCTGCATTTTGCATTTTGCATTCTGCATCTTGCATTTTGCATTCTGCATTTTGCATTTTGCCTTCTGCATCTTGCATTTTGCATTTTGCATCTTGCATTTTGCATTCTGCATTTTGCATTTTGCATTCTGCATCTTGCATTTTGCATTCTGCATTTTGCATTTTGCATTCTGCATTTTGCATTTTGCATTCTGCATTTTGCATTTTGCCTTCTGCATCTTGCATTTTGCATTTTGCATCTTGCATTTTGCATTCTGCATTTTGCATTTTGCATTCTGCATCTTGCATTTTGCATTTTGCATCTTGCATTTTGCATTCTGCATTTTGCATTTTGCATTCTGCATCTTGCATTTTGCATTCTGCATTTTGCATTTTGCATTCTGCATCTTGCATTTTGCATTCTGCATTTTGCATTTTGCATTTTGCATTCTGCATTTTGCATTTTGCCTTCTGCATCTTGCATTTTGCATTTTGCATCTTGCATTTTGCATTCTGCATTTTGCATTTTGCATTCTGCATTTTGCATTTTGCATTCTGCATTCTGCATTTTGCATTTTGCATTCTGCATCTTGCATTTTGCATTTTGCATTTTGCATTTTGCATTTTGCATTTTGCATTTTGCATTTTGCATTCTGCATCTTGCATTTTGCATTCTGCATCTTGCATTTTGCATTCTGCATTTTGCATTTTGCATTCTGCATCTTGCATTTTGCATTTTGCATTCTGCATCTTGCATTTTGCCTTCTGCATCTTGCATTTTGCATTTTGCATTTTGCATCTTGCATTTTGCATTCTGCATTTTGCATTTTGCATTCTGCATTTTGCATTTTGCATCTTGCATTTTGCATTCTGCATTTTGCATTTTGCATTCTGCATCTTGCATTTTGCATTCTGCATCTTGCATTTTGCATTCTGCATTTTGCATTTTGCATCTTGCATTTTGCATTCTGCATTTTGCATTTTGCATTCTGCATCTTGCATTTTGCATTCTGCATCTTGCATTTTGCATTCTGCATTTTGCATTTTGCATTCTGCATCTTGCATTTTGCATTCTGCATCTTGCATTTTGCATTCTGCATCTTGCATTTTGCATTTTGCATCTTGCATTTTGCATTCTGCATTTTGCATTTCGCCTTAGTTCTCCAGAAGAACACCTCACTGAGTTCCTCAATCCGTCTGTGCCTTGCTGCGTGGATGACAGATGAAGGAGGTTCAGGCAAAAATGGCAGGAGACAGCAAGGGCAAACAGGGAAGAGCAGTACCTGCAGATAGCAGCAGCAGCAGCAGCATGAGCATGAGCAAGAGCACAAGTGCCGTGACGAGAGAAGGGATGGCAGATGTAATGGCCCCAGAGGATGGTGAAGGCGTGCCTTCTCATGCTAGGCCCTCTGATGCTACCACCTTAACCAGCAGCACTAAGGGCACATCACCAGCACCAGCATCAGCACCAGCATCCTCAGTGGCATCAGCAGCAGCATCGCAGCATGCGGCGTTGGTGGCATGTTGGGCGCGCAGGCGGCAGGCAGTGCGGCACGCGCTGGTATCGCACCACCTGGCGCAGCGAGACTACCCCACTGCACTCCTCTGGCTGCAGCGCCTCCTGCGCTACGAGCCAAGCAACGCCGCCCTGCTCTCGCGGTACGGCCTCGTTCGGCTGCAGCTGGGGGACGTGGAGGGCGCGAGCGCCGCGTTCGGTTTGGTGGAGAAGATGGTGGTTCATCGTGAGGTGGAGATGGAGAGTGAGGGGGGGAGTGGGGGGGGAGGTGGAGAGGGGGAGGGGGAGGGAGGAGATGCGAGTAACACAGCAGGAGCAGGAGCAGGAGCAGGAGGAGGAGCAGGAGCAGGAGCAGGAGCAGGAGCAGGAGGAGGAGGAGGAGGAGGGAGCGATGGGGGTGTGGGGGCAGGGGGGGTGACAGCAGCAAATCTGGGCGAGATGAAGCGGCTGGTGCGACTGAACAAAGCTCTGGTGCACTTTGCTCGCAAGGAGCACGGGCAGGCCCTGCAGCTGTTCACTGCGGTGACAAAAGAGGATCCCACCAACTCCATTGCTGCGAATAACAAGGTGAGGGGATGTGGTAACCAGGTTACATATTGGGTGGGTAGCCAGGTGATGATAAGGCACTTTGCTCGCAAAGAGCACGGGCAGGCGCTTCAGCTATTCACTGCGGTGACTAAAGAGGATCCGCCAGCTCCGTTGCTGCGAATAACAAGGTGAGACAAGGTGGTAACCCTGTT